ACAATTACTTAGGAATAATTTTTACTCACATATGAAATGGATAGGGCGTATTAATTTCTTGCATAATAAAACTAGAAAACTTATATTTGCATTTAGACAGTTAAAAGATGTTCTCAGTTTTAAAGAAATTAAATCAACATATTTTGCAACAGTCGGTTTTTTTCATATGGAATACTGTATTAGCTTGGGGGGCGTTCAGTTCACATCTTACGGGTTCTGATTCTGGTTTAAAAGTCTATCCTAAAAGCTGGTTTCAAAAAGTGTACTCAGATTTCCAATTTCATGAAAGTGTAATATTCCCCATCGCAAAACTGGATGTCAAAGATCTTCTAATTTATATATTTTAAAAATTAAATTCAATTTTTACCTCTATAACCCACTCTCATAATACAAGATATGCAAATAGAATAGGAATTTCCACTATTCATCGGCACAAATCCTTTTAAAAAACAAATTGTTTTTACATTGCACATATTTTGTCTAAATGACAGGTGAGTGCCTGGTCCTCCCTGTAAATTAGACAGGTGAGTGCTAGCTAGGTCCTTCCTGGAAATAGCCCGACACCAACCCTAACAGCACCAGATATTAATTAGATATGCATAGTGGTTGAAATATGTCTAAAGATATCTACATGTACCTAATTAAATATATTTTTAAAATCTCTGTTTAGATATTCTTTAGATTTTTAATGGATATTAAAAGTTTCACAGTAGATATTTTTATAATGTATGGATGCACGAAAACAATACTTTCTCCATATACTATGGTATAGGGGGAGAAAGTAAAAAACTGAAACCCTAAACTAAAATTATGGCTTCGACATTCCCTAGTTCTCAAAATTATCTTTCTTTCAACACAAAAATCATAAAAATCCGTCAAGTGGTTCATTCAGAATCGTGAAATAAAAAACCCGGTTTCGTTTTAATATATAGGATACTACCTATTAATAACTTTTTTAAATTTATTTTTAGCTTAATTTATCATAAATAATTTATGTAATGCTTCTAGACTACTATCTTTGTATTTTATTTTTTTTTATGTTATTTTGTTTGTATACTTGTTGTGGAAATAAAACTGATTTGATTTGAAGTGTTTACTATTGTTGGTTACGGAGATAATAAAAAAAACAATTAAAACTATTATTGATATTAAATCTTTAGGGAGAATAATTAAATAGTAGCTATAATTTGCTCGTACTCATATATTTGTAATCGAAATTGGAATTTTTTTTATTTTATACTTAGATGATGTTGTAGTTTTTGTTGGACTTGGTTTAACGGCTTAAATTGGTTTATTTCTGAATAATGATCGCTTGGAATAGGGATTTTCTTTTCTTTCTATCACTCGGAGTATATTTACCCGGAAATAAAAGTATTTGGAAAAAAAATCACTCGAAATCATTAGATGATCCCAACCATATCAAAATGTCCACATTGTAAATTCACCCTCTCACTCCCTGTCTAAGATGCATGTTGGAGGGTCGCTTGTAGGACTGAGTTCAGAGGATATACCAAGCCCCATATCGTGTTGGGCAGACCCACGGCAACCTGTAACTACAGGCCGCGGCCTGGTAGAATTGGTAACGTCGCAAGTGGTGTTTTTTAGCGACATACGTCCCATAAGATAACATGGCAGACAGGTGACATCAGGTCATTAATTTGCACTTTATTGATTTAAATTTATGAACATAAATTTATTAAAAATTGAAAATAAAACATTCAGAATCGAAAACCGAAACAATATGAATTAAAAATCTTTATCTGTACATTTTAAGTGGAGTCAATATTGTCATAGTCCAGTAACAAATCTTTCGTAAATACACAATAGTGTTATTTGTGTAACTAGTGAGCAAAGTGGCACTTTGCTGCACACGAGAGCAACGTTTACTCGGAATGATCTCGAGTGCAGCAAAGGCCTTTTGCACTCGTGTTACACATTATATTTTTCCTACAGTCACTATAAAGCATATAAATAATTAGTCTTTCAAACACTATACAACGCGTTATTAGGTTCAGCTGGCAACACAAATATGTGCCCTAGAGAAAGTAGTTCCGTATATTTTTGTAATTTGCAGTGGTTTCCGAGCCTAAACAAATGCTTTAAAGGTATTTTCTTGTTTATTAAGATCGTAGGAATGTTTTGAACACGTTTAAAAGAAAAGTCCAGAAAGTTTAGAAATACCGAAAAGAGAACATAAACTATAAAACACGAAATGACAGGTTAAATAGTAGTTATAATAGTTAAGTCATCAGCTGCTCATAGTATTATTATCTTTAAGTGTTGCCAACCTATTTCCAAGCGTACACTGATTACGTGTATAATAGAACCACGTTGTTTTGTGTTGTTTCGTTGGAATTCTGATGTGCGCCAAAGTATATAACATTCTTTTATAACTTATAATAGTTATTTAAATATTTTAAATTTCAATACATTTTATTTTAAGTTGCTTACGTTTTTTTTTTATTGTGTATGGCTGGTTTTTATGTACGTTTGTTCTTAGTGACTAGTGGATTAGGCAATAAAATTTCATCAACTTACAAAAGTTAGGTACCTATTTCAATTCAATTTCAAATTATGCATTTGATGGCGGCGAAACCCCAAGTATTATACGTAGTTTGAAGGCCGTGTTTTACATTTTAAACCATATGTATTCGTAATAATTTTTTTTTCTTATAATAAAATGCATCTAGTTAATATTTAGCCTAGTAATTAAGTAATTACACAATTTTTTATCAACAATTCATATGATTTTTGAAGAAAATAGCTGTATAATGTAGATTTTGTTAAACTTATTATTGATATAACTTTTTTATTAGTTAAGATACAACTTTTTACCCAATAACCTTTTCTATTGGCCATATTTTTCGGATTAAAACTACGTTTTAACCGATGTCCTATCTTGTACCGTTATCGAGCTACAGTCGTTTCAATGCATAGCGCGTTCCGCCATCTTTGCCCCCCTCCCCACAAGTTCTCGACCACCTGAAAAGTAGGCGACATGCGTATTTTTTATCACCACAGTCCATATTACAACTATCAGCAAAGATATTTGATATTTCTTCTTTGCGACACTCACAAACTAATTCTACTTTCGGTAGAAAAAACTACACGAAAAGTCCATTTTTACATATTTTATACAATAACTTGTTTATTTATAGAGATACTACCTCGGACTCAATCACCGTTATTAGAGTCCACATTTTTAGAATTACAACGACGTGTTAACCGATGTTCTATCTTTTACCGTTTTCGAAATATCAACGTTTTAACGCATAGAGCAAACCGCCATGTTTGCCCCCTCCCCCCCACCTTATCGACCACTTTTGAAATAGGCGACATACGTAATTTTGATCACCAAAGTCCATATTACAATAATCAGCAATAACATTGCGTACTACTTTCATGCATGCTCAACCCCCCTCAGCTCCTGGACTACAAGGAAGCCAACTTTGTCGGGTGACTGTAGGAAAAATATCATTAGCTGCTTCCAAACAAAACAGCTGTTACAACACCATTTGCGAAGTTGCCACTTCGAAGGCCGCGGTCTGTAGTTAATGGTGGCTGTGACAGACCTGACCGTTGACCCTACACTTCACTACACAATCACTGATACACCACCTTCACTGACTGACCAATACCCCACACTCCACCTCATCTTCAATCTTCACCAGAATTTTATAAATTACCTCAGTTTGCACAACGAGTTTTTTTATCGTCAATTTAATTCCAGAACACTGTAAATTCAGTTTCAAGCAAGACAAATTTAAAAAACTTGTTTTCCTATACATGTTTATACCTCCCATTAACTTTTTCGCAAACTCAAGTCTACACACATGATCCTGCCGAACTAGACTTTTTCCTTTGTCAAAGGCCTAGAATGTATTTTTTTTACACTTTTGTTCGCTTTATTTCTACAGTATATAATTTTAGCGAATTTCCCATATAGGGAATAAGCTATTACCGTAGTACTCATGGTAAGACCTGGATGCGGAACCGATTTTTTTTTCGTTTTGAGGTCCCTAGAGGCCAAAAATACCATTCGTTCAAATTCATATATATATATATATATATATATATATATATTTATATATATATATATTTATATATATATATATGTGTCCGTTAGCACGATAACTCGAGCAAAAATGATCCGATTTTGATGAAATTTGGTACAAACGTGTAAACCTACGTTTATTCGAACGAGTTCGCGATCCAGCATGATCGGACCATGGGAACGGGGGTTTATGAGGGGTTTTATGGGGTAAAAATAGGTTTTTCCCATTTTTGACTCAAAAAACATAAAATTTTGCAATTTCTTTCCATTTTGTAGAGCTTAAAAAAACAAATAATTTAGTATATTGAAGCGTTCTTATGCGCCTAATGGTTACGGAGAAAATTTAAAAAAATTATAAATTTAAAATTCCCATGTTATTCTTATGGAGAATAAGTAAACTGTTGTAGTTTGCTTGTTTATGAACATATTTTGATCAAATTTGGAAAATGTTTTTATTTCTTACTAACTATTAACATTAAAAAAAAAAACAGTTTTACCCTCCCTGATGCAGCAAACCTTAGTACTTTTTAAACTAATTCTATTTAAATCGGGAATAAATGTTATATTTTTAAGTAGACATTTCAGTGTAAATCCAATCAGTCAAATGGAAATTCGCTTAGTCTGCAGGTTTGCTGCGGCGGGGTATTTGTTTTGTTATCGAGATAGCAATGTTTGCTGTATTATTTTTAAGTAAACAAAAAATACAATGTACTTATCTACCAGTATGTAATAAATGGGAAATAAAATATTATTTCATTTCATATTTAATTGAATTAAGAAAGCTCGCTACAGAACCAAATCTAAAATCTCATCTCATAGTACTGAACAAATTTAATAGTCTCACTGCATGGCTGCATACAGGTGGCAGGCGCTAAGCTTCCCAACGCCAACTACGAAGAAAGGAATAAGAACATGAAAGTAAACATAACCCCTATCCTAACCTGGGTAAGGGTAAGTTTAAATAAGTTATAGGTTATGGTTAGTTGTTGAAATATCACTAAATTGATTTTGGAATAAAAATGGCATCAGAACAAGGCAGACTGTGTTCGCTTTTAATTAGAGAACATTTTGGGGAAGTTGTTGAAAAAGTGAGCAATACTCTGCATTGGGGTCCCAAAACATTGCCGTTGATAGTTTCTTCCTCTCAACTTCCATTATCAAAGGTAAGTTATTCTAAGCCTAAGGTAGCTTAAAAATTTAGGTTTCTCAAGCAATAGGTTACAAAATACGCAGAGGATACGCGTCCGGTAACAGGACGTGGATTAGGCGTCCGGCAGTTAGGTACTGTCATAACCTAACCTAACCAACCAAACTTGCTGATAATGAAAAAAATCTAATGAAGGTTCAATTCTCTTCATAACTTAAAATTATAAATGCAAAAAATTCTAACAAAAGATGTACAGTTAAGAAGAAATTACATTCAAAGCAAAATCTATGACAAAAAGTTAAAGATACCGATTAGTTTCGAACCAGGGACCTCTTGGATATCAGCCGAGCACTCTATCCACTACACCACGAACAACGCTGGCCGAACATCGTATCGTTGTGGTAATGGCGTTCCGGGACCCCACAACCCGGTGACGTCACTACCGGACGCCTAATCCACGTCTGGTTACCGATGCGTATCCTCTGTGTACAAAATAGGCCTAAACCTACTTATCCTTAAACCGTGTTTACACAAGGCCAGTAGGCAGGCAGTTTAGTGACAAGCTGATGATCGATAAGTTAGTCGGATGTTTAGAGGCTGCACTTTAGCCTACTTTAGGTCCTGTACACTCATTCAAATGAAAATATCGATTAGTCGATTGTTTCCCTACCTAACTAACCAAATGATATATCGAATGAAAAACTCGATTAATCAATATATCGATCGATATTTTCATTCCAATGAGTGTAGGACCTAAAGTAAAGTGCAGCCGTTTTTGAAACATTGATATGTTTTTGTTGCATCAATATTTGGGCCAAGTAACTTAAGTCATTGAAATATCGATGAGTTCCATAACTGAATAGGCCTAAGATAGTAGGTATTAGTTTTTATGAAAATGTAGAAGTTGGTCTATACAGTATGTAACTATTCTACTGAAAGGCTGATAAAAAATCGAATCCAAAAACATTGTAAACATGAATAAACTTAGACAAGTGTAGAGTGAGTGAGATAAGTAGCTATCCAAGTAAGTTGTAAGTTGTAACCTACGGGTAGACTTTCATTAGCAAGACTCCAAAAAACCGAAAGAAAATATTGTGATATATTAAATTAAATAATCCATATAGGCTATCAAAAATATAGGCCTAGCTAAATGCAGGGGGGATTTAGGGCGACTTGAAAACAAGTGCAGTTTCCTTACCTCCAAAAAGTCATGAAGTTTAAAACACTAGCTAAGAAAAAAATTATCTATTTGGCCTTGAAATAAAAAAAATGGTATTTAATTATTCAACAGCTACAATACAGACTTGCGTCTAATTAAATTGCAGCATTTTTGACACTATTGCATTATGTTCAGTAGCAAACAAGGTTTTAAGTTACGATAATAACAGTTTTTTTTATATATTTTTACTACAGGTAAAACAAGCTTTGGCAGTGTTGATAAAGTATGGATTTGTTACTTATGAAAGAGGAAAATTACCCACAGTAGCTGAGTACACTCTGAAACTAACCAAGGTTACACTCATGGTAAGGTACCCAAGGTAAGTTGTAGTCTAATTCAGCTGTTTTCTGGCTTTAAGTTTAATGTTTACATGAGAAGGTGGTTGTGATGTGTTAGGTGGAAGGTTTGGAAACATTCGGCAAAGGAAAAGGGTTTAGGGGTTGTGGAATACTTAAAGCCTTGTCCTCACCCAGCAGCTTTGTTACCAAACAGTTTAGGAACCTCTGGACCATCGCTTACAACACCTTCCTGAGGTCTGAGAAGGTAAACAGGAGCAGTGGTCAACCAATTACTTCCGCGTCCCTTATTTTTTAGAAGGAGAGGCAACTCTGTCACAATAGATAGATGAATAGATCCCAAGTATTCCACCTGTGTAACAATCATTAGCTGTATTTAAGATATATGTATAGAAGAAGATGAAATATATATAAGAGATCTTATATCTCTTTAAATAAATGTGAAATTCCAATCAACGCACAGGCCAAACCATAGCACCTAGAAGCATGATATTTTGCATAGCCTCCATATTCCTCTCATAGCATAGGCAGGCAATAAGAAGCGATTTTACAAAATTCCCAATCGGCCCCGCCCCACAAAAGGTCAAAGTTAGCATGGAGTTCGTATAGGAAGAATAATATGTTGTGGCATTTTAGTTTTATCAACTTCTTATACATGTGATTATGTTCAGTAAAAGGCCAGCTGACCATATGAGCATATTAAAATAATCCCCACATGTCAACAACAATACAATAATAAAAATTTGAAAATGTAAACATTCCAAGAAAAACATTCTGGTTCAAGAAGTGCAACTTTTCTCTCTTGTAATATCGTTTCTTTGTGTAACATAATTCATTTCTCTCTCCTTTTATTTTGACTTATTTCATTTACCTTTTCCTTTTGTGTTCATTAAATAAACCCTTTTTAATTTCACTCTAAATTCTGTGTACCTACTGTGAGAACATTTGGACATTAATGAAACATATTATCTTCTCAACTAGAGCCAACATTCGACCAGATCTTCTTTCAAGACCTTAACGTCATGAAGTGGTAACATAACTATAGTTCAGAATTAAAAATTATACCAAAAGTCCAATATTTTCTGTTGTCAAAATTAAATTAATAACCCATATACAGTCCACTTTATTATTTCTACAATAACCTTTTGATTACGCTACATCTTTGGTCCGTTCACGTCAGATTGTTGATTAACCAATTGATTGAACTAATTATTTGGACTTTTGGTGAAGATTAAAGACGAACATAACCTCATAAACTCTCAATATTGTCGTTCACGCATATTTTGTACTCCCCCTCTACCTCTATCTCTCTCACTCTCTCGATCACATTAGCCTAATAGGCATACTCTAATGTCTGAAAGACTCTGTGACATTATAGTCATTTTGTAAACATTATACCAATCCTTCAGTGTTTATATTTTTTGTTGATTGGTTCCGAGTTAAGGCCCACAAACTGTTTAATTGAACTAGCCTAATTCATTTTGTTTTATGTAACGAAGTGAAATAACTTTTGTGTCTTGTGTATTTTGACTGTATTTGTGTTCAATGATGGCTCCTGTGAACCTAGCCCCGATTAAGGTTTGTACTTATAAAAGACTAACCAAACAATTCAAAGTTAGGCTTGGAAAAATTCAAGAAAATATAGATTCTATTAATGAAAGTGCTAAAGCAAACAACCTATCCTCTGTGCAAATAAAATCACTTCATAACTATTTAGATGAAATCAGGAAAAAGCGAGACGACTTTGAACTAAATTTCAGGCGCGTTTTAGAACATTGTTCTGACGAAGAACTCGATGGCATTATTCTAAATGATGATGAAAACACTATTGGCGAATTATGTATACATCTTTGTAGTACTATAGAGTCACTAATCCCTATTGACGAACCTCAATCTCCCCCTCAAGAAATGGTGAATGATTCCAACTGTACTGCTTTCATGCAACCTGTTCGCCTACCGCAACTTGACTTGAAAACCTTCTCGGGAAACTCAGCCGAGTGGATTAATTTCATCAATCTTTTTGATAGCGCTGTACACCTCAACACATCTCTGTCTCCAGTATCAAAATTTCAATACCTACTAAGCTGTCTAATTGAAGAACCTCTAAATTTAATTAAAAACTTAAACATCAGTGCATCTAACTACCAAATCGCATACAATTTGTTGCGCGATCGATACCACAATCACAGACGCTTAACTTCTTTACATTTAAATGCCATATTGGATCTTCCCATTGCTACATCTGAAAATACAAAATAAATACGTGAATTTCTAAATCATTTCCTGGAACATACACAATCACTTATTGCTTTAGAAAGTGACATCACTACCAATGACAATCCTTTGCTGTCAGCTCATTTGCTCCGTAGACTTGATAGAAATTTACGGCAAAAACTTGAACATTACCGCTCATTTAAATCATGTGAAACTCATTCGTTACCATCTGTGGACGAAATCATTAAATTTCTCAATGAAGAATGCTCAAACAGTGAAGATGCCAACCTACACTCTTCAACTTTTTGTCACAAGGCTGATTCAAAGCCTGCCCTCACATCTAGTAAAAATTACTCCAAACCAAGCACCCGCTATACTGCACTTGTAAGCTCAGATGATCACTCCACTTCTGTAAAGACATTTCCATCATGCTTTGCCTGTCAACAAACCAATCACAAAATCTACATGTGTAAGGTTTTTGCTAAGAAATCTCCAAACGAGCGTTACAAACTTGTTAAGGAGCAAAATAAATGTATTTCATGTCTTGGCAATCACACACTCAAAGATTGTCGCTCAACAGGCACATGTCTTAAGTGTAAACAAAAACACCACACCTTGTACATTTCGAAAATGTTGTAAAGTCGGTGCAGCCTCCTCCTATAGCCAAACCCTCAAAACCTTCAACTGCTACACCTTCTGTAGTCGCTTCTGCTCAACCAGAAATGTCGCTCTCGATTTCTCAGCCTGCAACTACGGTTCTGCTAGGCACCGCTCTCATTAAAATTACTGCTACTAATGGAATCTCTCATGTCTTTCGATGTCTGCTCGACAGTGGAAGTCAACTCAACTTCATGACAGAGAGGGCAGCACAGCTATTAAACGTCTCTCGTCACCGCTCTACTCACACAATCGTGGGAATATCTGCATCGCAATCCTCGACAAAGGGACATGCACTCCTAGAACTATCCACACTAGGCAGTGAAGTAATTGCTTCAAATCAACCTTTCCATATTCTAGATAGAATTTCCGCTCCTTTGCCTCGTACTCAACTCGCTTTTGAAGTTTACGAACTGGTAAAACCTTTTGTCCTCGCAGATCCGACCTTTCATATTCCTCAGAATATTGACATTCTCATAGGAGGTGCTTTGTTTCCAGAACTTCTTACTCATCAATCCTACCCATTGGGCTCAAACCTTCCATTTGTTATTGGAACACAATTGGGATTTGTGTTAATGGGCAATGCACCAACTTTTTCTAATTCTTCTCCCACCTCATGCCATTCGTCTCTACTATCCACTACAGACGAGCTACATAATACTCTACTTCGCTTTTGGCAACAAGAAGAGGTACCGCAGTGCAATCTTATCTCTGAAGATGATCGTCTCGCTGAAGATCACTTCAAATCAACTCACTCCCGCTCTCCAGATGGAACATATGTTGTTCAACTCCCTTTCAAGGACCAACATCAACCTCTGGGCACTTCAAAATCTGCTGCTGAACATAGACTTCAATCAATTGAACGAAAGTTTGAATCCAACTCTAATTTCAAAGAATTGATCCCCTCTCACTCCTGGCGCTACGTTCCCTCAACGGACAACCCCACTGATTGTGCGTCACGTGGTTTGCTTCCCGCTCAACTCATTGATCATCCTCTAAGGTGGAATGGCCCTCCATGGTTAATTCTTTCAGATGATCATTGGCCATCTAATCGCTTCGTTCCCATAAACTTGCAAGACACTCAAGAACGTAAAACTACTCCTCTAAATGTCCTAGTTTCAACCCAACCTCCAGAATGGGATCTTCTCTCCAAGTACTCATCGTGGTCCAAACTACTTAGAGTAACAAGCTATGTCTTGCGGTTTATCCACAATACACGTAGTTCTGACCGAAGACATGGGCATCTCACCGTCTCTGAACTTAAGAACTCAGAGCGTACGATCATCAAGTGTGTACAAGCTACATGTTTTACGAACGAATTGACTCTACTTCACAAAAACAAACCCAGTACCTCTAATCTTCAACGTTTAGACCCTTTTCTGGATGCTTCCGGCATAATTCGTGTGGGAGGCCGGCTTAAGAAGCTATCGCTGAAATTCAACGTCAAACACCCAATAGTACTTCCAAAGAAGCACCATATCGTTGATCTTCTCATAGATTTTGTCCACACTACTCACTTACATTCCGGACCACAACTGACCCAAGCAATCCTTTGCCAAAACTATTGGATTCTTTCGGCTCGTCGAGTCATACGGACACGTATTCATAAATGTGTAAAATGTTTCAAAGTGAAACCAAAGAACAAGAACATCACTCCACTCATGGGAGATCTTCATACCGCAAGAGTAACTCCAGCTCGACCATTCTCTACCAGTGGCGTTGACTATTGTGCCCCTTTTGACATGAAAGTTGTCAATCTTCGCGGAATGCGTCATATCAAAACCTACATCTGTGTTTTTGTTTGTTTTGTGACAAAGGCAGTGCACTTAGAAGTTGTAGAAGATTTAAAAACTGAGGGATTCATCGCTGCACTCACACGATTCATCTCCCGAAGAGGATTCTGTAAAGATATCTATTCCGACTGTGGCACGAACTTCGTAGGCGCTGATTCTGCACTGCGTCGAACAATCAAAAACACCCTGAGCACCAAAGAATCTGAAGAACACCTGTTGCATTTCACTTCATCCAGGAAAATAAATTTCCACTTCAATCCTCCTGCTTCGCCCCATCAAGGTGGTCTGTGGGAAGCAGCAGTGAAAAGTGTCAAATACCATCTGCGCCGTGTCATGGGTGAACACATTCTTACTCTCCTAGAATTCATGACTCTGACTACACAAATAGAGGCAATCCTCAATTCCCGTCCTTTGACACCATTATCTAACGACCCTAATGACTGTTCAGCACTCACTCCAGGACATTTCCTCATAGGATCTCCGCTGGCATCAATTCCAGAAGAAGACCATGCTGATATTCCACTAACTCGGCTCAAAAGATGGCATCTAGTACAAGCTCTCCACCAAAGGATTTGGAAGCGCTGGCAATTTGAGTACCTTCATACACTCCAGCAACGATCCAAGTGGACTCATAAGACAGAGAACATAAAAGTTGGAGATTTAGTCTTGATCCACTCTTCATCGCCTACTTTGTCCTGGCCCCTTGCCCGTGTCACACAGTTGCATCCTGGCACAGATGGACAAGTCAGGGTTGTTGATCTGAAGACTCAACACGGTTACCTTACTAGACCAGTTGTTAAAGTGTTCCCTCTCCCTCAAAACTAAGCCATACAACTTAGAAAGACCTGTAAATAGCTGTAAATAATATTCAGAATATTATTCAGTGCTCCATTTTTTACACAATTTGGTGTTCATTGTTATAAAACTATCGTTTTATGGAGGTCGGTATGTTCAGTAAAAGGCCAGCTGACCATATGAGCATATTAAAATAATCCCCACATGTCAACAACAATACAATAATAAAAATTTGAAAATGTAAACATTCCAAGAAAAACATTCTGGTTCAAGAAGTGCAACTTTTCTCTCTTGTAATATCGTTTCTTTGTGTAACATAATTCATTTCTCTCTCCTTTTATTTTGACTTATTTCATTTACCTTTTCCTTTTGTGTTCATTAAATAAACCCTTTTTAATTTCACTCTAAATTCTGTGTACCTACTGTGAGAACATTTGGACATTAATGAAACATATTATCTTCTCAACTAGAGCCAACATTCGACCAGATCTTCTTTCAAGACCTTAACGTCATGAAGTGGTAACATAACTATAGTTCAGAATTAAAAATTATACCAAAAGTCCAATATTTTCTGTTGTCAAAATTAAATTAATAACCCATATACAGTCCACTTTATTATTTCTACAATAACCTTTTGATTACGCTACAGATTATCTAAGTGATAGGTAATACCGCAACCCCTAGGTGAAGTAATGTGAAAAACAATTCCAGACTCGTGCCTAGCACCCTAGGACAAAAAAAAAATACATGTGATTTAGTGTTGAAGAAAGTAGAGTAGAACTTAGATTTTTATTGCATTTTAATTTTTAAGAGCTTATTATATAGTTCTGTTAATATTTTTGTAGTTGTTTAAACTGCTTCATAGTATGGACACTGAGGTTTTAAATGTTAATGGCGAGTTGGTTCCACACAATATCATTCACATCAGAGGAGATGGTGAAATCTATTTACTTCGCTCTCATTCATATTTCACCTTACACACAATACCCACACTAACTGTGCACGAAGCAATTCTTGAACATGTTGTGAGGAACTGGGACTGCTTCTCAATCTTATACGACAATGACAGGAATAATTATCTTAATTCCCGAGAATACTTCTATAAAATGTCTAAGCCGTTTACCTTTGGTGGGTTGTGTGAGCTGGTTGCGGCTTTACAACTATTCAGTATTCACATATGTTTTTGAGGTTTATCGGAATTGTGAATTATATGTCAAGTTTGGTGATGAACGTAATCCCGTGGAAAGACTCAGATTTAGACAATCCCTGTCTAGCTGGCACTTCGACGTTTTAGAGCCACAAAAAGAGCCTGTTTCTCTCAATTGTCAGCCGATCCCGGAGTCTCAACAAAATACATCAAGGCGTAAACTGTGTAGCAGGTGCACAGACAAACAAAGGATAAAGCAGGTGAAGAATGCAAGCAAAAAGTATGAGCAAACTCATCCTGAAAGTCATTCGTCAAAGATTTAATGGATGGTGAAAAATCTATCAGCAATCACATATAATCCGAAAATAGACTCTGAAGGATATAGCTCGGTGGTGATAGGTACCAATGAATACACAAACTATAAAGAAGAACAGGTCCTATGGAAAATATTCTAACAGTATTTTTAAATTTGGCGCGCGAAATATCTGTAGTTCTGCACTGAACCACCATTCAGCGCTGATGTCAGGTTTAGCACGCGGTGAAGTGCGAGAGAGAGCGACATACACTGTTTTCGTCCCCTCCCTCTCTCTCTCTCTCGTGGCCTGGCCCATAGGGGACGAAAACAGTGTATGTCGATCTCTCTCGCACTTCACCGCGTGCTAAACCTGACATCAGCGCTGAATGGTGGTTCAGTGCAGAACTACAGATATTTCGCGCGCCAAATTTAAAAATACTGTTAGAATATTTTCCATAGGACCTGTTCTTCTTTATAGTTTGTGTATTCATTGTAGGTACCATGACGTTCAAATGTAAGGCCTTAAAATGGAAAGAAGAAACACCGGGCATGTGCTGCAACTGCAACGGTGGTTAAGTGCAGCTACTACCTTTGCAACACCTACCTGAACCTTTATGCAGTCTGGTCATGAGCAACCACCCTGAGCGTGTACACACTTTATGGACCGAGTGAGACATTATAATAGCTGCTTTAATATGACATCGTTTGGAGCAAAACAGGTTGTAGCTGAATTGTTGACTGAAGGTTGTTGGCACTTAAACACTAATTTATTAAAAAATTCGACTAATTTGAGTGTTTCCGTAGCGAAGCACGGGTATTCTGCTAGTGAGATATTAATGAGGTGTTCCTTGAAAGAGTGATAAATAAATGGAGTATTATAGAGTCTTGTTATTTTTATTTTTTTCAGGTATATTCTTCTCATTAAGGAACATGTGGATGAAGAATCCAGTTTCTTATTGGAAGAATTGTTACAATGTGGATTTGATACAGCAACAAATGTTATTCTTAGAGTGTCAAAAAGAGTCACTGAAGGTAAGTCTTCAAGTATACTCTTTAACCACATCCTGAATCAATAAATCCTGTAAGGATGTGATAAATCCCCTTAAGCTGGGTTTTCCTAGACGCGGAGTCGGCCAGCGGAGAGCGGACAACGGAGAGCGGACTCAGCTTGTCTTAGGTAATTTAATGTTACTGTTTTCCTAGCAGCGGAGCGGAATGCCATGTTAATTTCAATTCCGCTCTCCGTTGTCCGCTCTCCGCTGGCCGACTCCGCGTCTAGGAAAACCCAGCTTTAGGCTTTCATAACTCAGGCTATTTAACCAAACAACAACTTACAGTGGTAAATCAGTGATTCAGTTGCTAGCACAACACACTGAAAATCCATGGCAGCAAAAAAGTGATGTTCTGAGCTTGTATCCTTGTGTCTGTCTCTATGTTTCATCACCATAACAGTTCACCTCTTGTTTTGCTGAATACAGTACACACACTGGTCAAAAGGACAGGGAGTTTAAAAGAGGCTGCCAACATCTTATTAATGGGATTAAATGTAATCAATGTGTTTGAAATAAATTTCAATGTAAACTGTGTGTTTGTTTGATTACAGAGGGTCGTCAGATGGAGTTTGATTTGCCTCATTTGACAGACAAGTTCCACATGCTGGTTCAGATGCAGTACCTTATGCGCTGTCCTCACCCTACTGATCCTGATGCAGCCGCTATTGGTAGGCCTATACTCGCCTTTGTAAAATCCACAGTTGTAAAAGCTAAAATCCACTCATTCACAGAATAATCAGTTATTTTCTTGAACTAATAAGCCTGGTGTTGAGAAGATTGGAACATAATTCTGTTTTCAAAAAAGTTTTCTAATTTTAAATAGGTGTATATCTCTATTCAATAAATTGATTAATGAACACAGTAGGCCTACTGGTCAATAATTTAGCTCAGACTTGCTTTGAAAATTAAATGTTACCCTCTAAAACAAAAATCTTCACTTTTCATAAGCTGTACAATGTTATTTTATGTTGGTAGTAACAATAACCTTTGTTGGATGTTATTTGTGACAGAGGTGCCAGTGCTGGGGGTTACAGAAGCTGAACTGTTCCTTCCTCCAGACCTCAACATCAAATATCTCTCTCTACGAAACCAAGGCATGGTTGCTGATGACCCTGGAGACCTGGGTATCTACTGGCGTATCAACTATGACAGGTTTCATCAAGACATCAGGTAAAATAAATACTATAAAAATTACTTCTACTTCTACTGTTAATATAAAATAATTTACGATTTTATTATAGGCTGATTGTAAAATTGAGTGTGTATATTCAATCATTCAGAATAAATGTGAGAATTAGAGAATTTGTGTGATGGTAAATGGAAAGCAGCCTACCTTGGAGCTAGAAGTCACTATTCCAAAAGGCAAGGGGTAAGATGCTTATTTCTGGGTCTCAATTTCAGGAACCTGGGCTACATAGTCTAAAGTTTAGCATTGTTTAAAAACATAATCCAGAAGCCCTAGGCCTTATGTATAAACATGAGATGAATCAATACATCTATCTATAACAAAGTTTTATTGTACAACATTTAGCAATGAATACAGATAGTTACAAGACAAATAAATCTAAATTTACAGATATTACAAATAGGCAAGCATGTTTCTTTAAAACCTTTTTTCTCAGCTCGTGTGCATCGCAGCATACTGAAAATCTACGCATACTGTTGGAAAGATATTTTCCTGTAGATGTGCAGAATACCTTTATAAATTAAAATAGGCTCAAAAATAAGCACAAAAAATGAATTTGAAAACTTAAATAAATAACATGGGAGTTATTGGTTGCCATGATGGTGACGAAATAATAACAAAATATAAACAGAAAATCAAAACAAATTCCTATCACATGTTTTATTTACAGTGTGGGGTTAATACTGTACATTACATAGTGTAAGAAACGACCATGTGGCCCTAACTTTGCCTGAATAAATAAAGAATTTTTCATTTAATTTATTTTTTTTTTCATTTCATTTAAATATTTTTGGTTGAGTTTTCGACCACTGGACGACCTCTAGTTATTATTTAATCAATACCTACGTTACATGGAAAGTTTGTCCCCCATAAGGCTTTTTTGTTTAAAATCCACCCGCACATATTATACATCAAAACATGTGTCTTGGTGTGCTGATTTATAAACTAGCTTTAGATTTTCGATTCAAGCCATTAAACCCGAATGGCAAAAAGCGCATGTTTTCATTTGTTTGTTTACATTTCAAATTTAAAGGTCAGAACAGTGTTTTAACAAACAAAGTTAGAAAACAAAAATATATTTCATGTAAAGATAATTTCTCAAAACGCCTTTAACACGTTCGCTGCGCGCCATCAAATGGCAGACGTAGCCCCAGTGCGGCGCAGCCCGCAGCATCGAACAAACCCGATTGCCGGGTGATTGGCTCTCATATTTCGGTATGACGAATAGCAAATAACGTGCGGTGATGTCCTGCTTTATAACAAGAGTCGAAGTAGTTCGCTAAACACTCACAGACAGCAGCACTGCTTGGAACGTAGCCGGTCCCATTGTATTGCCAATTGGAGGGAGAAAGACAGGACAACAAGTTGATTTTTAAGTTTGCCAGACGGGGATTTTATGGGGAAATTTTACTACCAAGCTACAACACAACATAATGCTGGGTTTTCCTAGGCGTGTAGTCGGCCAGCGGAGAGAGGAACGCGGAGAGCGGACTCAGCTTGTCTTAGGCAATTTAATGTTACTGTTTTCCTAGAAGCGGAGCGGAATGCCATGTTAATTTCAATTCCGCTCTCCGCTGTCCGCTCTCCGCTGGCCGACTCCGCGCCTAGGAAAACCCAGCTTAAAGCAAGTCACACGCTAACGTGGTATAGGTCCGCCTTCGACCGACGCCAGAGCAAAAACGAAGATATACGAAAGGCTTTGCCGAGCGTATCCGATCGGTTACGACAGCACCTGAACAACGCTCGGCCCGTATCCGATCGGATACGTCCGCAGTGAACGTGTTAACTTGTTTTTAATTTTTCATTTAGGCCGTTTCCTACCTTTGTGCCATATGCAATGGACAAAAAAATCACGGAAAAAATTTACGAAAATAACAATAGAACATCCAAAGCCTCCATCCCCCATGGACTAACCATCTAAATGCATCGGTACCGCAGGGATCTTAAATTTGTTATGTAAGATAAAGATTGTAAACAATGTAAATGTAATCCTAACTAACTTAGTACTGTATTCAAAAAGAATTTATAAACAGGGAATTTTGGCTAAGATTTGTAATTTTTGTTATAACTTACTTTATATTTATCACCTTACTAACTGAATGGATTCATTTAGCCATATTATAAGAAGAAAGTTCAATGTTATTTTCATGTGAAATCGCACAGGTAGATATCTACCCATTACATTACCCAACTTGGGGGCAAGTGCAAGTATTATTTAAAAAGCAACAAATATCAGACACAAAAACCATGAAACGCTAGATTGTACTCTCTATTTTCTATATTACAATAAAAAATGGATAACCAATCATGGACAAACCCAAACATTTCCAAGTAATACGTGGTGGGTGTAAAATAAACGTACAACATGTATTTTTTAATGTCATTGATTCCTAATTAAATAACTTTTAACCCTTAGTCTTCTAATTTAAATCTGGTTAAAAAACTGTTCAGTCTATTTACAATTTTTAATTCTTTTGTCCAGGGATGACTTGATTGTGGCAGCCGTTGAGAGGAGGTTTGATGCCAACGCAGCACAACTGATGAATGAGTTGCTGAGACTCACCTACCTCCGTACAGATGCCTGGGCACCGCAGTCTAATGCTGTACCAGTCGTTGAAGTGAAAGACTCCATCTCCAAACTCACCAAAAATGCATATCTGGCTCAATACCTGGACCAGTACTTAAAAATACTCGGTAAGCTTTCACACAAGTAACTGTAAACTGGCGAATCAGTGAAGCAAAACTTTCTGTTTAATGTTGGTAGGTATATATTTTACCAAGTTTTTTGTTACTATTGGTTTTTAGTTTCATACATAATCATCAGCTATTTTTTTTTTAGAATCAACTCTAACTTACTTGTAAAAAAGTTAGTTGGAGTTGACTCAGGGTTGCCACCAGCTATGAAAACCTTGAAAAGCTTGAATTATGCATGAATTCTTGTGACCTTGAAAAAAGGCATGGATTATGCATGGATTTCTCTAATGGACCATGAATTTTCAAAATCAGGAACAATTATTCAACCAGTACCATTACATTTTCCAAATAACAAATATTTCATATTTAAAAACAGTTCATAGAAGCGAACACCATGAAAATACTGTGTGGAGATGATTATTTAACATGTTCCACGATCAGAAACAATTGCTTTAGCTTAGTTCGTTCCAAGTCATCCAAAGCTGCTGAAGTCAGCTGAGACTTCCTGAGGACTGTATATGGTTCGAAAAATCATTAGTAGGCCAACCCCTGCGTATGAAAAAGGGGAATGGGGACTTAAATCACAAAAACATAAGTTTTAGACCATGCACGGAATTGGAGCGGGGAGCGGAATAGAACCAAATTTCCAACTCTGACGCCTGATTTTTTTAGCTTTTTGGATAAAATCATCATATCTTATTACGTTGTGGAATAAGATAAACCAGAATGCACATTTTATGACAATTATGTAGGGGGATAAAACAGGACTTTTTTGGTTGGGTGAGTGGGATTTTTGTTCTATTCCGGTGGAAAGACTGAATTAGACCTAGACTTAATATATTTTACAATTCTTCTCCAATATCTCATATAGAATAGCTAGACCTGTATTGTTTTCAACTTGTTTTCAATGTTTATAAATCACTCTAAAAAAGTTGTGTCTTCTACATTACATTAAGTAGCCTATGAAAGGTTATTGAAAAGTAACACACAAAGAATCTGCCTCTTTAATGTCAGTTTATGAAATCAGCAAAACTAAATTGTGTTGAAATTGTATAAGCGCATCAACCATGAATTTGTTTAAATCTACCAATGAAAACAATGAATTCTGCATGAATTTGATCATCCGACTATGGTGGCAACCCTGTGACTGTATTCGAACTGTATTCGACTTGGAATCGACAGAGTTGACAGATTTGGTGAGTTATTTACTCTTTAAAAAATAATAGCTGTGTATAAATATATAAAAAAATCTTTAAATTGGTCTTCATAAACTATGAAATTTAAATTAGCCTACATATTTAAGTCACATTTTGATTGAAGCTGAACACTTTTCCTGGTTTGCCTATTGATTATTTAGATCCCTCTCTGGCAATGGATTTGCCACCACTACTTTTGGGTGGATTAGGTTAGATTAGTTTATACGAGTATATTTTGGTCCCCTAATCTATGCGGGCTGGACTAAATTATTTACTCCTGATATCTCTACCAAGCTGCCAACCATAATTTCATCATTTAATTAATTCAAAAAGGTTTTTATTTGGTCTGATTAAGGGAAAAAAACTTACTTTACGCTATAAAGCCCTTGAGTTATTTACTAGACTTTTCAGTACAGTAACCATTTAAAACTAGCTTTTACAAACAGTTTGCGTTGTTGCAGAAGAATCAACTGGGTTTGTTACCAAAGTGGAGAGCAGCAGTGGCATGATGGAAGTAAACATGTCAAAGGCTATAGAGATTCTAACATGCAATGCTATTGACAACAATGTTGACCAGAGGTTTGGGGCGAAAGCTGCTAGAATCTTTAGGTAATACCATTACTAGTAATGAGTTATGTTAGAATTTAACTAAGATTAAAAAGGTTTGGATTACCTGTTGCGTCAATTGATCCTGTTGACAATTAGCAACATGATCAATTTTGACGCAACGGGTAATCTAAACGTTTTTTAATCTTGCTATATCTTGATCCAGAGGCTTCCATCATGGAATTTTATTACAGTTGAGGATGAGTTTTTATTTAATTAGTAAATAGAAATAGATTATACTGTAAATATAACTTTATTGTCACAATAAATATATTACATTACCAGTGTTCCAGCACAGATAGGTAAATAGGTGAAATAGATTATTATTCTTATAACTGAATAAATAAATCAAATAGGTCCAGACATAATAAAAATATTCACTTTAACACATTGTTTGTTTACTTTACCGTTACGCGTTGCTTTACTTTACAGCACAGTAACGGATCAATGAAGTTCAAGGATTGAGAGAAAAGAAGTAAAATTGTAATACTTCAATCACCAGTTTATCAGCTGATAACGACCAATTCAATAGGTGATCCCTTGTCTTCCGCTGGAGACACACACATTCTTCCCTTAACGTAGAAATTGAACTAAACGTTTGCTAACCAACAGTTGCAGAAAGGTTTTTTGAAAATGTCAGATAGTTAGTTCTAGTGAAATTGACGACACAGAAGTAAGGGCTTTATTACAGTCTTTTACTAACTCGACAGTGAACAGCTGAGAGGTCTAGCCTGTCTTTGTCTTACTAGTGTGTTCGACTGATCTAGAAATTTCTTCATAACATTTATTTTTTACTAGTTGCTCTACCCGTGCTTCGCTACGGGGTGAGAATACAGAAAAGAATAATTCGGTTTTACTTTAAGATACTATAATATACTATAAGAAACAGTTACAACACACTTACCAGGAAACATATAGGCAAAGGCTCAATCATGCTTATTGATTATTCAAATGAAGATCTCTCAATGTATTACAATACTATCATTTTATATAGTGTATAGCATTTAAAATATATATGCTAAAGTATAATTCATTAACCACATGGCACCGAAACAATTCTCCTTGTAAACAAATTAAATTAAATAGCAGAACAGCATTTCTGACAACAGCTGGAGTTTCATAACAATGTTTGTTTCCCATGTTAATCTTATGGAGAAATATGAAACTGTAAAGGGCCCCAGGGCCTCATTCTTTAATTATTTAGCTAAAAATAAAGTTTCCTGCACAACTTCACGTTACGCTCTTTCCAATGACACCAAAATCATGTCAATCGGTTCAGTAGTTTCGGAGGAGTAATTGTCACAAAAAACTTGCTTGCGTATTAAATAAGTATAGATTGTTGATTAGGGGACATTCTTTTAATATTGTTTATTCAATACTAGCTGTACCCGCGGGCTTCGCCCCGTTTAACTTCATAAATATTCGCATGGCTCATTCACGTCCTGGTTGAAGTTCAATATGTAAAAATACTCATGTAAGTAAGTAGGCCTAATAAATTCATATGTGAAAATGAGTCTGTTATGTATTTATTAATTAAAATCCATTAAAAATTGCACTGTTCTGGGTAACTTGACAACCTCAGGGTCCTCGGTGTCGAGTTAGTGAGGTTTTACTGTTATCAGTTTCTCTCGTCTCAAGGTCACATTAAGCCAACCTATAACCTTCTCAGAACTAATGTATTAGCCTATTGACCAATATGCCTGAATGGTGTATTGCTGTTTTAGACTAGTGAGAGCCAAGAAGTACATGGAGCAAGACCAGATCCAACAACTTGCCATGATCCCTGACAAGGAGGCCAAGCAACTTACATACAAACTGCTGCAGGAGAACTTCCTTCAGATGCAGGAGTTGAGGAAGCCCACAGTCAGTACTGGACCTAACAAGACCTACTTTCTCTTCCATGTTGACCTGCCCCAGGTAACTTTTTTCATTTTTACTTCACGGTTAACATATGTCATTGCCCTGTTTTTTTGTTTTTTTTTTATTTTATATAGTTTGACTATCTATTTATTTTTCAAGGGAAACTCATTTCAATTAATCAAATATTTGTCATTTTTAAGTTAAATTCTTTGCTATTGGCTTTTATAGCAGTGTTCCATAGATAAGTTAAGCGTCACAAACATTGTTTATGGCGAAGGCTCTGGGACTGACCAAATCGGATTGTACTGGATCGAGATTGGTAACATTGTTTTTGGCAGATTCTAAGATTTCTCCTGATGTCTGTTTCTAGACGCTTTTCATTTTAGTTCCGATCATATTGTAGCAGACAGTTGACGTGCGTATTTGTAAGCAAATTGGTTAACACATTGATGACTGATGTGCTTTATTACGTTTATTGTTGTTTTTAGTGATAAAATAAAAAGTAGTGAAATACGTGGTGCATTATTTGAAGATTTAAGTGATGTTGAAGGGCTGGTTGATAATCCTGAAGAAGTATGTAGTGACATTGATGTAAATTATTCTTCGGATTCCTAGTTACGGTTAGGCTATGCATTATTAGCTATAGCTAAATGTGCAAAATCTGTTTTTCACCCAAAACTTACTTATTTGCCATTTTACTTCCTTGTATGATTATATTTTTGGATCCTCATAAAATTTTAAAAAGTGGCTATTTTAAAATATTTGTAGACCTATAAAATTATATAATTGTTTTTTTACAGCGTTTTTATTTTTATGAAATTATACTGCATTTTTTGAAAATTCAAATATTTTGGCGATCCTAAAGGTTCTGATCCCTAGAAATTCTGATTAATGGGATCTGTGGGGGGTGTGTATAAAATAGAACGATTTTTGGCTAAACAAGTATTATTATTTTAGGTTGCCAGAATGGTTCTTGATACTTGTTACAAAGCAATGGCTAACAGTTTGACTCGTCGTAGTCATGAGAAGAATGAAAATATCAGATTAATAGAAAAAAAGGAACGTATTGAAGCAATAGCAGATTCTATGCGGGAGCAGGGTACAGATGAGCAACAGATTCAAGAATTGGTGAGTTTTATCTTTTGATTACTTAGTTTGCCTTATGTTCTAAGGACACATAACAACCATTACCTAAATACTACATTCAAATGTAAAGGATCAGTGTAGGCCCACGACTAAGTGGCAGCTTTTAATTTTAAGGTCTGTCAGCTATTTGTAATGTTTAAACAACCTTAGTCCTCCAAATTTTCTGTAATTTTTATTAGGGAAGCCTCAAACCCTCTAGTAATCAGAGTATTCAGTACCCCACAGACGGACTACAGTAACTGTGCTCTCCTAGAAACCTTTCTGGCTCCATTCTGTGAGGCAACAGTCAATTACAAACATTCTGCGGATACAGGATCATATTTTGGGTGTTTTAAATCTCTGTTGCTAAAGCATGCCTGAGGGAATTGTATTTGGTTAATTTTGGCTAAATGTATTACTTATGACCTTTGTCATTGTCTTTCACTTGGCCAATTGCCATAATGTGTTTTACAGCTGGATAAATTATTTTGATTTTTTAAATTATAACTCTCTTATTTTTAGTTATTTATTAAATACCTCATGTAGCATTACCAATGTAGGCCTATCAAAATTTAAAAATAAAATAAAATTTACTTTATTTTACACTGAAATGTGCATAATAGTGTCCAAAATTCTGAACCTAACCTAATAAAACTTTTAAAATATCATAATGGCTGAAAGGGGTTACAAAAAACACAACCTCTCAGAGAAGTTTTGAATAGTGGCTTTTAAGTCCATAGGCCTTGGGAACATAACTGATTTTGGTTCTTGTCCTGTAAACACTTATTTTCCACACTAGTAACATAACATACTATTGTTTACAATGTTTACAGGTTGATGACTGGCTCACTCCTCCTGAACGCTCTCTATTGGAGTCTGTAGAAGCAATGATCAGGAAGATGAACCTTGCTGAGCTGCAGATAGATGACACTGTCTTCCTTCTGCAACTCTTCACCTACTATCAGAGTGCAATCATCCGCATAAAGGCCAAGTAGCCTTATCCTATAGTCTGCTGTGCAAACAAATACTGTACTGTATTCTCTGTGATTATGTAAATATAATTATTTTGTTAATTTATAAATGTTCTGTATTTATTTGCCTTGTTGGTTGGAGATGTTGCTTAAAGTTAAATTGGACCTAATGCTCCTTAATTCCTTTTCTTAAGGACTAAAACCAAACCAGTATGCTTGCTTTGTTGTGTGATTTAAAACTCCCTTTTAGAGATTTTCTAAAATTGTAAGTTATCTGGTTAACTCAATTGTAGTAAGTGAGCTACCAATAAAAAATATACCTTACATTTAAACAAAATTTACCTATTGGAACCCCATTGAATTTAAACATATCACATACTCTCTGAACAAGTGTTTAAAGATTATATGTCTGTAAACAATAAATATTCTTTAACTTAATTTTGAGCTTAAATTTTTATGGTTTTGTTTTATTTTGAAAACTGAGTTTATTATAATAAACTTTGCTGATTAGACACATTAACAATAAACTTAAATTTATGATCTAAATAATAAGTAACTTAGATTAATAAAGTTGTCCATACAAATGATTTTACATGATCCTTTTAACACTTTGATGACTATTTCATTTTATAATTTTGATGGAAGATTTTTTTTCTAATTCGACCAAAAATTTGTAATAGTCCCTCTTGCACTGATCATTGTGCCGATTACTGATATAGAATTTAGATTAAATTTACTAAAGCTCACTTTAGTAGAAATAATTAAAACTTGGGAAATGAGTGGATATTCTACTATACATGAAGAGGTTATTTTTTTACAAACTATAGATTTTCTTAATGGATTGAATTAAATTCCTAGACACCCATATAAAAGAAGTTATTAAAAAATAAAATACAAAAATTGTAATTGCAGGTTAGTAAAATTGTAAGTTTTATGCTAAGAACAGAAATGGCGTTTTGTGATATTTACTATAAATGTTGACAATATTAATTGCATTTAGTATTTGTGAAATTATGTTTTGATTTTAAACTTAAAACTTTGAAAACCCCTATGTTCATAGAGTCGTGTACTTGTTTCCATTTTAAGTGTGTTAAGGCAGTATGGCATAGTTCTTTTTTTGAACTTTTACCCTTTAATGTTTTTATTGTCCATAATAGATGGTTGTATCTATCAACAGTCGTTTATATCAATTTCACAGACAGATGATTAGTCTCGCAAGGGTGCCAAGGTCTGCTATATATAACTGATGAAATGACCCACTCTCCACACTCTTTGTTGATCCAGGTTTATTTCCAAACTCCAGACTTATTCTCAGCTTCTCAGAATTTGGTGTAAACAACTCCTGTATGCATCTTGATAAGCTACAATTGCCGGCTAAAACTACATTTATGATGGATGTGTTATCATTTTAATTGTAATCCTTTTTTAATTTTTATCCAAGATATAGATTTGGTTAACATCAGTTTAAATAAATGTGCAAGAAGTTTTAATGTTTTACTAATTGGTCACCAAGCAGAATGTCAAACAGTGATTTTTTTAATATTTTAGACACAAAATTAAATAGCTTAAATCTAAATGTGTTATTTTGCTTTCCAGAACATACACATTCTTTAGGTGTATTAACACAGTTAAATTTAATGTCAATGCATGAAGTATGGTACTTTTTATATGAACATTAAAATATTAAAGCTATGAACAATTTTATTTATGTTATTTTTTAACATTTCACGATGTTTTATTAGATAGATTAATAGGATTTTGATTGCTAGTACATTTTTTATTCTGTTACAGTGTTTATTGATTTTGGTGGTCATTGTACTGTACATTGCTTGGCTGGATCTACTAGTCAGTAGTCTCGTAGCAATATTTGTGGGTGGCAAGTACACTGTACAGATATAACTGGTTGTATATCAGCCAGCCTGAGAGCTGTAGGTTGTCCGGTTGCTATGTCTGCCAGAAGCTATTCCTAGACCCCTGAACCAGTACTCTTATGGTTCTGGTAACCGGATCACTTGTGTATTTTTGGCCAACTGGTTGGGCTCACTACACACTTTTGGCAGCCTGTGCGCTTTGGTTCTGTTTGCTTTGAAACATGTTTCTCAACCTGTTTCACTTAGCTATTAATATAAAATATTACAGTTATAGTTTTTGTACGTAAAAGACTAGTCTAAGACAAATTTTATAGTTTATGTGTAATTAATCTCTTAATTACCTCATCAACCATTATACGAAAGTACCGGGAGACCGAGCTTTATTTGTTGTTAATTGGGTTCACTCGTTAAAACAATATTGTAAACAGGCATTTTATAATTCACGAAAAACATTTTTATTACAAACCATGGACATTTGATTGCTGAAACAACAACTCTGTATACAGATACACTTTTATGACCTTCCTTAAGTTTAAGTGCTATTTGCACAGAATTTTTCTCCTCTCTAGTCATTGAAACCCGCTGACATTCACTCTCACCAATTACACAAATACTTCTCGCAACAATATAGACTGTATGGGTTGTATTCTCCACACATTTTCCATGCAATGTTTCCCTGAGATGTTTTGACAAATAGACAATAGGTTTGTCAACCTAAAAGCGAAAGGTTTGAGCCTACAAAAATTATGTGTTGGGATTAATGCTTATGAAAAACTTACAACCATATAATAAAAATCTATACTTGTTTTATTTCACTTTTACATTTATTTTATTTTACAATCTGTACAGAATTATGAACAATTAGTAAATGGCATGATATAAAAATGACTTGAGCAAGAATCTCTCAAGTATCTTGCAAAAATAATCATGTAAGGTAACTAAAATAAAACTAAACAAATCTGTATGCCAGTTTAAGCACTTTCAAAACGTTATTATTTTCATAAATTGAGAGGAACAATTGAATAGCTTATATCATTCAAATTAAATTGTTTCATCTTCAGCTAAAAAATAGTCCAAATCCAAAACATATCAAACTACACAACATATATTAAGATGTCAGTTATCAGTTATACCCCCTCTATCACATTACTGATAAGAAATTAAACATTCTGTAATGTTTAGTATAGGTATTCGTGAAAAATAGATAGTGTACAGTAACTACTTGATTTGTTTTAAACTTATTCATAATATTTTTCTACAAAGATGCCTCTTGGTGAAGATGACAAGGAACAAAGTGAGTAAATTGTATGTAGTTGTATAAAATATTTAACAAAAATTACTGAATGCTTTATTTTATATGCCTTGTTGAGTTAATGTGTTTATTTAAACGCTTTGTTGGTTTCTTGAAGTTTTGGACAAGACAAGAATATTATTTATGATTGCTTGAATAACTTTCTCATTTTTGCAAAATGAGTTACCGTACAGGTAATCAGGTATAACAAATTTATAAGGATAATTTACTTCATGAAGAATTTATTTTCAGTAAGGTCTGTGACAAACAAATAATAATTTTTAAGTGTTTAAAAATTACATTAAAAGGTTGCAATACTCTATTGTGTAATTGGATATAAAAAAAAATGTAAATCACTCTTTCGGTCATTACAATGAGAAATCATTTTAGTTCATAAGACTTTGATTTTTAACATGTGATTAAGTTACATACTTTAATACATTTAATATTTTTCTTTTAATATCCAGGCCAGAAGGATTCCCTGAAGGCCTTTATTGATTCCAAAATCAAGAGTGACGATGTTGTTATATTTTCAAGAACGGTGTGTCCTTATTGTGACATGGTTAAAAACATATTTAAGGAGTTAGACCAGAAGTGTACAGTTATTGAACTAGATGACCGACCAGACTACAAGGCCTTAATGGATGTGTTCATGGAGATGACGGGGGAAAGGACTGTACCTCGGGTATTTATCAAAGGAAAGTGTATAGGAGGAGCTAACAAGACCAACATGATGTATCATAATGGACTATTACACCAAAAACTTAAAATTAAAGAGACAAAAACTGACAACTGAGTCAATGTCTTTTGATCATCATCTACTGTTTTGTAATAGTAAAATCACTTTTGATTTGTCATTTACACAATGTTTCTTTTACTCTAGGTAATAAAGATTCTCTGAGAGATTTTGTCAATACTCATGTCAACAGCGAGGATGTTGTCATTTTTTCCATAAAAACTTGCAGATTTTGTGCAATGGTAAAAAATATATTTGTAAAGATGAACTACAAGTACAAAGCCGTTGAACTGGACGACAGGCCGGATTTTAAGGAGCTAATGGATGTCTTCAATGAAATGACAGGGGAAAACTCTTTACCTCGAGTGTTTGTGAAAGGAGAATGTGTTGGAGGAGCTTATAAAACAAACAGTATCTTTGTTAATGGAGATTTACACAGAAAACTTGGTATGGAAGAACCTCTAAACAGGCATATGGAAGGTTTCATTGATTTCTAGCTTTCTTACCTCAATATTAGGGTTGTATAATTTTGTATCAGCAATAAATACTCAAAATAGTAAATGTTTTGTTTTTACAAAGAAAATACAACTTCACACTATGTAATATTGTCAACTGTGTGACATGCAAAAAGGGTATCTGACCAAGGCCAAGGCCCCACTAGAAAAACAGGCCATGCTGCAGCTCGGGCAGCGCAACACTACGTCACAGTGGTGGATAGTTGTACTAAAATCTTACCATTAAAATCTTACAAACAGCCAGCTTGTTTATTTACCTAAATCATATGGGAATGGTGATGGCAATGAAATCTATCTACTACTAGTGTGACATCATGGATCCTGCAACATGGCCTGTTTTTCTAGGGGGACCACTGTGACGTAGTGTTGCGCTGCCCGAGCTGCAGCATGGCCTGTTTTTTCTAGTGGGGCCTTGATCTGACAGGCTAACAGTTAATTAAATATATTGTTTTATTTGTTTTACTGAAATAATAATATATATCCAAGTCTTATTCTGATGATGATACGATAGCTAATCAATGCATAATTTTATATGCAGCTGTTGATTAGGGGTGTGTATTTAAAATAAGTACCTAATTGGTCATATTATAGTTACCGGGAACTAAATCCACTTCATATTATTTTATTGGACACAAAAGTGTGGATTGTCACTTTGTTATCTTATTTTTAGTTTGCTCTATTTTTGTATTTCAATCCCCCTACAAACAAACCATTTGCAATGCAATATTTTCTTAATTTTTACTTTCTTATATTGAAAGTAGATTTTTTTTTATGGAAAGGGTTTTTACTACTTGTTGTATTTAATTACTAGTAAGAATACCTATAGCATTTCTTAGAAAGAGAGATACGGTAAAGATAGAAGTCCTGGACACTGTTCCATTTTGCTCTTCCTCACATCAAGCCCTATAAAAACATATTTCAAAACCATTAATGTTATGGATTTTCTTGCACTTCCAAAGTGCCTTAAAAGAGGATCAAATACGAGTACATCTGCTAGAGCTAGATATGACGATAAGTCACCGTGTATGTAACATTATTCTGACTTGTAGAACCGTTTTGCTTACATCTCCTATTACCACACATTATCCATCCTGTCCAGTATTTTGGAAAATGTCCCAGAACTAGTTGAGTAGGGGAAGGTCAAAGCTATATTGGAGACTCACTGTTGTGGACTGGTTCTCATCTCAGTGTTGTACAAGTGTTTTTACTGGGTCGCATTACAACTCAAACTATTATCAAAATGGCAGCCTGGATAGTAAGTACACTGAATATATGTTAAATTTTCTTTATTGGTACTGATAAAATTAGAGATGATTTTTTAATAACCTTCTAACCTCAGGATGGTTAATATTTATTTTAAAATAATTTTAAGCCTAAAAATAGTTATCAAAAGTTGTAAACAAATAGACGCTCTCAATACTTTAAGAGATGGTGTTAGGCTAGATTATAGTTTCAAAGGCTAGATTTCAGGTTTTCTAGACAAAAATATCATAGCCTTTATTTTATTCTCTGTATGCTATGTAATGAGGGACGTGTCCTTTACTTGTGAACTGTTTTTTGTGATTTAATAGTATATACTTAGATAGTTTATTATGATTATTTTTATTTTATAACTATTTTGTTTAAAATATTACATTTGGATCAAAATTGGCAAACGTATCTATTTCGTTAAGCTAAACTACTAACGGATCGCTAAAAACTCACCTAATTACCTACCCTGTTGATTTATTTATTCATTTATTCCAACGGGCAACCCATTACATTGCTTTATGATACAATATTCAATTGCAAAATGTGCTAATTAAGTAATTAACTAATAAATATATCAAGATGCAAATGGATACAACACACACAACAACATACTACATACTACAACATACTACATACAACATACTATACGATACAAATTTTATTACAGTGTGATATTAATACAAATACAAACTACAATAAAAATACTATACAGGGTGTTTTTTTTTAAACTTGCATCTTTATTTATGTAAAAACCGCAATAGATAGAAATATTCAGTTTGCGGGAATCATCTATTGACGTAGGGGGCACATTTTTTTTAATTCAACGTTACATTCACATTCCCCCCTTCCCCCCTGCCACCAACTTATTTTTTTTTAAATAGCAAGGTACCCCTTGTGACATATCAAATGAAAGAGCATGAAAAAAGAAAATGTTTGGTGAAAAAAAATTGAAAATCGGCTCATGAATTTGTGATATAATCCCCTCCTTTTCCCCTACCCATAACTTTTTTTGAATAGCAATGAAAAACAATGTGTCGGTTATTTTTTAATTCTTCCCCCCTTGTGACATATCAAATGAAAAATAAATTTCACCAAACATTTTCTTTTTTCATGCTCTTTCATTTGATATGTCATTAGGGGTACCTTGCGATTAAAAAAATTGAGTTCCGGGGATGGGGGGGGGGAAATATCTCGCAAATTTATGAACCGATTTTACATTTTTTTTCATCAAACATTTTCTTTTTTCATGCTCTTTTATTTGATATGTCACAAGGGGTACCTTGCTATTTAAAAAAATTAAGTTGGGGGAAGGGGGGGAATGTGAATGTAACACGTTGAGTTCAAAACAATTGGGCCCCCTACGTCAATAGATGATTTCCGCAAACTGCATATTTCTATCTATTGCGGTTTTTACATAAATAAAGATTTAAAAAAAAAAAACACCCTGTATAATAATTCTGTAACGGCGAAATATAGTGTGTAATATAACAACAATTAACATTTAACATATAACAACAAGTTACATTGATGTTGCAGCAAACGTATTTAAACCAAATGTTATTTAAATATTGGGGATACGTGACACGTTTAAAGAGATGTTTAGTGAAAACATCACGTAAATGGAGATTCGCTCAGTATGCAGGTTTCTGCGACGGGGGTATTTTATTGTTAGTTTCACTTTTGCAAGTCGCAGCTGAGTTTTATTGGCCACTTATTGATACATAATAACAGCAACAACTCGCTAGGCAGATAAGCCGGTAGATGGCGGGTGGCTGGTGGCGGCCAACGCTATATAAGGTGCGAGGTTTGCTGTTACTGGGTCCTTGGACTTCCAGACAAGGTCCTGCTCCGCCGCTGCCGCTGACTCATCCGTACTGCGGATGCTTGGGCGACCAACGAATCTGCACTATTTTACTAGTATTACCAGTATTACCATAATAGTAGTGTGCTATAAATTAGTTATAAATAAGTTACAATACAACTGAAGCAATAAAACTAGACACACATTGCGTTACCAAAATGACGAAAATATATTATTTTAGAATTTACTCGAGGAAATCAGGCTGTTTCAGCAATGTTCCTAAAGTGTTTCACCGTTTAATTATAGTAAAGCAACATACAGCCGATTAAAATCACAACTCTAGAAACATAATATTTTTCCAAACCACGGTAAGGTATACTAAACAGTTATTAACAAAGAATCGTGGCCAAAAATATTCTTATTCGTAACTTCCAATGTTTCTAAATGTTCCAGCTTACTCCATTTTTTACTCTTACACTTAAAACTTTTATTTTATTTATTCCATCATTTTTATTCGGCAGAATTATACATACAGCTAACAAGGAAACTTTGAGTTAAAAGAAAATATTTTATGATTTACCCAAGCCTCGATAAAACTCGTATTGGTTTTATTGGATAATATTATGGTTTCTCTTTCATTCTCAAATATATTTTCTGTATTTACGTTACAATAAAGATACTGATTTTGCTTCTGCCATACAGTTTATTAAAAAAACATAAGAGGTTTACATTAAAATAAGCAATAAGCAAAGTACGATCAAGTTTTGCCTCTATGATCCATGGTAAGTGAGACACTTTTTACAGTAGATTAAGAGACCCACATTATTACCCTCTGTATTCCCATCCCATTGCGAAGAACTTGCATAGCAACTAGTTAAAATAATTCCTTAATATTTATCATACATGATTCGCTTGTGAAATGATAACTATTACCTATGTGTAGGCTAACCAATATAGCTCCATTCACAATAATTGCAGATGTTTTTACCGCTGGTAAAAAACTCTCTCTTTTTACTCTGACATTGTGTAACGTGTGGTATGCGACCACATTCAGCGGTCACATAAGACCAATCATTGACCACATTGCTCGCATATGTACACGGCTAATTACTTTACTTTGAGATGCGATCAGCTGATTACAACGTCATTATTGTGCAGAGTGAACAGTTTAGGTTATATTTATTTGTAAACATTGTAGATCAAAAAGTCTGACATTGGACCCCTTAAAACCCTCTGGGGCGGAGCCTTTTTGACGGATCTGCACCAAACTTCACACAAATCATCCTTAAATAATGATTAATAATTCCTGAAAGTTTCATTACAATCTGTCAATCGGTTTCGGAGTCCATAAGTTACATACATACATATAGTTCCTCTTTTATAGATATAGATTAGCCTATTGGTTTAATTTGTTATTAAAAGACTAACAGCCAGCGTCACTTAATAATTTAAAAATCCACTATATATTTGAATTAATTTTAAATTTTATTTTGCTCTGAGTTAAGTTGAAAAAATTTTTTTTACGTAATAATCTTGAACTTATCACTGACTCGTATTTTTTACGCAAACCATGATCATAATTTTATAGATAATTAGGCCTAGTTGTTCCAATACAATATGAAATGATGATAAAAAAGTGAAATGAACTTTGATTTTAAAAACTCTTCATTAGATAAGTAAATTTAAAACATTTTACTTCCATTCACTAACGTCACCAACGATAGTCCTATTTTCGTATGGATGTAAACAAAATTGTATAATAGCCATTTGTTTTGATGTACTGTAAACAAAATGTAAAGTTAAAAAGTTCAGATGATTGAGAAAATAATTTATTACAAACTCTGAAATTTTAAAAGCCTTTATGACGAAGGGCTTATCCAAACCCGCAAAATGCACAATTTAGAGGATAAGAGCTTTAAGCTAAATATTTATGGGTCAATTTACTGAATACAAAAATCCAACAAATTCTTTAATAACATAGATTTAGTATTATTGTGTATTGTATTATTGTGGAGTATTATATTAACTTAGACTGTATATAAAACCTAAAACCCGAAACTTTTTATCAAAACCAGCAAAAACAGCATTGTAGTCTCGCTTTAGGTACTGTGCAATGAAACCTCTCAGTAGGCCTACCACCGTATACGTAATCGTGGTTGATACGTATTTTGTAATTTTTTTTTTATTTGGAGCCTCATTATTGCCAAAGATTGCAAAAATTGAAACTCCTAATTCTTCTTGACAATCGAAGTTCAGACATGTAATTATTTTGACAAATTTGCCTTTTTTAAATGAATTACTTGCTTAAAAAGGTGTTTGGCCGCAAGAGAGTGTCACATACATGAGACGTGTCAAATAATAAAGACTAATTATGAAAAAGAGTTGTAATTCACAAATGCATTTACATTGTGATATTACAGACTGACTGAGCGATAAGAACACTTAATATAGGTTAAACTAGTTGGAGGGAAAAAATGCAAAGTAGAGCAAGAAAAAATCTGAAAAATTTCAGAATGGACAAAGATATTGCAGTGCACATTGCATGACGCAGAATGATATGTATTATAAATACGTACTAAACACGGAACACTTAAATTGAAAAATCTAAAAATCGTGTATTAAAACCGTCCTTCATATTCACTCATTGTCATCAGGTACAATACTGGTGCAATTTATTTACCATGCACTTTTAAGGTTTTGTTAGCTACGAGTGCATCTGTTTACATCTTAGTTGGTGCCAAATATTATTTGCTTTAGTCAATAATACAAAAAATAGTCAATTGTACAACAAATGATTTCATTATTAGATAGTTATGATACAGATCAAATCAAAATAAATAGGACGAGGACGCACGTTTTAGCGAACCTCTATCTTATGCGATTATTCATGATGTTGTATTATATCGATAAAAAATTATTAAGAGGAGATAATACATTACCCAATCCTTCCAGGGGTAAAAGATTAAATCGATCATAATGGTTGGTTTTTAAACTGCACTTTTGAAATATTTTTCAGACAATTTTTTACCATCTATGTACTTAACTTGGTTAAGATAGTCTTCGATTGTTTTAAAAATAATTATCACCTGGTCCAAATGACCAAGCCTTGATTTTTTGCACCTATATCTTGGAAGTTGGGGTTTTATATCCGTACATGGAAGTTGGGTGGTCTCCAAAGCTTCGTACCGTAAAATGCGTTTGGTCACCGGTTTACCCTCTCGACCATAATCCTTATGAGGAGCGTGGCCTCCATTTTGGAAAAAGACCAAGTCCATCTTGCGTGGGGCGAGCTATATTGAAACGGTGATTCTTCAAGGGACAGAGTATATATAAGTTGCCTACGACCCTGGTCCCCCTCCAACCATCTGAACCTTTCTGCAGTTTCCATCCAGTTTATCTCAAACCACCAACCAACCAACCAACCAACCTCCTACCACAGACATGGCAGCCCCTACAGCTTGGAAGGTACGTCTTTCGAATTTTATTTAAACTTTGTATTTTATTTTTATTTTTGTCTCATATTAATTGTTGTTATTTTAATATTATTTAATTCGCTCTGTAATATTTATTTCAAACGAAAAAATAATACGATAATATAATGTCTAGTGTTTATTTGATTTAATATATCAGATTTAATTCTCTGTGTACTCTATGGTGAGACCTGAGCGCTGCCATCTAAATATCTTCGCCGCTTCTCAGACCCACAATGCATTTGACAGATTTATCTCGGCGCACACGCGTTCTTGTCAAACGTTTGTTTTGAATTTATTATGAAACTTTTGTATGCAACAATGAATATTTTAAGAAATCAAGTCAACTTAATGCTGAATATAATAAGAATTTCGTTAAAAACTTCTATTGGCTCACACTTCAGCTGTAAAGCACTTGGACTACTATTATTTTCAACATTTTCAAATGCTATGATTTTTTAAATTTTTAGTTGATCCTAAAAATCAATAGGGAATCTTGAAAATACAAAGCAAATTACTAACAAGCCACAATGATTTATTTTCCAACCTACGATCGTCTAGTAATGTTGTCGCCTTCACTATTTGAAATGTATTTCAGTGCCCGTACAGTACCATATTATACAAATTAAATACCTATTTACAAGAGATCGGATAATTTAAGAATTAAGGAGTAACGATTAACAGTACATGATGAAAACTGTAGAAAAGTAATTAATTTTGTTTACACGTTATGAATATCAAATTATTAAGTAATCTCCTTTTTTCTCTTTACAGAGTTAGGTTTTTCTCTTAAGTTAGCTTTGTACAGGTAGTAAGCTAGATGTGTAAGGTAAGTTAGGAAAAGTCCAATACGCCATAACTTTTATTTGTGTTTTAATTAATCAATATTTTATTATATTTCTTTTTCGGTCACATATAGATTTTTCGCAATTGAATCAATACCAATACCAAATATATTTCTATTGGTAACTGGTGAAACTGAGTCTTACTTCTGAGGATTAAGTTACACCGAAAACAACATGGCCTTCTTGGTTCTTGTTGGGTTACAAACATGGATGAAGCATACTGGACTCGTGGTTTCTATGTTGCTGTGTCATTCGCAGTTTTGGAGTCTATTTTAGAACGGCGGGGCGATTCCAGTTTGTTTGTAGCAATTTGGATATTTATAGGTTAACTGTGGGACAAGTTGACATTTGTAGAGTGAGTCACAGTGATCTGACCACCCTCACGACACACACACGAGCATCAAGCGTCACACTCACACAACTACACAGCAACATCGTCAACTATTCAACATCAAATCCAAATCAAGACAAACAATTAATTGTAACATTCCGTCATGCCGTGTTCGTAAAACAAGTTTACATGGATTTGTTTGCGTCGAACATAAGCCTGTGCAGCGTTTAAAATCTTACCTCTAACTGCAATGCTGGATACAATTTATGTGCTACCTAAGGTAGCCACTAGATAGCGTAAATAACAAGTTTTTTTAATTATCAAAAAAGATAGTTATTTGTGCAACTAGTGAGCAATTGCCTCACTCGATAATAATTGAGCGAATTGGCCACTTTGCTTGTTAGGTAACTGTAGGAAAAACCATTTGTTTACAAAAGTTGTTGGTATTTTCGGTCCTTTCAAAGGAGTACTTTCATTTGCATAGAAATGTAAAAAGTAAAACGTTGAAAAAGTTTATTTTATGTCCAAGAATATTTAGTTTTTTGTGGCTTCTAGTTAGGTTATGAAAAATGACATTGGTAAATACTGCGGTTCCGGAGTTATTGATATTTAAGTTTGGAAATTTACATTTTCAATACTCTCTGCGAGCAATATCATCATTGATTCTTATGTCAGTTTTCTGTTGTTTAGAAGAATTTGGTTTCATAGTCAGTATTTTAATTCCCAGAAGCATAAGACAGTTAAGGAAAGACTTCAGCATAATATGCTGAAAGAATAACTGATGGATCTGTAAAAGCTGTTAAATATAGTCATCGAAGAATAAATATTTAATGATATAACTAAGTCTTGTATAATTAGCCTGACCAATGTAAATGTACATCTTTCATAACCGTATGTTCATTTAATTTATGGAGATTTTTTAAGTTGGTAACACTCGTCGAACGTACATTGAACAAGTTTTTAAAACTAAAGATTATTTTGTGTAGGTTTAATCAAGAAAGGCTTGTTCTACTACTCAATACAAATAAATCAAGAAGTTCGGTTTTTAATTTCTCTCAGATAACAATTATTTATGAGTCAGTTAATATTTGTAGTTTTTGTGAAATTATCGTAAAAGTGAAGGTGACCGAGAGCGCCTTCTAGCAGTCAAGTTATTTTCGGCACATGAGTGGTGCGCGTATTGCGGCTTGTTATGTACAGGCGCTTGTGGTCATCTTTAAATTTAGCAATGGAACGTATTGGTCAGACATTATGTATGGAGAATTTGCTTACATTACTCCATGAGTATGTTTCCATGTCATCATACATTTCCTTTATAATTAATTATTCAGTAAATTGGTAATTTATTGGCTTTGCTTACTAGTCATCGTTTGAACATGTATTTAGTATTACGCTCTCTTGGTCGTCGTAATAATCAACCGACCAAATTTGGTCATGTTAGTTGGAATTCGGTAAATGTGATTTCCTTTAGTTTCAAATTCGTAAAAGAATTTCAAAAGAGTTCTCATGCTGACGTGTTATACGGGCAGTGTTATAGGCGTGCAATTTCAAACATCCGCAAAAACCTAGTAATTAAATGGGTGAATATACATGATGGATGTCAAACCTGTGTCAATACAGGAAAGTGAATAAATATGTTTAAACGTACACGAATTAAGAAATACTTTAATGTGTGTATATTCTTGCATTATGTCTATATAATGCACCTATTTGCACTATGAGTTTAATCTAGAGGTTAAAATACCTTTAATCCGTCAAAGTGATCAAACGTCACCGATGATAAAATGTGGTCAAATGTTGTCTGGACTAGCAACTTGTACGCGTACCGTCCGCCGCGCAGTTAATTTGTGGCCACACGTGTGTTTGTAAATAATGTATCTATGTGTTGTTTCTCGTGACGTATTTATGGACTGTATGACGACCTCCTCGGAGTGATATTTATGTTCCTTCATCGCCTGAAGATGGCCCCACAGCTGGGCTGAAACCGGTCGCCGCTCATCGGTGACGTTTGATCACTTTGACGGATTAAAGGTATTTTAACCTCTAGATTAATTTAAATTTGTGATCAGGAGGAAAAAAACAACAGAAATGAAACTATGAGTTTGTTTGAATTTTGTTATCTATTACTTATTTAATACGCAAGCATGTTTTTTGTGACAATTACTCCTCCTAAACTACTGAACCGATTGACATGTTTTTGGTGTCATTGGAAAGAGCGTAACGTGAAGTTGTGCAGGAAACTTTCTTTTTAGGGAAATAATCAGAGAGTGAGGCCCTGAGGCCCTTTAAAGTTTCTTCTTTCTCCATAAGATTAACATGGGAAACATAATAATTTTATTATGCAACTTGGAAACATAATAATTATTATGCAAATTCTGTTATGCAACTCCAGCTGTTGTCAGAAATTAAAAGTGAGAAGAAGAACATATGTTAATTTTAAACAGTCAATAAGTTTACTAATTTTACAGTTTGCTACAAACATTTACTGACTTGGTTGAAATGAAATATTTACTATTTGAATTCGGGTTGGCGTAAATATTACAATGGAAAAAAATGAGAGAGCCTGGATAAATTTATATATTCTGTTATGTACATCTGGAATATTTCCATAATCTTTGGGTCGAATCTTTTAAAGTCATCAGAAATTATGAATGTTATTCCTTTTAAAATAACACCTCTAATACTTAGAAATTGCTCGAATTCGAGCAACAGGGACACTAGTAACTTTAAATAACCATACTAGAGAAGCTATCTAGTAAGGTGGCTATTGTGGCTGTAGTGTTTGTTTACATGTTACGTTGATAAACAGTTTAAAACTTTTATTTTTTGCTATTTAACGTGTAGTACAATATTTTGAATAACTAATTTCGATTTGGAAGAATATAAAAATAGGTTTTAAAGTGGAACGTTGCGAACTTACTAGGGTTAGGCAAAAGCTTAGATAAACCTTCTTAGCCTCTAAAATGGTTACATTAAGAAAAATACACTCCGCACACCTTTATAAGACAGACAATATAACAATTTTGTTCAGCGCCCTAAAATAGGGTATTTGGGGACAGCTCAAATGTTAAATGTAAAGCCCCATCAAGTGATACCTAATTTTATTAAAGACTTTATTAAAGAATAACATCAGGGGACACCAGAGATCTCCATCTCAACTTAGTACGAAATGCCATCATTTTAACATTTTCAATTCAAAATTTTTGCATGATTAATATTTTTCTTAAAAATATATAAATACTTTTTTCGAATGTGTCAACTGCAGCAAAAAGTATTATTCTGTCACTTGTAGCTGTTTTATACACACAAACGTTCTTTACGACCAAACTTTATCTCCAAGTACACAATAGATTGTTAGTTTGTTTGTTTGTTTTGTCGGCCTACTGACCGGATCTGCCCAAGGCAACTAACACAATACAACACTACTACCACAAACCACAGTTTAACTATACACATTTGTCACAGTCACATCCTATGTTCCTCTTTATACGAGTTGTGGATTTAGTAATGCAAACTCGACTAAACTTAGCAGTTAGCAACTTAGCACCAATTCACCGGTCAACAGTTTTTAACAAATCTTTCTAGGTCAATTCAATTCAATTCGAATGTGGAATTTTCGCCTACATTTCTTCCTAACACATTACACATCACAACTCACTTGGAAAATACATGTTACCTGATATATTTAACTTTAGCTAACAAAGGTTACACAAATGCAGCTATTGATTCAACCAGATTCCAGAAAAAATTATCATTCCCACCAGAAGATATTATAACCTCATTGCTAGTACATCTAAGCTATGTTGCTCTGCGCATTAAATAAACCTCCAATTCATGCTTTGGACAATATATAGTTATTTGTGCAACTAGTGAGAAAAGTTAGCAATTGACTCACTCGAGAGAAATCCTTACTCACGAGCCGTAGGCGAGTGAGGAATGGTTTCTCGAGTGAGGCAATTGTACTTTGAACTCGAGTTGCACATTATACTTTTCCTACAGTTACAAAAACACAGTTATAAAACAAATAAATTGGTGAAGAAACATAACCTATTTTTACACAGAAGTGAACTTTTAATATAACATTTAATGTGAAGTGACAAATACAACAACAACAGCTGACCAGCTGATTTACAGCCAGTGCTGCCAACGTATTTCGCGCGCATACGACGTTGCCTGCATGTTACATGCTCACTATTTCGTGCCTTTACGTTGCAAATCTGGAGTGAGACAAAGTAATTAGAGTGAGACAATGTTAACATTGTCTCACTGATGAGTGAATTGGCCACTTTGCTTTCTCAAATCAGTGAGAGAACATGTACATTGTTAGGTAACTGTAGGAAAAATATTTTTTCAAACAGATTTCATCATCTATTATTTTTATTGAAAAATAAAAGTCAACGTGAGATTGTAGTAACAAATCAAGTGATAAGTAACTTTGTCAACGATGTATGTTACCTTGTTACCCAACATTTGTAAGAGAGATTTCTAAAAAAGGTTTCTAACCGATGTGTATTGAATTACATTTATTACTTCAGTTTTGGCAGAAAGATTTACTCTCTTGGTGTTGATAGGGTTCTATTCCACAAGTTTACCATAACTGGAGTTCAATGCTACCAACATCATGACTTAACATTGACCCTCATTTACCGTACAAGGAGTGAAACTGTCTACACCGTCTACCGTCTGTTACCGAGGTCGCGATTATCGGATATAGACTAGACCTAGGAGATACTTCCGGGGTGATCACTGCCTATCCTATATGCAATTAAGCTTCAAACGGTCTATCTCGGTAAAAAATAGTTTTTAACTCATCATGCAAATCAAAGGCCCGGTGTCTAAGCATTAGATTGGAGGTCTGCTATTCTGTTTGATACTCAGTTTCAAATTTGGCTAATCTTCACCTGTTTTAGCTATGTGGTAGTGCCAATACCTAATGTCCAGGAGCCCCTCTTAAACCATAGGTTGAATCTTAAGCGAAAAGAAATGATTTCGTATTTGAAATATCCCTTATCCAAAAGTCACTAGATAAAATTCTCTCACTGTACCTTGTAATTACATGAGTCAACGCATAGACATCTACATAATTCATAAACAAACACACACGTTTTAAGAGGTCTCAATCGCAACCCCGAATTTGCCAATATCTTTATAAGCGCAATTGCCAAGTTAAGCAACCTACTCAAGGTTATTAAAGCATAACTTGGATGATATTGTAATAGTAAACTCTTTAACTTCATTAACGTGTATATACACTATACAGGGTGAGTTTTAATTGTCCCCCCCCCCCAACTTTTTTCTACATTTTTTCAAATATCAATCCCAGACCACTTCCAAACATTGTTGGGTAGTAAGTACTTCATTTTGACAAGGTGGTAATTTCTGGCCACCATCTTGGATCCGCCATATTGGATGCAAAAAATTTTTTTTTTTCAAATGTAAAGGTGGGATCCAAGATGGCGGCCGGAAACGAGCACCTTGTCAAAATGAAGTACTTACTACCCAACAATGTTTGGAAGTGGTCTGGGATTGACATTTTAAAAAATGTAGAAAAAAGTTGGGGGGGGGGACAATTAAAACTCACCCAGTATATCTGTATAACAACAATGTTGTAGTTCTATAGTTAGCGTTTAGGATTTATTAGACTAACAATCCAAAAAAGGTAAAAATTGAAAGTAACATCTTCCTTTCAACAAAATTGGCCAAAATTAAAATATTCATTTCTACCCGTTCCGAGAAGTTATAATATAAACTAGCTTGGGCACACTTAAACGAGTGTTCGAACAAGTATGCTTCAAGATTAGGAAGGAAACACTGTATTAAAACCACCAAAAGAACAAACATAATTTTAATATCCAACCAAAGTAGCAGTATAAAAAGCAAATAAAGTAACAACAGATGATTTTATATCAGACAAACTAATCTATGAGACTAGAACTATTGTATAAACTAAGTATGTATAATACTTACTTATAAACGATACATACATAAAAACCACAAGAAGAAATATACATCAATATAGAAACAATGCCACAACGTTTCTATTGTTGTTTTAATAATGCTAAACAACAATACAATTTTCAATGATAATTTCCTGCTAATGTTATTCATTTCAAATAATGCAAACAAATTGTGTACAAGTTAATGATTGATGGCAGACAATGTCTGTGCGTTTAGATTTACGAGTGTTTATGTTTACAATTAGAAACATAAAATGCAAATTAGCCTGATATAGTCGTTAATAGACAAATTTAAAGTACATTTGATAGTATAAGATAATTTTTACACCCCCGATTAGTACACTTATTTTCCTATAGTACAGCATTGTACACACATAATAACTCTATTTTAACAAAGTTATAACGTTATTTAACAATGCCAAACACAATTCTAAGCTCCAAAATGGCACATTCTACCTACGATTATCTTGTTTATTTTGTCAGGAAATAATGTATTTTTTTTACCAATGTATAGTTTTTATAAAGGCAAAACAGCCTTTTTTAAACGTCATTGATTCAACATTTCATTACACAACAAATTAACAAAGCGTTAGTAGAAATATGGAAGAGCATGAAGATCCACCAAAAATCGTTCTTCTAGAAAAATGTTAGGTAAATAAGGCACTGGACGTTTTAGGAGCACTTGCAACGTACGTGCTAATACTTTGCACAAGATACTGATTCCCGAATACTGTTTTGTTGCAAGCAGTAGCCACTTTGTATAATGATGTAGCCATCTCATCTATGTAAACCATCCTTACAATCGAACATAGTTTAATGAGCCATTTTCTCTATATTTTTATACTTTGATTATTGATGAGAAATGATAGATTCTATATAGTAAACAGTAATGTACTTAGCTTAAAGGTCTTTGTATAAGACATAAACCAGTAGTTGATGGCTCAGTTCAACCAGGTTAATTTCACTTCTTAAACTGGCTGCAACTTAAAATGTTGATGAGATGGCTACGTCTCCCGACAGTCAAAGCAGTAGACTAGCTAGACCAGACACACTACATATGTCGGGTGTTGCCGAAGGAGCCCAGGCCGGACTGAGATGCTCCCTTGTTGAAGCCCATCTGCAGGTTGAGATGTCCCTCGGATGCTCTGAGCTGTTCCTCTGTGAAGTGACGCTCTTGCTTCTCAGCCATCTTGGGTCCCAGGCGAGGTCCCGTGTACTCGGGGTGTAGCTGGGTCTACCGGACAGACACAAATGATTTGAATATCCCATTTAATTGTCAATGACTGAATGAAGATAATTTTTCCAACCCCTCCATGCGAAGATGACCATTTATGTTTCGTTAACTTATAACATTCCAAAGAATAAATTATCTTGCTAAATTATCTATTCAATTTACAAAATCATATCCATTAAGTAAATGGTACAATAAAGTAGTTTGTTTTTACTAGAGGCCTAAAATAACATGGATTGCAAATAACAACAAGTACAACTTTGAAACGTAATGTAGAACTACTTCAACTTAACTTGTATTTTGTTTGCTTTTTAATCAAGTTGCTTTGTGTACCTTTTTATGAGCATACAGATACAACTTTAAAACTACACGAAGTTAAGACATTTTAATAACCACATCTGTATTGTTAGATAGCCACAAATAATAAAAAAAAATTCTAAGTACATAAAATGTCACCATTCGAGTTTTTTGATATCTTTGTTTAGGTTTAGGTTGATATGTTGGTCATACTTTAAACTACCGGATTTGCCATACTAAAAAATAACACATCATCATCATAATCATGCATATTTTATCTTACTGAATATTTAAAATAAACGAAGATTTAATCTAAAACTACCTAAAGGAGTTTATTTTCGTGCTAAAACATTATCATTGCCTAAAACTGTATAAAACTGTCAACGATTTTTTAAGCACTCTGTGGCATATCCATTAATCTGTTTTTACCCATAAAAAGTTATGTAAAGACTATTGCAGTATATCTAGGTAGACTATAGTATTTGTATATATAGGCCTATATAAAATAAAAACATATCCTTGAGATAACTTACGATTCTTCCCAGAGAGTAAAGACATAAGGTCACTTGAGGGATGTTTCTTCTTTCAAACAAATCTGCTGTTTGGAAGATTTCTTCCTCCGGCACACCATACTTCTTAACGGCAGCTTGGAATCTTAAAACATAAAATGTTTATATTAGCGTTTAGAGTTTTTGGAAAGTATATGTTAGACAAAATAAAAACCGCATTATCATATTTTACATATAAAAAATTGGAAAATGATGAGACTGATTGTATTGTTTCACTTTAATATAAATGTAGAATTGGGGTTGTTATTTAAAATATTGATATATTCATATTAAAATCTATTATCTAGACTCTGTAAATTTATAGGAGTATTTCCGTACTAAAAGAGATCTGTAACACAAACTATGACAAAACAACTGCTAGACATTAGACAATAACAATTTATTTATACAACATAATATTGTTGCGGTGTCTTCACTACTCTCCACTACTATCACTATACAACTCATAAGATCATCATCACACTTGTAGTTTGTTTCTATTTATATTTATTTTTGGGTTTATCTACGCCATTGGGGTAAATAGTATCTGGCTTCAGTAGCGATCTCACTTGGAATCGAACCAGCGACCTTCAGATTTGAAGGCGAGCTCTATAACCACTCAGACAATAGTAATGACGACATAATCAGTTTAATGACAGTATACTTTGTTACTAATAATCAAATATTGATCAGTCCAATGTTTTTACCTTTGAATGTTTTCCATGAGTTGGAAGTTAGTGCCCTTGGTCTGTATCTTCTTGACACTCCCTGGTGCTATCTTGTTGATGAGGTTACACAGGACCACGCCATCCCTCAACACATCCTCGTACGGTTGGCTCGGTAGTTTCTCCCCCAGGACATCCTCGATCCAGTGGAGAACCTCCTCCTCTTGTTCCTTGTTTCTAGCCTGGAACACACGTGTTGCTGATAATTGATAAAGCCGTTTAAAATAAATTGTTCCAAGAAGTAACTTTGTTTAAAGTTGCAGGATCGATTTGGACTACAACCATTAGTGAAACTTAATTTACGACTACTGTACTGTACTTAAATTTATTCATGGAAATTGATAGTCTTCAGGCTAAAAAGTTGTTGAACATTTTTTTGCATGAGTACTCGGATACAAGGTTTAAAGCTATAATCCGTTTGTCCTTGAAGGTACTACCAGCTACCAGTACTTGCAACAACCGGTAAATAATCACTTAATTTAAGTTGATGAAATGTCAACATTTAATTTAAGAGTTTTTTTTAACTTTTGTTTTGACTTAATGATTACATGACGGGTTGCGGGTGTACCGCAGTTTAAACTACGAGTTCTAAATCACACTACTAGTTATTAGTTAACACACATATAATATGGATCGCATTTTAGACTGCCTAAACTAAATGGTCAATGAAATTAGTAGTTTAATGAAAATGCAAAAGTAAAATGTTTAAAGACAACATGCGTCTGAGGGTGTTAAACAATCTCGTTATAGTTTACTATAGATTTGGAATCGTATAATTAAGTTTCGTTTAAACTACGAGATTGGTCGCCATCTACGAGTATATTCTATTTGAAGGACGTGTCACGTCAAAAGGTCAATGAAGGCTCCGAGACCACACCCTTTTATTGCCTTTTTGCTTTTAATGTTTAAGGGGCATGGCTGACATTTCTACCCCTATTCTGTAAAGGTCAATCGTGTTAAAAATTATGATTTATTTGTTGTTTTAAATTTTACTTTTTAAATTGGCCTTATAAGATATATGTAAACTCATAAGTAGTTATACTGTTATATTGGCCATTTGCTAGCAAAATAATATTTTTGCGTAATAGTTCCTCATACAAATGATAAATTATATTTTTTAAATTGTCCAATGATAGCCAATATATTAGTCCAGAGTCTTAATATGTTTTTTTGTGTCTTTTTTCAAAACTCAGAGATTCAGAGAGCACATCTCACCAGTACTAATTACGTTATTTTACAATTTGTCGGGGGAAATCTTCACCAACAATGTAGGCGTGGCCTTAAGCCGTCGTCGGTTTGCTACTTCTCACAAAATTAGATTCATCCGATCAAAAATAGACATCCACTGAAACGTTGAGACTTGAAACCAAAACATATTGAATGACACTAGATGTCATATATGTTCTGTCCTAATAATAAACGAATGATACAATGATACCGGCAGAGGCTTATGGCCGAGATATTGTCAACTAGTTGAGGATTTATTTTAACTGTCTTTGCCAGCACGTCAAGCTCTATCGCCTCTTCATTAGCTTCTTATTTTAGAGATCTTTGACAGGCCAACTGCGTTAAATGCTTCCACACATCACTAAACTATTATTAGACTTGGTTTTCTGCCTTTCAGCAAATATAATGTTTGTTGTTCGTGTAAAACTGCTAATGTCTTACTACCAGAGTCTGAGAGAGGTTATTACAGTAATTAATTGCTAAATTTCAAAACAGGATTAAGAATTGTAATTAATTAGTTTAGAAACAAGGGAGGTTCCAGATAATATCAAAATTGTTTTTACAATGTGGATTTTTTGTTATTATATCCGACACTAACTGAATCAGAAGAAATCTGTTGCAGCGCATCAAATACATTTGAAATCAAATAGTGATCACAAACTTCAACACATTTTATAGAACTCTTTTCTGTTTTTAATAACAATTCTCAATCTTACATATTACTCTCATCTTACATAACTAACTATCTTTATGTTATAAGAAGTACACTGAGGAATTGTGTATCCATTAAAATCGTATTGGGTAGGTGAAACGGTTCTATTTCGTATATTTTCATCAATACAAACTTTTTAATTTGCGTGTTATGTTTCTCGTGGTATTCCGAGTCAAAATATTGGATACTAATTTAATAATGTTCAATGTAAAAGTCAATTCCTTATTTTTACTTTTGTATCTATGTTAACATTTACAAATCACTAACCAAAAACTGGTTCTCGTCCGATGGAAGGTTTATCATATCAATTGTTAGTCTACTAAAGTGGTGTTTTACCACTGATATTAAGGGTATGTATTAACAGGTGTTTGAGGTTTTCAGCGTTTTCTTTATAATATCATGCCGTACTTATGTGATAAGAATGAACTTTATGGTGTTTAGATACGGTATGTAAAAATATAATGTAGTATCATTACGGTTTGGGTTGAAGAAATATATCTTCAAATGCTTATATGCACGTTTTTGTTATAAATGAATCAAACTTATCGTAACTTAAAAGATTTGTTTCCAGACTTCTATTGAATGTTAAAGTATGTTTTGCAAGATAGTAAACAAAGTCTATAAATTTAAGTAAACCATCAATACGTAGATGAGCGGGTTAATGTGATTGTTGGACCGGAGCCAGTGTGAATGTGATCAATGGTGGTGACTTAAGATTCACAATGGAACAGTTAGTCTAATGTGTAAACAATAATACTCCACTGACCACTGTCATCTGCGTGCCATGCTGCAGTGTCGAGGTCGACCATTACCTACTTAGTTGGACTAATTCCAGTGAATTGTTCCAGTTTCCGCAAAAATAATTGCAATGCAATTAGAAGTGAAATCTTGCCAAATTTTACAGTTCTAGAATAAAGCAGCCGCAAGAGTTATTAGCTGCTTCACCTGTTGTTGCGTTGTATCAGGAACTGTCGACTGAGCTTATTGCAGTCGGGTTATTTGTGGATTATCTACGAAACTATTTTTAAGAAACCCTCTAAATTGAATGAATTTTAGTTTGAGTTTTATGTTATTTTATTGAGATGTATTTTTGTCAGTTATTCTTTTAACTACGCATAATAGAAGACATTAATATCCCGTGTTGAATTTATTGCTAGCATTGGGAAAAAGTTTGATTGAGTAGATAGAGTAAGTTAAGGAAAATGCAATTTTATTTTTTAACCGCCAACCTTTATTTGTAACAACGCTTACCTTATTTTATGTTAAAGTACATTTTTTGTGTGATTTTTCCTTTTATATGTATACATTTATCAATATTTGACATAATGTCTTAACTATCAAAATATGAAAGCTATAATATGAGAGGTCCAATAGTTTCATTCTCTGTGAGTACCAACGATCACATAATACCAATGTGATCGTTGGTGAGTAGCCTACCTGGCTACATCTACAGCACACGTCAATGCTTTGACGACATTTCTTGGTGACTGCAGTAAAATATTTTAGTATATTGTAGACTACCACAGCTTTAGTCTAAAGTTTTCATGCGTTAAAAGAACACAATAACATGTGTATGTGGTAACATTGTATAACAAACAATGTTGTTATTAGTTGATTTACCTGGATTGTTACAATCTAAATCAAGTATTAATTCCTTAGTAGCATATTATCATTGTATTGTTTATGTCACTGTGTTATTAGAAAGCATAGTGAAGTGTTATCAGAAAAAAACCATGTATTATTCTCCTAAAAAGTTCATAGTGGGTATTAAACATTTAGTGTATAGGCTACTTTACAATGTGTAATGTAATTTTCATGAAATAACTGCATGTGATAAAATACTCGGTGAACGGTTGGGATTGGACAGCAATAGCGATGTTGTGTTAGTGTTAGTGACGTCATAGGACCGTATATAGCCGGAAACAGCTGTTTGTTGTTGAGATTGAAGTCTGACGCCAGCTGTGATAGTCTCGTGTTAAACTGTATTGTTGATGCTGGATTTAGAATCAGCATATGCACGCGCCTGTTAGCTTGGTAGCGGCTGGAGAATGTTACAATATAAACTTTTCTTTACCCCCAAACTTTGGACTGAATTACACATTAAATAATGTATTTAATTCACTGGGATAAACTGTATATATATTTTTTTTTCTAAGAGGAAATTTTAAACTTTTTTTCAAATCAGCCAATAGCTAACTAGTTTTTACCATAACCTTTCTTCATAAATAAGTAAAGATATCATGTTGTGGACAGTGTACAGCTAAAATGAAACTTTAATTATACTTCACTGTTTGCATCGATAAACTTCATGTTTTTTATGTACATAAAAGGGATCCAGGCCCTTGTCAGAGAGTGAACAATTGGCCAAAATATTATAATTTTTATTGCTTTATATGTTCTTTGGCAATTTCTAGATGATAAAATATAAGTTTTGTACCAATCTTATAATGTTCTCATATTTAATTAGCCTCTACTGCAAGCCCACGGGTGGTGGGAGGATGTGGTGTGTAGTGTTTTGTAACATAAATGTTTTTATATATCAGCCAAATATTTGACTTTCAAGTTAACATTGATAAGATTTTCTTCATTATATTTACAAACCTTTTGATTATAACTATTAACATCGGTTAAATAGTTGTTTTCTTTCAATTTTTTAACTTTATAAGAACTAAAATTATTTTTTGTTAATTTTTAAGCTTTATACTATGCACACAAAATTATCCTAGTTAAACCAAATTGATTAATTACTTTAGGAATTATATTAAACTTACAAATGTGTTACATAATTACATTTTACTGTATAAAGATACATAAAATAGTATATAGTACATGGAGTGGCTATTATGATGAAAACTATTCTTTTTAAGCCCATTCAATGTAATAAAATATTTAAAAAAATGTAATTATAAATTATAAAATGTATGTCTAAAGGCTGGAACCCATTAAGCTAAGTACTTATGTTAATGAAGTCCTTAAACTGGTCAATACTATCATGTTATACAGTATCTATTTAGTGTGTTTGCATCAAACTCTAAATAATTTATATGTTTGCTCTTAGTTTCATCGCGATTTGAAAAAATGTGCTCTCCTTTATTTAAATACTAAGACATGGATATAATAATGTAAAAGCATGATTCAAAAATTTTTTTCTGTAATCAAAGTTAATAGATTTTTGTTTTATTTATGTTCTAAATAAACGATAGTATTTTTTAATACACTAAACAACTATTTTTAAGTGATAGCCTACCATTTAATTGTGATATCTAATATAATACAAAAGCTAATCCATCCATTAATGTAGTGTGTCCATGATCCTAAATCATCAATAGCCACCGAGTCTTACATTAGTGCTAGTATTATTAAGAGTAATATTAGTGTTGTGGTTGTGAGTACGCAGGTTGCAGCAGTGAGGTGACTTACAGGCATGGCTGTGTGTGGTGTGGGCAGGCTGCGGGACTGGAGCAAACTGTAATATTCTCAGTCCTCCCTGCCTCGCACCACCCTCCGCCACCCCCGCCACCCCTCGCCGCCTCCACTCAAACGTCACTCACTTGGGCTGTAAACATTCAACATTTGTTTATTGTTACAAGAAATAATGTGAATGACGTTTTCATTAACAGACAAAAAAAATTGATTTATGTTTTTAGATGAAAATGTAATAAATGTTGACAATTCTTTCAAAAATATACATTTTCTAGTAGTCCGTTAACTATGGTTGCTGATATTTAACTTTTTTATTAGTTTATGTTTTTGTCTTTTCAATTTCAACACCATTTTGTTTATTGAATCAGTATATACACTAGTTGTTATGCTAGTAGAGTACCCGGCCTTGGTGCTGGGTTGGTAGATAAACACGTGTATAGTGTGATTATTGCAGTTATTATTTTGCTTGAAGTTAAAAAAAAACGCGAAAGGTGAACATTTGACTCTTTAAATTAACTGTATAAAATAATATTACTTTACCTACGACCGTTTTTTAAAGTAGCCATTTCAGTCCAGTTCTTAGAATTGAAAAGTTTCACTTTACAGCTGTTTACTTTCATATCCGCATAGTTTCATTTCATATCCGCATAGTTTTCTCATATCCACACAGGTAACGGACCAATGAGGTTAAAGTATTGAGAGAAAAGAATTAAAATTGTAATGCTTCGAACGTCAACTAATCAGCTGATCAGTTGACCAATTTAATTGTTGATCCGACTTGTTCATGTTGATACTCGCGTATTCTTATTTAAGTTGGTGGAAGTCCAAAAATAAATGAAATATTTGCCGAATTGTACCTGATACAATATTATTTATGGTAAGAATGCTGCTAGCAATGTAATATTTAACGAAGTTTAACAAACACGTAATTACAGGAAATCAGCTGATTATACAACAAGTCGTTGCATCACTTTCAGTGGCAATGACAATACACGAAAACATAACCTCTCTAAAAAGTTATCATTAGTGATTGTTAGTAATTAAATCCAGATTGATAATAATTAAAAAACGGTCGTAGGTAAAGTAGTGTACGCAACTCGCGTTAATAGTCTTTACGACACTCGTAGAAATTTTCTACTCGTGTCGTAAAGACTCACTTAACGCAATCGTTGCGTAAACTACTATATCGCCATTGGTTTTAGAAACGAAATCCAATTCCAAATCTTATTTTCCTTTATAAGTCTCTTTCTTATGAAGTATGAAGTCTTTCTTCTCCCACTTATAAGTAAGTGGTGATAACTTATGAAAACTTGACTTAGGTTATTTAGTAGAGTACGTATACATGCTACGCTGTTGCACATATCAACATAATTTAATTGTGTGGATTATTTTCAAAAGATAATTATTTTAAAGCTGTCTAGTTATTTAAAAAACATTCATAGATTTGAAGGGGAAAAGGTAAAACAATCTTTCGACGCAAGGGACTAGCGCAAGGCAGAGGGAAATTATACAAATCCTTCCCTACCGGTGTCTGACATTAACGAAACATACCCCTATGATTATTAACGAAAACACGAAATTCATTAATGTAAGCAGAGTTACTCTTAAGTACACTCTATTTCCAATGTGGTGTAAAGCCAACAAGTTGGAGTAATAAAGTTGTAATAGAGTTACTTTATGCTCTTGCGTCTAGCTTTGATTTAACAAAATGTGAAAGTATGATCCCTGAGCATTAACTTATCTGTGTTTAAATTTAATAAATAAGGAAAAAGCTGTGTGTAGTAGTTTATAAATGTTTAACAAACATATATTTGAATTTAAAATATTTGTAGATCATCAGTGTGTATTTATCCATTTATACAATCTTGAAAATATAATCAAAGTAATTTTTCAGCTAACACAGGTTAAAAATCATGTTTTTTGCAGTGACTAATAATCTACTCAATTGATGTTCATTTTTATGAATTTCCTACTTCAGTAAGAGATGTACTTGCAGATTTGAAACTGTGAGTTGAATGAAGCTCTACTCAAGTGCATAAATTACAGAGCCGTCCGTGTGCGTGTGTGAGGTTTACGAACCATAACAGCACGTCTATTTCAAGCCCGGCTCGGGATTCCCGCCACTAGTTCCTGCTAAACTCAACTCCCACACCGGACATATTTTACACCAAACTGACACGAGACACATGATATTTTGACTTTTACTTGAAGGAAACTTCCAAACAAAATGTACTTGGCGATGGCGATATCTTACTCTGGAATCTCTCTTACTTTGCAGTTGCAGTTTAGCGTGTAATTTACACGAAGTTACTATCTAAACAGAGCTTAGTTGGCTTAGCTAAAAAATTACAAGTTGAACAAGTTTCAAGTTATTGTCGATTACAATTCTTCATTGTATTTCATGAGTTCTTACTGTTCAGTTCTTAGTTTTAAGGTTTACAGACTCTGGACTAGTTTGAAAACGCTTACGTATTGCATTCGCCTAAACATAGTTTCCCAAGCAAATTTCATAATGTTGTGAAGCGTTTCTGCTCTATATTTTAACAATCAATAATGTAAAGTGCGCAATTAACTTTTTTCCGTAATGCATGCCGACCAAAACTTTAAAGATAATTTAGATCTGCCACCAAAAAGTACTTGTTAAATGAGAAAGAATATAATATTACGATTCAGTTTATGTAGAAGGACGTTTATTTAAAATAAAAACTTAATGAAATGACGTAAAAAAACTCTTGACGATGTATTTTTGGGTTTGGTCTGTTAATATCCCTTATGTCGGTTACTAAACTTGGTTGGTTTTACAAAACTCACTTGTACAATATTTTGCGAATATAAGTTTTTCTAGTCGATAAGGGTACATTTTTGTGTTTGGTTTAAAATACTTTATTTATTATTGCATAGTTTTTAACTACAGAAATGCATCCAATTTTCCGAAGCTGAAGATGCGTCAAATCTCAACTCAGTCCATCCCCAAGAGGTTAATCTTTATAAAAAGATGAAAAACAGCAAAAACAACATAATTGTCAGACTGTTTTCAAATACATTTACAAAAAAGATCATTATGTAGCGAACGCAAGTAGGAAATGACTAACTGAGTGGAGCCGCTTCCACAAGTCAAGGTGGCAACAACAACAATTAATGTAAACTAGAGAAACAAGAGGTATGTGCTGGTGGCTGATGGGTATGCAACGCTGCTAATATGTGGCCGCAAGACTTGGTCTGGCAGATCTCCATGAGGTATGTGCTGGTGGCTGATGGGTATGCAACGCTGCTAATATGTGGCCGCAAGACTTGGTCTGGCAGATCTCCATGAGGTATGTGCTGGTGGCTGATGGGTATGCAACGCTGCTAATATGTGGCCGCAAGACTTGGTCTGGCAGATCTCCATGAGGTATGTGCTGGTGGCTGATGGGTATGCAACGCTGCTAATATGTGGCCGCAAGACTTGGTCTGGCAGATCTCCATGAGGTATGTGCTGGTGGCTGATGGGTATGCAACGCTGCTAATATGTGGCCGCAAGACTTGGTCTGGCAGATCTCCATGAGGTATGTGCTGGTGGCTGATGGGTATGCAACGCTGCTAATATGTGGCCGCAAGACTTGGTCTGGCAGATCTCCATGAGGTATGTGCTGGTGGCTGATGGGTATGCAACGCTGCTAATATGTGGCCGCAAGACTTGGTCTGGCAGATCTCCATGAGGTATGTGCTGGTGGCTGATGGGTATGCAACGCTGCTAATATGTGGCCGCAAGACTTGGTCTGGCAGATCTCCACGAGGATGACACGCGCTGGCTGTTGTACTCTCATATTGTCCTTTGTTGAAACAGGGATGTTCAACATCTTGACAAGTTGATGGAGTTACTTATTCAACCACCATGAACGCCGTCATTTGGCGGTGTATAATCTCCAGAACATAGGAGCGACTTCTTTGATGGTCATATTATGCAAGTTTTGGACCAGAGACAAGTAGGGATCATTATATCCTTGTGACATATAGTTCAACTGAAATAACTAAACGGGATCCAAATTACTCTCATTATATTAGGAACAAAATCACTATACTATTTATTTCCCGCATTGTTTCAGATATGCAATTACCGTTCCTTTGTCTTATGTAAAAGGGTATTTAAATATAACGTCCCTAAAATGTCATCCTTATTTCCATCACGGTAATTTCTTCTCTAGAAAGTGTCATATTCACGTTTTAACAACGATAATACAAATATGTAATTAAATTTTACGTCTACTATAATAGTACTGTGCTCAAAACCAAGGGGTTTGTTCAAAAGATCATTTCTATAAATGGTTGTAAATTATAGTAGGTAATGATTTATAGCACTCAAAAATCCAAACCTTAATGTTAACAAAACTGCGGAATAACTCGTCTATGATACCATCAAGGTGTCGGTGTTGATGGTTTAAAATGCTGTGGTTATTGAAAGTAGAATCTTTTTTTCAACACTGGATCCACCATTGGTGGATGACTACTAATTAAATTAGCAGTAGAGCCATACCCCTGCAAGGGCCAGAAATATCTCCCCCCATATCTACAAAAAGATTGTCCCTCCCTTCGTTACTGTCGCTCAGTCGGGTGATTTGTCTACGTCACTGTCTGTGTACGAGTATAACCTAGTCAATTTGGCTATTGAAAAATAGAATGATAATTTAAAAAACGTGATTTCTTAGTTATGATGAAACCAATGACGATAATTATGTTGGTATTCTAGTTGTGCTTGACAGCATTGTACGTGCTTAGTAGTGTATTTTTTTTATTTAGCGGGACAACAAAATAGTTTGTAAAAATTAATCATACTTAAAATTAGATTATAAAACATAACCTTTTGTCAGTGCTCAAATTTCTAGCAACCTATATACAGGAACTAATTTATTTATATAGCTAACTATAATTCAATCTAATTAATACAGTTTCAGTAATCATAAAGTAATATAAAGACAGTTTTTGTGTTTCAAATTCACACGTCAGAGCCATTTGCCAAGAGAAATTATTCGCAACATCACATAAAAATTGGTTTAAATTTGTTAAACCAGATAAACCGACGCCAGGAGCAGCGGCAGCGGTGATGACATACGAGGTTGTCGGAACGAACGTTTACTTGTACAAGCAGAGTCTAAATATAGGTCAGAATATCTTAAGTTGCTAAAACCAGGTGTGATGAAGAAATGGAAATGGCGACATTAATCATACGGTAGTGCCAAATACGGTTCCGGTACAGCAGCGATGGCGGGAACACAGAGGCAACATTGCGCGGGAACCAAATGTGTCGAACAAGAGTGCTTCTGTGATGCATTGTCCTTCATTATTGTATCGCCTTTGGTGTGAATAGGCTAGTGAGCGCGTTTGTGTTACAAGAGAAGAACATCTCTTTTATTCTTAATTCCAAACTTAGTTTTATACTCAAAATGAATGGTTTGAACAAGTGGTCGTTGATGATTCAGTCGAAAGACCAGGTTCAGTAAAGAATGCTCGTCGGCGTAGACAATTACTTCATTCATTTAAAAAATAGTTGATTTGTTTTACGTGTATGAAGTATTGGTTTCAGAATATTGTGAGATATCATTGAAACAGTCCATCCCACATTACGTTATGAAAACGCCCATTATATTAAAATCAAGTTTTTATACCTACTCGGAAATATTTCTTCTAGTTACAACTTCTATATATAACATATACACTTTATACCGTAGTTCATTCCGCTATTATTCTTTTACCTCTTGGATTGAGTTTATTCTGTTTTATGTTAGAAACTAACTACAGCATGGTTGAATTATAAAATGATGAAACCCTAACACTTCAGTACCAAGGTGTTTCATACCACAAAATTTCTCACAACATTCACACGAGTTCAGGAAGCCATCAAGTTTGGGTATTTTAAACTTTTTCAACCCCACATACCATAATTTTATCAGCTGTAATGGTTTGGTTAATGTTGGAAATCAGCAATTACTGTAATATTTCAACCTGCAATATTTTATGACACAACGTTATGTGTTGGTGTAATCGTGCCTGTGCTTGTGCGTGTGAGTGGTCAAGTTCTGTAGGCCCTACTGTATATACAGTTCACATTGTTATTTACACATTTACACATTGAGTCACATTGATATATTATGTGATCGTGTTATCAGTTTGCTGGTAACTATTGTAGAGCGCAGTTTATTTTTTGTGTTGGAATTACTGTAGCTGCAATGACATATGATTGGTCATATTTGCAGCCCTCAGGTCGCAGAGACCCCGAGACCGAGGCCGAGGCTCAGGCCTGGATTGAGGCCGTCATCGGTCAGAGGTTCCCTCCTGGTAGGTTATACACCGCAAGTGTCACAGTGAGGCATGTCGTAGAAATAACGTCAGTGACGTAATTTTGTGTTTTTGTGTGTTTTGGCCTGCATCTGGTTAATGTGTCTGCTTTCGCTTATACTCCTGAATGTGTTTAGTCCTAAAGCACATTTCTGTTTAGTATATCTTATGTAAAGATCATATGGAAATACGAGTATGAGTAAAACCGTAGACACTTCGCCTATCTGTTCTGTGTAAAAGTTGTTCCCAGTTGAAAGTTATTCGTAAAACAAGTGTCCAGAGCATAAAATACGCAAATTGTATAACACTGGGTGTACACCAGACCACAAAGTTTGTTTGGGTAATTTCCTGTTAAATGGGACATGCTGTGATGTTGTGTGTTGTTCTATTTCGGGTGTGCTGTGTGTATGTGTATGCATGATGCAACTACATGAGTACTGTGTCACAGGCTAGTGTTGCAACATTGAAATGCAATGTAGTCATGAGCGCAAACGCTTTAACATGCATTTTCGCTGTGTTTTCGTTTGATACTGTGTGTGTTAACTGCAATTGTATTGGTATTAAATTGTCCTTTTTGTGAGTTTCCTATGCAGCGTTGACTACGTCATCGTCGTTGTTGTTTTATTGCTGTTGTTATTGTTGTGTGCGTGTGCGCTTACTGCTACTGTAACGCTTATTGTTGCTTTCAGAACGTCAAGGCCGACCCCGAGTGGGAGGAGCCGGCTCAGAGATGGATCGAGGAAATTATCGGAGAAAGATTCCCCGAAGGTTTGTTACACTGACTAAAAGTTGTAAAGGTGTTGGGGGTTTATATTCACGTCTATCTAAACAGGTTTATAGTATTGATAGTCATTTTAAACTAACATTTGTACTGTATCCGTACCAGTTTGTTTTCTTATTTTTATACATTTTGCAAACTATACTCGAGTTAATATTCAAATTTGACTTTTAATTGTTAAAAATAAGATTTAATTTGTCAAAACTTTAATAATGGATTGCTGTTATATTCTATATTTTAGATATCTAACAACTTAAATTCAAAAATAAACTACACATCATCGCTGTACAGTGTACATAGTGATATAAATAGCTGTCAACACTTAAACCAATTGCTTTTCCTACAGTTACCTAACAATGTACATGTTCTCTCACTGATTTGAGAAAGCAAAGTGGCCAATTCGCTCATCAGTGAGACAATGTTAACATTGTCTCACTCTAATTACTTTGTCTCATCCCAGATTTGCAACGAGAAGGCACGAAATAGCGAGCGCGTAACATGCAGGCAACGTCGTATGCGCGCGAAATACGTTGGCAGCACTGGCTGTAAATCAGCTGGTCAGCTGTTGCACTGTTGTATTTGTCATTTCACATTAAATGTTATATCAAAAGTTCACTTCTGTGTAAAAATAGGTTATGTTTCTTCACCAATTTATTTGTTTTATGGTAACTGTAGGAAAAGTATAATGTGCAACTCGAGTTCAAAGTACAATTTCCTCACTCGAGAAACCATTCCTCACTCGCCTACGGCTCGTGAGTAAGGATTTCTCTCGAGTGAGTCAATTGCTCACTTTTCTCACTAGTTGCACAAATAACTATTGATGCTAGAAAAATAATAAAATCCAATCAACTCCCAAACCTAAAATAAAATTCAGTAGGCTATTTTGTTGGTTGGATCTACTGTAGTTGATTGTGAACAGTGTATGCAGGGTATGTCTTTGATCGGGCATGGTTCATTTTGAACCGCATTACTAAACAATATCCATACACCCCAAAATGATCTATGTGGGTTTATGAAAAGTCTAAGTTTTGCCATTGGACACTGCACGCAGTGTAGTATAGAGTAGACGTACACGTATAAACTCGTGATACAATATTTAAGGCGTTAGACGCAATAATGACACAGCACCTATATTGCATTCTTCCAACTGAAGGCACACTGGCGCGACCTGCAGCTTGGTGCTCATCTTCTGCATGGCTCTTTATAACTAACTATTGTTATGATTAGCGACACACATTATGCCACAACTAACACTCATTTCATAAATGCTATAATGATGTTTTAGGACTAACTTTTAAAAATAATTACTGTAGCTTGACTATAGTAAAAAAACATGAATACCCCCGTCGCAGCAAAACTGCAAGACTAAGCGAATTTCCAAAATAAATGGATCAATTTTCACTAGAATATTCCCTTCAAATTCATATTTATCTCCTAAATAAATATAATTATTTTTAATGAGTACTTAAGTTTGCTGATAGAGGGAAGGTATGGGAAGTGTGTCCTTTTTAATGAAATCTTAATTGGTCATTATTAAATAATTAAATTTGTCAAATTTGTTTAAAATGTATCCCTATAAATTATGACGGTGACTAAATTTTAATTTCTTTAGAAAGTTCAATGAATTTGAATTTAACATTAAAGTTAATTCCTTAAAAACATAACAACTACAGTAAGTTATTGCCAATTTTATTTTTACTCGGTTAATGGACGTATTTTTTCTTAAAGGTTTCTAAATAATTTTTCTGGAAAATTTTTACTAGAAAAATGATTTACGGTCGGGTTCAAGGAGATGAGTACAAGACGCGTATGGTGTTACAGGTGTGCCCTACGCTCACGCGCTGAGGGACGGCATCATCTTGTGTAAGCTGATGAGCTGTCTACAGCCTGGTCTCATCACAAGGATCAACACCCAGGGCGGAGACTACAAGATGATGGACAACATCAACCAGTACGTACACATACACTACATACATTGCAATCAGTTATATAAATAAGTTCGTTACAGATTAAACTCCTCACTTTGTTGTTTCTTTGTTTGGGGGGGGGGGCGCATGGTAAAAAACAATAAACCAAAACCCTTACCATTTAAAGTTTGGAAACGTTATTTTACTGTAATGTGATGTAGCCTACACTGTGCTGGTAAGGAATGTTTGGTAAAACCCCGAAAACATAAATAAATGTGCTCCACAAAATATGTTTTTATGCAACATTAAATTTATATAAAAAGATGACAGTGTAGGGGGCTACACTGCAACCCTGATACCCCCGCAGTGAGCCTCCCCGGCGGCGCCCCCACCACGAGTGTAGCTCTTGATGCTCTCTGTTCTCCTGATACTTCGGGCTCCTCTGTGACCTCGTGACTGACAGCGTTGCTACAGACCGAGCCGCGACTACACATTTCCCGCAATCCAGGGAAACTGTATCAGGAGATCAGAGACAAATCGGGAATTTTACGGAAAAGTGTACAGAAAAAGAGGGAAATCTCAAAACAATCGAACCATATGATGTTTGGGTGATATACCCAGACTCAGAGGGGGCCAGTTGGGTGTTTATGTAATGTGATACGTAAATTAACCAATACTGTAGTTACCAAATTTAAATAAAATTATGCTTTTGATTGGTTTGGACGATCTTCCTTGATTCCTGTGTTCAATATAGTGTAAAGCGAGCTTTTAACAAATAATTGATTGTACAGTATTAAAAGGAATATTAGTTTAACTTTTTACATGGTTAATTACTAAACGCCCAGCAAATGCCACAAGAAAATAATTGTGAGAGGAATGTGTAAGAAGAAATGTTCACTATTATGCAATAATAAAAATTCTTGGTTTTCCTTGAATGTGACAAAATATGATTTAATTGAATCAAACTTGTTTACTATGTATGTTTAACCACGCTGTTATACTTACACTCAAAATTCTTTGTATGTTTTTTTAGTTCTCTAGGTAATTTCTTGTACTTGGGTCCCAATTACCTGTCAAACGTAGATGTGCTCTGCAAGGCCAGATGTGCAGTTATAAATGTTGACGTGACGTGCCGCCCTCACCACTCTACGACGGCCAAGCGTTTATTTGTGACACTGACGTTCTTCTGACTTAGATTCTGATTTACGCTTGGCACTCTGGCAGGCTAAAATACTACATGACGTGTATGAGAAGCCATTATATTTCTCTGCGATCTATTTCAATGCTAATGCTGTAGGTGAACAAGTCAATTTGCATGATTTCGTTTACGTTTTTTCAATGCCAGTAGTGACCATTAGTGGAATATTTTTGATTTTTGGTAAGGAAACTTTTTGGTCTATGCGTAGAGCTTTTGTTGTAATGATAAGAGCACCTGATGAAAAAAAATTAGTTATAAAGGTTTTTAAAAAACAGTTTATTTTTTGGTAGGTTTTATTATTGAAAATATGTTTAGTTAGTACCACTATTAATTGCTGAGATTATGTTAGTTGTTGGCTTAATACTTTTTCTTGATTTTATTCTTTGCCAAAGTTACCGTCAAAAGGGGTTTACTTTAAAAATTAGCTGAATTAGCTACGCTTATACACAATTTATACACTGATTGAGCTTAAACAGCATTTACCAATCATCCATGGATGTTGAATTGAAAGATTGCAGTGATATTTTTGATAGTGTAGTTTACTATAAAAACCTGGTATTAAGTAAATGAATTGGATATTATATTGGCACATTCACAATATCTACAAGGGCCGGTATATAAAACTTCCTATTTACTAATTCAAACATTTTGAAAAATTTCAACTCAAGCTGTACCAGATTCAGTACCTAGTTTTTTTTTTTCGAAGCTATAGATCGAACTGCAGTATTTTGTGTATTCCTGCAGTTATAATATTACGAATTGATATTAATAGTCGTATAGTCTACTAACTATCTTACACAAGCTATGTTGCCTTTTAATGTAGATTTGTTCGAAATATTAATAAAATAATAGTTGTATATTACACTAATAAAACTCAACAATATATCTCAGTTTCAATAGTTTTATTCATATTTATAACCATCTAATGTGTTCACTGTAGAATTATTTTAACAAACCAATACCTATTCCACCTTTGAAAATCATATTTTCATTTGTCGGTTATCTTTTTTTTATTTGAACATATTGTTAGGTAAAAATAACAAAGACTTACTAAACAATTGTCGCCAAAACCCTGGTATCGGGGTATAAGTTAGGGAGGTCACTGTGTTATAAATATCAACATTGCAAGGAAATTAATTCGTGTTTTAAGACAGATTTTTAAATTCTACCTTTATATTGGTCAATTTAATTATTTATTCAATCAGATAATGAAGCATATCATTAGTGACTGTAGTGTTGGTGTAGGGGTGACTGGCGAGCGTAGTAGTGTATGTGTGCGTGTGTGTGCGTGTGTATGTGGGTGGGTGGCGTCGCGGCGCTGTTGCCAAGTATAGCACAACCCGGCGTTGCCACATGACGCCCGGCCTCCACAGTATCAGGGTGTCAGGAGCAACCAGCAGCTGCTGGGGGGAGGAAGACAATATTGATTACAACCACCACCCTTCACCCCACTAACCAAGCATTGTTTAATGCAATAATAAATAAAATATTGAAACTAATCCTCAGTGCAAATACACATTTACACATTGAGGTGGATACTAGGTTTAAAAATCAAGTAAAATCACTAGGCCAACTAAAAAGGTAATTAATTACACGAAGAAATGTAAAAGGGGTTTTTTTAATATATGATTTTAGCGAATTTCCCTATAGAGAAGTAGCTATTACCGGTAAGACCTAGGCCCCCGGGACCGATTTTCTTTTTCATTTTGATGTCCCCAGAGGCCAAAACCACCATTCGTTCACATTTTTTTATATATATTTATGTGTGTGTCCGTGAACTTGAGTAATTTTGTCTGATTTTAATTAAATTTGGTTTAAAGGTGTAAGGTGAGGTAAACTTGAATGAACCAGAATGATCGGACCATGGGATTATGGGGTAAAAAATTGTTTTTCTAATTTTTGACCCTCAAAACAAAAAAAATCTCAATTTCTTTCTAAACCTTTTTAAAGAGCTTAAAACACAAATAATTCAGCATATCAAAGTGTTTCTATACGGTTATTGGTTACGGAGAAAATTCAAAAACTTTATGGAGAATATTGTAAAATGTTGTAGTTTGATTGTTTATGGATATATTTTGATAAAACTTGGCAAATTTAATTATTTCATACTAAGCTATTAAATTTTATTAAAAACACAATTTATTAGTTTCCCTGTAGCAGAAAACCTAGGTACTCGTTTAACCTAAGTAATTTAAATAGAATTTAATTGAAAATATGTTCAGGCAAATGGAAATTTGCTTGGACGGCAGGTTTGCTGCGGCTGGGGTATTATACTAAACGTCTATAGATAAAATGTACAAATGATACTACAAAATAATTATATTTTTGAGTGAACCACTAAGCTAATGTTATTATAACTTTCAATTAAAAACAAGTTCAATTAGCCTAAGTATACATAAGTCCAATGTAAATAACGTTTATAAAACTATAATAACTCGTGCAAATGCAGGTTCCACAAGGCATGTGCCAAGTTTGGTGTCCAAGATGTGGACATGTTCCAAACAGTAGACTTGTGGGAGTTCAAGAACATCAACAACGTCACCAAGACGATCTACGCCATCGGCAGAACCGTAAGTAGTTCAGAGAATGTAGGCTACACACTAAATGTCAAGAATAGAATAAATAATCTTACATACATGGACAATCTTGTAGACTAAAGAAGTTATTTTGGATAAGAAGAAGGCAGCCTAACAGGTAACATTGTTATCAAAACTATAATTAAATTATAATGTATCTGGCCCCTGAACTATTTTGTCAAGACAGGTTTATTAGGTATCTCAGGACAAAATAGTCCAACGATTTTGGAAACGAAATGTGTAAGCTGAGTAACCTCGTTGGTCTGTTTGGCGGAGGCATGTAAAAAAGTAACCTGTTACCTAACTTTAGGCAAAGAGTTTCAGACCTTACTCAGAGCAATGTCAGAACGCCTAACAGAAAAATGGAAGACACCTTACAGTTAAGTGATAAACTGGATAAGGTTAAAAACCATCTGTGCGACATTAAGGGCCAGCAGCATGTGTCTGAGGAGGACAAGAAAGAAGTGGAGGACCCTTAGAGAGTTTGAAGATGGGGCTGGAGTACCAGCTTTTTATTAATTTAAATAGCAAACGTTTATTGTTTTTCCATGTACAAATTGTACTATTACTTGTTACCTAACTGCTTTGTTTCTAACCCACTACTAAGACTTCGCTATAAAGGACTAAAGGTTTATGAATGTGTGGACAAATTATTGCTGCTTGTTAGTAGTTATTTGGCACTGAGTACCAGAGTCCATTTCGCTGCTGTTCCAATTGACATTTTTTGCATAACTGTGGAAATAATACCATTATTGATATTGATATTGATTGCAACAATTTATGGTTACCGTACATCTGAATACGACAAATGCATGTCCATGATTTTCCCAACTCACCAAGTTCCTTTCATCTGGAAGAAAAATCTTCCTATGTCTTTGGAAAAAAACTCAGTAAAATTGTGACAAATCTGAATATTGGAAAACTATACTTTTCAAAAAGCTTACTACTTGTGAAATCCCATTTGGTATTTATCTACCGATAGGAATAGGATAATATTATATTATGAAATGTAAACCTGAAATCTCCTCCCCTTGAACTATTATCATAGGCTAGATATTGTAGCATAAAGTTGTGCTAATTACATGGTCAGCTTGAATTGACTGAGAAACTGTTTGCAGTGCTACAAACACCCGGAGTTCCGTGGACCATTCCTGGGACCTCGGCCTGCTGAGGAGAACAAGAGGGAATGGACAGAGGAACAGCTCAGGGCTGGAGAGGCTATCATCGGACTGCAGGTAATACCACTACAGTATAGTGAAGTGAAGTATATCCAACACCAAGGGTTAAAACTACACGGTCTAGTCCAATGTGAAAACACTATTCTCATAACACACTAAATACTATGTTAAAAAATAAGAATGTTAAGATATTCTTCATCCACTAAAACATATAACCAAAAAACAAATCAAAGATTAATAGCAAATTTTTGCCCCCATATTTAAAAACTGGAGGTTTTGCCCCAGCCCCCAAAATAGCTTTCAGTAATCAAAATGTATATAAAATGTTTAATGTTGGCTGAAATCAATGTTGCCTAGTAAAGAGTTATTTTCTCATTCTTAATAATCATAATTTCTTTAAAATTCCAACTTAAGTTTAGAATTTAAAACTAAATGTGTAAGTCAAAATTGTCTATTGACTGAAATCCTGCTTATACTATTATTTTGTTTACATACACCAAAACTATTTACTCAAATTAAAAATTAATAACGGTTAAAAGAAAATTGTAATTTAATCTCAGTCTTGGCTCATTATTTATTTAGCAAACTATTACAATTTATTTAGCGTATATCCTTCTGGGTATCTTCATTTTCACTCTCTGTTTCCTTTTCCTCTTCTGACGACCAGGATCCTATGACTACAAAGGCTGATGTAAGGATAGCTCTGTTGTAGTCAGTTAGTCTCTCCATCATCCAAACTTGTAAACTGTGCAACAACGTAATCATATTACAACAGATTTCAGGCCCTTGAAAAAAATTTAAAAGAATAAATTTATTTAATTCTTAAGTTTCCTTAGTAACGTTCAGTTTGCAAAATATTAGATTATAAGACACTTTATCACATTTTGTACCAATGCATACAAGTACCAGGGCTTTGTTTATGATAAATAAATAATAAGTTTTTATTATTTTCCTTAAATGAGTGAAATAAAGTTCATTGTGACCAACTCCAATCGATTTTTCATGGCTAAAGGCCCCACTTAAAAGAAAAAAATCAAATATCCTCTAATGAAAATAAATTTTTGCCTATGTACGCACTTGTAATGTGATGCATAGATGGATGAAAATTACAGTATGTTGCTCAGACATTCCCACATTCCCATATACTGTAACAGTTTATTGTTATAGACAATCTGCATCATCAACAAAAAATTACCCCTGTGCATACTATGGATATAAGTGCTCTAACGATAGAATTAATTGTAATAATCAACAATGTTTCAGGCGGGCACCAACAAAATGGCTTCCCAGTCCGGACAAAACTTTGGAGCTACTCGCAAGATCCTTCTGGGAAAATGAAGAATTAATTCCAAATCTTAACAACAAATCACTCAAAGATGTCCATTTGAAAAATTGCATCCTAAGTGTCTGTAAAAATCTGGGCAATGTAACCATAAACAAAAATGTATTTATTTTTAGTCTAGGTTAGTGAGAGACTTATTTATTTTTGTATATAATGCACCATGTAAAACTAAAGAACATTTTAAACATTATATTTATCACTCATTTTGCTAAATGATCATTCTAATAAAATATCAATATTATAAATTGTATGTCTTTTTTATCCTTCCCTAAAACAAAAGCATAAAAAAGTGGTATAAATGTAAAGAAAACTTCTCACAAAGTCATTTTACCTTTAAGCTATGATGTTTATTACGTTACCTATTTTGTCATAGTTTATTTCAACAAAGCTTTATTACATTCAAGATCAGGTTTTTTTTTTTTGTTGAAGAGTACGCTAGCAAAGTTTTTGTATGTAGCTTTGTAATCACATATTTGCAGCGTCTACATCTTTAGGAAGTTATAAAAATAAAGTTAAACACCTGGGGCCAATTTCATAATAAAGTACAAACTAATATTATTAGTAAATCAGCTGATCGCCCAATGCAAATCTAATGGAAATTACAAGTTACAAGTTGTAGCTTGTAACTTGTAGTTCATTATGAAATGGGCCCCTGGTCGTATTTGAGACCATATGTTTAAAGTGTTAGATTTATCAAGCACTTTAAATATAGTCGAGAATATATAATAACCCACTTTCACTCGTGTTTTGATCATTACTTTTGGCTAGACAATAATAGTTATTTGTGTAACTAGTGGTGAAAGTGGCACTTTGCTGCACACGAGAGCAATGTTTAGGAATGATCTCGAGTGCAGCCAAGGCCTTTTTCACTCGTGTTACACATTATATTTTTCCTACAGTCACTATAAAGCATATAAATAATTAGTCTTTCAAACACTATACAACACGTTTTTATTTTCAGCTGGCAACACAAATGGTGCCCTAGAGAAAGTAGTACCCGCGGTCCGCGGTCCGTATCACTCCGCTATTTTTCCTCGGCAAGAAACGTGCTCCGCGTTTTGAGAATATAGTTCCGTATGTTTTTGTAATTTGAAGTGGTTTCCACGCCTTAAAAGAATGCTTTAAAGGTATTTTCTTGTTTATTAAGATCGTAGGAATGTTTTAAAAACGTTTAAAAGAAAAGTCCAAAAAGTTCAGAAATACCGAAACTATAAACACGAAATGACAGGTTAAATCGTAGTTATAATAGTCAATCAGCTGCTCATAGTATTATTATCTTTAAGTGTTGCCAACCTATTTTCAAGCATACACGGATTACGTGCATAGTAGAACCACGCTGTTTTATGTTGTTTCGTTGGAATCCTGATGTGCGGCAAAGTATAAACCGTACGGCAAAAACCGTACGGCAAAGTATAAATATGCAGCAACTAGCAGCTTTCTGTACTATAAACAGTACAAGGAAGCCAACTTTGTCGGGTGACTGTAGGAAAAGACTATTTATTGTTTATTAAAAATAGACAATGGAATATTTCCTTATTATAGTTAGGAACATTTCAAAACTAATAGCATTTTTTTAGGTTAGGCCTCTAAAAGTTCAAATCTTTACATTGATTGTTGTTGGTTGTAGCAAATTGAAATAATTATTGATGAAACAATAACAAATGTTTGTTTGTTTGTGTCGGCGAAATATACAAATAGGATTGTAAACATTACTTTTAAAGGTGGTACACATATAAAAAAAACAGGTGATTTCACAGTAGAATTGGGAAATAGCATATTTCATAACAAGATTAGAAAGTGAGTCATTGTCATTAATGGTCGAGAATATGTATAGACCCACTTTCACTAGTGTTTTGAGCGTTATTTTTCGCTACACTACAAAGACTAATTATTTTCTTAACTAAAACAGAGATTGGATATTTCTTTATTACAGGAACATTTCAAAACCCAAAGCATTTTTAGGTTATGCTTTCAATTAAAAGTTAATATTTACTTTGTACAGTTTTAATTGTTTAAAATTGAAACATGTGATGAAAAGATAACAAACCTTGATTTGTTTACGTCAGCAAAATCCAAAAAAGATAGTCAACATTACTTTTTCTGTAGTAAACAATGTAATGGACTTTCCCGATGATAAAAATGCAACAAAAACAGGTCATTTCACAGTAGTTGTATATATTCTATATATATATTCTACGCCACATTACATTATTTTGACAAACTTCTCACGCAAGGATTTAGTCCAGAAAACAGCTGTTTGCCGCCAGCTTATTCAAATGGGGTTTCATTGCATACTACTGTACTGTAATGGGTTTTAATGGACACCAATCACTAATCAGCTGATTATACTGTATTTAGGTGGCAATGAATGGTTATAAACAAAAACATAACCTCTTATGACTAGTGATTTTTAGTCCTTTATTTGGTGGAAATATATAAGGATTTGTACAGATTTAGTAGTATGGCGTAAACTATCGTACGTAACTCATCCAAAATGTGTGTACTGGACTTGTATGGTAATCCCGTACTCGATTTCGTCTCGCACGGGAATGACCACACTCGCCCGGTAAACACTTATTTTCATGACTAGTAACGTAATATACTATTTCAAAGCACTGCACTATTTTTTTTTTAATGCCTGGCTTTTTATCAGCAGTTATTTTTAAAAGTCATACTACAGATGATATGAATGTTCATTTTTATTATCAGCTGTCTGTTTTGTTGTCCAACTTAGTTCCATGTCTTGTAAATATTAATGAGAAATACAGTCACTTTGTTTTATAGTTTAAACTAGCAGAGTACCCGTCCTTCGTACGGGGTTGGCGTATAAGTATAAAATGCTTATTGCAGTTATACTCGTGCTCTGCGTTTGCAATGGGAGAGGTCACGTACGTTTTAAGAATATTTGTTTCACTATGATTTACTGTATAGTAGCACATCTACCATAGCCGTAATGTACTACCACTGCACCTAAACAATAGAAAAAAGTAAAGTTTTCACAGCTTTTTGTTGCTGCTTGGTACAAATTAGCTGTTGTCATAAATGCAAAAAGAATTATTAATAGTGCTGCACCCAGTTGGTAAACCTTACAACTTGTTAGTTAATGCTATTGAATTCATAGAACCAACTTGTTTAGTTGAAACAGCAGGCAAAATTCTTTAATTCCTTTTAAATATGAATGAAAGCGGAAAACTCAAAACGTTCAACAATGCCTGGTATGTTCCTGACGTTTCTCGGGACTTTGTGTCCATTTTCGCAGCTCATGAACAAACCCCTTAATAGCAGGTTTGAATTGACTAATACTTGAGTGTCAGTTCACCATTAGCAAACAAACTGTATTCAAAGGTACTCGCAACTGTGGTGGAACTTTGTATCGTGCCTCATTTCGCACAGTTCAACCGTCTGAGGTTTGCGCTAATGCAGCAGAAGACAATCGCATTCTGCAGTTATATCATGAGCGCTGGGGTCACATGGATAAACGCTACGTCCGATTGAAGCTCAAATCCGAATTGGGTATCAAAGTGCCAGGCAACTACAAGATCTGCGAACCGTGTCAGTTCGGAAAGGCACACCGTCTACCATTCAGAACCAGAGAACGCCTGTTTTGTTGTCCAATTTTGTTCCATGTCTTGTAAATGAGAAATACTGTCACTTGTTTTATAGTTAAAATTAGTTTTTCATCGTGGTTAAACTTAGATTTTCCCTAAACACCTCCACTTGGGAGAATAATTACAAATTTTTTAGCTAAGAAATTCACAAAACCACGATTTTATGTCCCTTTACAAGGCTAGATCCTAAATTTATTCCTAATCGTTTAACTATTATTGTTAACAATTGTTACCAAAGCATTCAAATATTTGGTCTGTACTGTAGATTTTAGGTCTAGTAGAGTTGACTGACTTACCACAGAGAAAACCTGAATCTAGATCAATTTCATTGATCTGTGCTATTTACTATTAACTATAAGCCAGTTGATGCTATAACTTAAATAAGATCATGGAAACAACTTGAGCGTTTTTATCACTGAATAGCATAGTTACACAAAGTAATAAATATGATTAGTTGAAGGTTGGATATAATTAGCATTTTTTTAGTTTAATTTTTAACTAGCATTAGTTCAATAAGAAATTCACAAGTTTTGTACAATTCAATTCTAAATATAACAAAGGAGTTAAACTAATAAACTATGTAAAAATGCAAAATATGAAGTCATCAAATTCTAATGGATTTTATTTTATGCAAACAAAAATGTTATCCTATAGCCTCCTTTTATAGTTTAGACCACACTTTTTGAATCCACCATACCCCCTAGTGAAGATATGTTGAGGGTTTACATAAATCAAATAAACTTTGTACCTAACTATAGCAGCAGTATTTATTAAATATTTTACATAGTTCAATATTAAACAAGTTTTAATACAACCTAGTTGCGTCTATATTTAAAAATGTAAATGATATAAATATACTTTTAAAATTATTCGTGCATCTCATAGTAACAAGAAGAGTGCTTTGTAACAAGGCGAGATAATACTGACAGCGACAGCACGCTCTAAGCTGAAAACAACTTATAAAGTTTCATATGATTTAAAATCTGATCTTTCAACATACATTAAAATCTCTTGGCCTCTAGCAATAAATATAGATTTGTCAATAAATAATTTAGTTGGAGTAATTAAGGATTGTCCGTCCTTGGGTGTTATGGGGAGAGACCAGCTACTCCAGGAATGAACCTATAAACAAAGAGAACATCCATGAGATTCCACAACTCAACATCTCGTCAGCTTTAAGAACATCTGAACCTATACCTAGGTATTATACAAACTGTGTTAGACTAAAATACTATAAAACTTTGCTATACAGGCTGATCAACTCAAGGAGGCCACCATTGGGATATTGAAAACGGTAAGAATTATAGACAACTTAAACTTTACATGCCCCCAAAACTTTAACTGCTACAAATAAAAGAATGTCCCTACATTCCTTTTTTTGTGGCAGTTAAAAATACAAATTTTATTCATTATGCTTGGACACTGATCAAAGATAATGAAAATCAAAAGTGACGATAGTGAAAATCAGGACATTGACACTCCTGTGTCTGTCTCTTGCCAGGTCTGTTGTGTGACTTGGAGTTTACAAATATATTCTGTGCTCTCTCTGAGAGACACTTCTATAATATTTTAAATTAACAAAATAATAATAGTAAATGTTAACCCTTTGCGCTCGGAGAGGTCATTTAACGTCTGTCCTACGCAGTCGGATGTCCACATATAGTGGCCATCGCCATTATCGTGTCAGCTCAGAATTAATACGGCAACGTTGTGTCTCACAGCTCGGAAGGCCACACATAGTGCCCATAACAAAATCTGAATTCCGCTCGGATGGCCTGTGCCAGTGCCCACAACACATTTTTTATATTTGTTTAATAATAGGTATAGTAGGATGTCTGATGAGTGCTGCAATCTATCGAGTAACTCTTAAACTAGAATATTAGAATTAATTAACATTTAAATTGTTACTAAATTATCTAGGTTAGTAGAAATGAAAAAGTGCCTACTTTGGAGTTACCTGCGAATGTCAACATCACTGCCAACATTTGTCAATTCATGCGCCAAATCTGAACCTGTGAAGGAAAAACCAATTATCTTTTAACCAATCTGAATAAAAAGGTTTATCTAACCATTAAAATTACATTTGATTATGACCGTTTGACCATGATCATTTGAAAATTACCGTTTAAAGCCAAGTTTAAGTGAAATATAAGTGCGAGTAGGATGATTTATAGACCTGTTAATAACTACTGTCAGGGACGTATATAACTATCTGCCGCCTCTAGGCAGCAGATGCAGCTGCCCCCTCCCCCCACCCCTACTAGTCAGAACGATTCCCAACCTCACTAAGTTTATCCCAATACATGCCCTGTCAGCTGATTTTGTAGAAAAATAATCGGCAATTGCATGCTGCATCAACAAATCTAATAATATTTTGAGCCCTTGTTTTGCCGTTTTCTTTCAAAATGAAAATGGGATTCTATTTGGATACATGTTTTGGATGGGGGAGGTAGGCCTACATTACGCGTACCTAGCGGCCGGCAGACCACGCCCGCGAGCCTCGACAAGTCCGCCAGACCAGCAGCGCAGCACAGAAAACGCGGCACAGCCGTAATGATAAAAAATGATCTACTTTGACTTAAATGTGTCTGAAATCATTTTATACTCAATCAAAGTATTTAAAATAGCATTTTTGCAGTTCTCAAAATTAATTGCTTAGCATTATTTTTTTAGATTAAAACCTCCTTTTTGATTATTTTTTTCCAAAATTTTGCCGCCTGCTAAAATTTGCCGCCCTAGGCACGTGTCTTATCTGCCTATTCGGAAATATGGCCCTGACTACCGTATGATACCTTTTTCAGGATTATTGAAAGCCAAATGATCAAAGGCGATGGAACCAGTTATTTAACATTGTGAGTGCTTCTAATAAGGTAGTTAAAGTAAAACTTGTGGTTGGATAGCTAAGAGGTTATAATAGTGTTTGTTGGATAATCAAAAAAAGATCACAGTTTTGATCCTGAGAAAGGTTTGTAGCTTTTTAATCATAGAGTTTTAAAACATGATCCTGCCAAAAGAAACAACTGATCTTAGTGATTACAATGCTACCCATGTCCTTTTACTTCAATGCTACACTCACCTTAGATTCATATCCAGAAAATTGCTCAAACAAAATATATCACTTTCTGAATAAAGTCCACTTTCATGTTTCATGCAATTGAATCGGCAATGTATATTAAAATACTAGAAATTGATGAGTTTTAGTTTTGCTTCGCTACATTTCAATAGACGATACTTTTATATTAAATTAATTATATAAGCTGTAGGTTACCTGTGTGGTCGTCGTCGGAGAGTTCGTTACCCTCGTGCATGGCCACATCGGAGCCACTAGAGCTGCCTAGAGTTTTGCGCTTGACTCTGCCTGGACCTCCACGGTTGGTGCCTCTCACATCAGACACCACACCGTCTATGCAGTCACTGTCAGAATCACTGCTCACACACTGACCTGACCAACAGATAGGAACAACATTTTATCAACTTTTGTTTGACATAACATTGTAAAATGTAATAGTAATAGTCTATTGTCTATAGTCTAATGTCTATTGACCTCCATGATTTTTGGGTTGTTTGGGCCAACAGTTGGCTTGAGGGTTCTGTTCAAGCTGGAAGTAGTTTTCGGGCCAAAGTTAGGTCAGGTCCAGCCGAGCCGAGCTTTTATTTTTGCGATTGCAGAAAGTTTCTGTGAAGATGTGCGATCCACACTTAACAGTCTCGCCATGATCACAGGAGACAATGATGATCGCCCTTAACAGCAGATAATGTTTACAATTTCACTGTGATTATGCGGTGATTGAGGAAGATGATTCTGCAGTGATTGCAGAACATTTTCACGATTTTGCAGGGATTGCAGAACATTTTCACGACTCTGCAGGGATTGCAGAAGAAGTCTACAAAATCACTGAGGCTTTAGAAGATGCTCAAAATTTCACTGTATTATGAGGAGATAATGTAAAGTATTCTGTACAAACAGATTCTATTATTACAGATAATATTCTGAAAAATTAACACTTTCCAAAACAGCCGATACTAAACCGACCTGAAGTAAAAAAATGTCTGGCTTGCAGACCTCTGGCACAAGGTGCAAAAATAACCAAATAAAATTATATATTTGAGACCTGTTAAAACAGGACCCTTGTCAAAACTGACGTTGGTCGTAAACATTTGAGTAAAGTGAATGAAATGTTGTTTAAATATGTTATTTCATACAACTAAAATTAATGTTCCTTTAACTGGGCTGATACCTTTGCTTTGTCAAACTTTATTCTCAAGTACCTACTACCTAGTACAGAGCTGATGATTGGATATTTCACTCCGTAATTTGGATTACGAACGTCTACAAAGTTATAGAAAGCCAATTATTTTAGGCTTTTACAAGATTATTTTCAATTAATTTGCATAAAGATAAAGCTTTTGTATACGCTTTCTGAATAACTTAGACTTTTTATTAATTAACATTAATAGTTTTTTTACAATTTATATGATGCTGCAAAAGTCTTTGTACTCAATAAGAAGTTCATAATGACTTTATCAAGATTGTGTAATGTAAATTTGTATTTATTTCAGGTTGTATGGATCATCCTGTGAATGAATGAAAGAATAAAGTGTTTTATTTGATAAATAAACATTCTTCTCATAACATTCATAACTGTTAATCCTATAATAAGATTAATAAGTAGTCTATTTGAGTCAGGAATTAATTGTGTCATGTCCCTTTCAATCAGGATTTCATCAACAATCGTTCAATTGTTGACTATTATGTTACTAGGTATAAGCCCTGAGCCCTAACGACCAGCTAGCAGTGTGTACAGTTGCCCTCTACACACTACTGCACCTACAACCTAGCAGTGTAGACAGACCTGCCCTCTACACGCAACTGCACCTACCATCATTGTCTTTGTCAGAAGGTGTCGTCTGAAGTCTCTGCTCTGAGTGAATGATCTGTGTTGTCTCCCACTTTCCATTGTCAAGTCCATTTCCTGTCACAAGACCACCATTTTTCTGCCATTCTGTGGAATTGAAATTGTAATTTTAAAAATGCTGAACTATCTTCTATAAACATTTTACTATGTGAACCTTAAACTGCTGCTTCAACTGTCAAGAATTAAGTGTTGTAGTGTTTTTGCAATGGCACTTTTATGTTTTGAAAGGGAACTGTCAAATTGTTAGCCTACTATCTAATGTCAACCTTTTTGATGAATCCATCATTATAACATCATTTTTGTTAAATAGCATCATTAATTCATAGCCCAATGACAAGTGGCATCTGGGTCGGGAAACGATCTCGCTTGGAATCAAACCAGCGACCTTCAGTTTGAAGCCGAGCACTGTAACCACTCGGCTACATTGTTATGTATTTATTTATGACAGTACTTTATTAACTGTAGCCAAAATAATAAATTGCATTGATAAGTAAACTAATCTGAGACCTCTTAAAAATCTTGTCTTGAAAATATAAGGTAAATGTATGTATAAATATTTACAGTAGACTCCCTCTTAGCCGGACACCTTTAAACCGGACATCGGTTTAACCGGACTATACTCAGCGGAAATGACATCTCATTAACCGGACAATTTTTATCAGCACATCGGTTTAACCGGACTAGATCGGCAGGAAGTGGGCGGTACTGAAACTACACTGTTCTCGTGGGAAAGATTTGAGACCAGTGATCACGTGTCTAAATACAATGCTCTCCTAAATTTATGTCAAATACTGTATACAGTATGCATTGAAACGGTCTTTTTTAAGGAGTTTTGGGGATGTCGGTTTAACCGGAAAAACCATTATTCCGACTGGCCTCGGTCCCAAGGAGTCCGGATAAGGGGGGAGTCTACTGTATTTGAGTTAGTTACCTAATTCAGATTGGAACTCTGCAGGACTTGGAGGTGGTGTTTTTGAGGTTTTTCTTTTAACACCTAAAAATTAAAGAAAATAATTAAAATAATGAAAAACTTCAACTGACCTAAGGGAAGGAAGGCTATGTCCTACTTAAAATGTATAGAAATAATCTTGTACCTGAAAGTACAAAAATACGTCAAATAACACTTCTAATTTACACTTATACTGTTTACTCACAAGACGGTAAATACAGAATCTTAAGCAAAAAAAATTTAATTTGTATTTTACTGTGTCTTAAAAGACACAACATCACAGGTATAATAAATGAATAACAAAACTAATGCTGAATGGCTCTGCCTTTATTATGCTTTTACATGGTAGAGATTACGATATTTTGGCAAGTTTTACCCCAAGTGGGCTGGTTTTATGTTTATGAAACTACTTTCTCATCTTGAGTTTGTAACTAAACTTTCCACATTATTATTAGAGAAACTTTATATTGAATAAATAAATTATATGGCTAGTATGAAAAAATATGTAGGCTTACAACCACCTTTATTTATGTCAAGTGCAGTAACTTCATGGTTTAAAAAGTCGGCAGTGATCTTCTTTTCTTCTGCTTCGTATTTGGAATTATCTACAACATCTGTAAAACATGGTAGATATTAAAATTTATCAGGATAAAAATTGTTACCGTATTGACAATGGGAACATTTATTTATTCTTAAGTACATTTTATGAATATCGTAAAAAAAACATTTCTCTTAGAATTAAGCTATTTAACAAAATCAGTGCAGTAAACTTTGTTTATCTTACCATAGTATGAAAGTAGAGGGGGTAATGTTTCAAGCTCAAAAAAATTTTTAGGATCAAGGGATTGGGGAAAAAGACTTTTTTAATCCATACTAAGATAAGAATACACTTAAAATCAATAATGGATGAATCAATAATGGATAACATTGACTATTGGATATGGATAGTCAACGAGTCTAATAAATGGCTATTTGAAAAATAAGATCTAGTCATAGAATATTCAAAATTTTGGGTCAATGTTGAGGTCAAAATTTGTGAATATTACCCATTCAAATTTCAAGTTTAGAGTTTAGGCCTACATTTAAACAACAAGTGGACAAGGCAAGGAATATTTTACTCTGGTTCTGCTATCAGAGGAAATATTTCCCAAAGTATTCTCGAGTCCAAAAGCTTGCTGAGTTCAGTAATAAATTCTTGGAAAAGAATAAAATGATGGATAAAGATTTAATTAATGTAGATATAAACAATATTTTTAAAAAAATCATTGTCGGGGATTTCTCCAAAAGAAACACCTTAAAAATTGTCATGTTTTCAATTAGTTTCATAATTTATTTTCCAGGATAATTATTACTTTGTTGACTATATTTTGAAACAATACGTGTTCTTTACAATGCTGTAATAGTACCATTACACTAATTATTTTATAATTAGTTAAAAACTAAAAGCAACATAATGTAGGCCTCATTAAATAAAAATTCAATTACCTCTTCCTTCTGAGCTAAAATCTTTTTCTTTTTTAGGAGTGCTACATGCTTCTAATGAGTCTGGGCCCTGGAAATAAAAACTAATTTTACATTTGAATACCTAACAAAAGTAAGATTAATAGTTCAGCACACATAATTTATTCACCAATCCTATAGTTTAAAACAAGAATATTTAATAAAATTTCAGGTAAAAAAATAATTACCTATAACCAATCATGGTAGGCCTACTAACAATATCTTTCCTTAAGAAATATGACAAAACACACTCCAAAGAGAAAGGAATTTAAACACTCTTCAGAGGGACTAAAGGGGAGGGAGAGAAACAAAGATTAAAATACTTTTTTTAAGATAGCAAATGATGCTAGTCCTAAAATTTACTAATGGTTTGAAATTAAGTTTCTCCAAGTAACTTTGGTGACTGTAATAAAAGCCAAAGAGCAATCCTACCAATAATCATTAGGGCAACAAGATAAACAGAGAGATAAACCTATAGCTTCCACTGTTTTTGGGACTTAGAAATTAAATTGCGACTAGTAGAAATCATACTTCAATGGTCAATTCACCTTTGAGAAATCCTTTACTATCCTCACCTATATAAATTTTTAACACATACTGAAAACAAACAAACACACAGCCATAACCTGCCATAGCTACCTTGGAGTCATCAAAGTTGTAGCTCTGGTCCATGGAAGCGTTGCGCCGCAGTGATGTGTCTCTGCTCGGGCCTAGCTCCTCCTTAAGGGTGTCGAAGCCTGATTGGTCGAGATGCACCTTGGCCACAGCTCTCTCTACATCATCTGTCACCAGCTCTACATTGGTGATGCACTGAGTCACAATGTCCTCTCTACCGATTGCCCTCAGCCCCTTCTCTAAACTATTCCCTGCAAAAAAGGTAAATTTATTTCCTTATGTTAACTTTTTTGAGTTTAACATCATTAGTATTTTTTACATTTTTTTACAGAACAGTCATAACCGTGGTCTTGCTGCTATCTAACATATAAGAAAATCTTCAATTTGTTGTGCTTCTGTTAGATGGCATCTGGATCCAGAATCTACCTGATTGGAGTCAACCCTTCAGTTTTAAAGGCGAGCTTCATAACCACTTGGATACCAAGACATTTAACTTAGGGGTTTGAGTTTTAGGTTAGCCTTGTAACTAAAACAGTTTTTGTTGATATAAAAAATTGATTTTTATGATTGAAATTGAAAAATCTCTTAATTACGTTCACAAACTAAAATATACTTGATGTTCATACAATAATTTTTTTGAGCTTCATAACCGCCGTTTATCCCTACAATATATTTGGTAGGAATCCTTTTTTGTTAGTTGACATCTATAAAATAATTTTTGAAAAGTATTTCAAACAAAACAAAATCCAAAAACACAACATTAGGCAGAGTGTGCTTTCTGCTTTTAAGAAAAATTAACAAAAAAAACTTATTATATTTATTTCAATAAATCACCCATACCAGAAGCCTGATTGCCTTTGCTTGTCATCCATAGACGCAGCATGATCATGGCTTGCTGTCGCACATTGTTCCGATACTCCGAGCGTATCAGATCAACATCTGACTGAGTCAGTCCAAGCTCTAAAGCCAAAGGTTCCCAGTCCATTGACAGTAGATTGCAAATATCTGACAGCCTGATGTCCGCTCTATGAATTGTCTCTGTGTTCCCTAAAGAAAAATGAATATTTTGAATATTTTTATACAAGAGCATTGATAACAAATTTGGTATGGGTAAAGAAAAATATTCAAAAAAACTTAAAGTAAATTCCGGATGTTAGTTGGTACAATCAAGACATGCACTGATTGAAAAATGTTATTTCTTGCACAACAATGAAAAAAGTAGTTGTGCATTGATTCCATGCCAACTAGGTGTGTGCCAAAAAACTTGCTGCAATATAAACAAAACTGTGCCATAAGGATTTTCTCAAGCACTTATCTCTCATTAAACTTTTGGATTATGCATATGGTTCTTATACAAATACACTTCTTCTTAGTCTCAAGTACTTTACAGCAAATGTTTTGAAATCAATCATAGAAAAACTACTGGAACCAGTTGGTAGAAAATTAACCTGTTGAATCCCATCGACGCACCCGCGCCCGTGCACTAGCCCCGTTACCGGCCCAGCGACGCGCCGCCGCGTCCGTGGCACAGTTTATATTTGCCGCGCTTTCTACATCGATGTAAGAAGAAGAAGTATATTGTGTTTGATACCGTTCTGTTCGGGGAAATCTGGCCTTTCGAGTGGTATATTTTGTTTTGCGCTAGCTGTACCGGCATCCCTGCAGCGATCGATAAACAGCAGCTGTGTTTGTAGTACTCGCATTTTACCGATCACCTGTTGCGTTGCGTAGTATTGTATGTTTGTTTATTTACAATGGCGAGTGGTTCGGGTACATCGCGATCACTTCGTGAAAACGAAATAAGTGAATATTTAGACAATGAAAATCTTAGTGATGTGTCGGGAGTGGATTTTGACATTGGTGAAGATGACTTGAGGTTGAGTGACGATGAAGTTTTAGTGTTACAAGACGTTTTTGATGAAACACGAGCAGATTCGCCACAAGATATTTTTGACGAAACACGAGCAGATTCTCCGGAGAGTATTACTGCTGAAACCACCATTACCGATCTTACAGACAATATACAAACCCCAATTGTTGTAATTCCTGGGCCTAGTGGTGATGCTTCAAATACAGGTAGGCCTATTGTTGTTGATACAAGTAATGACCCAAGACCTAGGCCTACGAAAAGGAGGAGGGTTCAAAAACCAAAAGTAACCTTTCCTTGGCTTCATGACACGGATTTACCCCTCAAATATTTGATTTTGACGACTCCAACAGTGGAATAAATCCTAATGTGGATTTGACTGAAACTTCAAGTAATTTGGAATTTTTCCTCGAAATGTTTCCACTCGATCTGGTTTCCCACATTGTAGAACAAACGAATCTGTATTTCAATGAAGTGGTTTCTCACCTAGAAAACGTTTCTCTAAATGAACTAAATACATGGAAACCAGTCGATGAACATGAAATGCTATGTTTTTTGGCATTGTGTATTCTAATGTCACATGTCAGGAAAAATGAAATTAGGGACTATTGGTCCACTGATAAATTAATTGAAACCAAAATCTTCAGGGAAGTTATGAGCAGGAATAGATTTCAAGCCATACTTCGAATGCTACATTTCAACAATTCGGTTGTCCCCAACCCTCGACTTCTTGGCAGATTACATAAGATAAACCCAATTCTGTGCTCCCTGAACAAACAAATGACTGATAAAATCACACCGTTTGAAAAACTTGCCATTGACGAGACTTTGTTTTTATACAAAGGTAAACTATCTTTCAGACAATATATACCCAAAAAAAGGGCAAGGTTTGGCATAAAACTATTCGTTCTATCGGACTGTGACACGAGCCTAGTGCTTCACATTTTGCCATATGTTGGAGCAGAGACAAATCTAGGTTTCTCCGGATTAGAGGGCATAGGCATCACGGGACAAGTGGTCCTAACCCTTTTAGAACCCTTCTTTGGTTTAGGCCACAAAGTTTACCTAGACAATTGGTATGTAAGTCCGTGTCTAGCAATGGAGCTATTTAAACATAATGTAAACATGTGTGGTACCGTGCTGCCAGACAGGCAGGGCTTGCCCAAAAAGCTACCGCGGATACCACAAGTAGGTGATGTCGATGTTCACCATACAGACATAATGATGTATGAGAGATGGCAGGATAAGAGGGAGGTCAGGATGTTGACAACCATGCACCAGTCTGAAATTGCGGAAAGTGGTAAAACTAACTGGGAAACCGGACAGAAAATTAAAAAACCGAAGAGCATTTTAGACTATAATGCTAATATGGGAGCAGTTGACATAGGTGATATGGAGTTATCGTTCAATGTGACAGCCAGGAAAACCATCAAATGGTATAAGAAGCTATTTTTCCATCTTCTCGACGTAGCCATTAGGAATTCCCATATTCTTAAGAAAATGAAGACTGGAAGGAATCCCCACCTGTCAGATTTCAGAAAAGAATTGGTAAGGGACATATTGGAGATCTACTGCCCTGCGAGAACCCACCCACTTGGCGGTTGACCTTCTCCCGGTGAAACACCTCTGCGCCTGACTCAGCGACATTTTCTAGAGCCAATTCCTGCCATCCCTAGCAACCCACGGCCCCGGAGGAAATGTCATGTGTGTCGCTACACAAAGAGGAAACCTTCAAAGAGGACAGACACATATTACATGTGCGTTCCATGCGGCGATGTCCCACTCTGCATCAGCCCCTGCATGAAAGACTTTCATACTCTTCGACAATTCTGAATTGTAAATAGGCTACCCTAGATTGTTTTGACTATTAGGATCTGTTTTGAATGTCATAATCTTTGTGCATTTTGACATGTAAATATATTTGATATTTTTATTTTTGACTAGCCTATTTGTAGTAGGCCTATCTGGTTGTAGACTTTCATAATCTTTGTCAGTTTTGTATTGTAAATATATTTTCATTTTTCATTTTGATAACTTGTAGGATATGTTTTAAATTTTTATAATCTTTGTGAATTTTGACTTGTAAATAGATTTGTTTTTTTTATTTTGACTGTTTTGACCATCTGATTGGAATTTCATAATCTGTGTAAATTCTGATTTGAAAATATATTTATTTTTGACTAGCCTAATTTATAGTAGACCTATCTGGTTTTAGAATTTCATAATCTTTGTCAGTTTTGTATTGTAAATACCTATATTTTTATTTTTCATTTTGATAACTTGTGGGATATGTTTTAAATTTTTATAATCTTTGTGAATTTTGACTTGTAAATGGATTAGATTTTTTTATTTTGACTGTTTTGACCATCTGATTGGAATTTCATAATCTGTGTAAATTCTGACTTGAAAATATATTTTCACCACACTATCATGTTTTTGGCTGTATTACATACGTTAATTGGTGGCCGAAAGTTAGGTTTTGCTGGCGATGCCAGCTGTCCATAATTTGGGGACCGAGCAGGTTTTTACAGGCCGGGGCCGCAAAATCAGCTGTCCGCTTACTTACTTAAAACATGAATGCATTTTAAATACATAATCAAAATCCATAGCATTTCAATAGAATTGTGTTATTGTCACCGTTGCCTAGCAACTATATATTTTTATTTTTGCTGATTCCTCAAATTATTTCTTCACATAACCTTAAAGTTGTAGTTGTGTTGACTATCAGTGTGCATTATTATTGTGGTGAATAGTGGTAATAGGGTATAGTGTGGTGAAAAATAGCGTTCGTACCACGGACCGAAATGGTTTTGCGGCTCTCGATCGATTTAAGTTCTCGACTTCGTCTCGAACTTAAAAACTATCTCGAGCCGGCAAAACCTCATTTTCGGCCCTAGGTACGAAATATACTATTATTTTTGACTAGCCTAATTTATAGTAGGCCTATCTGGTTTTACAATTTCATAATATTTTGTCAGTTTGTCTAGTAATATATTTTCATTTTTCATTTTGACAAGTTGTATGATACGTTAGACTTTCATAATCTTTTTCAATTCTGGCTTGTAAATAGAATTTATCTTTTTATTTTGACCAATAAATTGTAATGTTTTTTACTCAATTGCCTAAATAAATTTGTATTTTGGTACAGTAAAATGTAATTATTTACCTGTTATTACTATAAAGGTACAAAGATTTATTTTCCATATTTTCTGACTTGCCTTATACATGTAGTATATACACATACATATGTATATACACACACACACATATATATATATATATATATATATATATATATATATATATATATATATATATATATATAATTATATATACTCATATAAAACATGTTACAGTATACATACATTGATAAATTTTAAAGTTGCACTCAAAAATAACATTACATTGTAAATCTCATAAATGTTACAGAACGGCGCAAAAATCTGCAATTTCAAATTTTACGTCATACTACATTTTTTGACATAATTCATGTATATGTTATAGATTGTTTTTTTTTTTTTAATATTTCCATGTAGGGAATTGAATTTCCTACAATGAGTATATATTGGATTTAGAGGAAAATTGTTTTTAAAATTTTACCGTAACTCTGCTTTTGAAATTTCTAGGAAAAAATTTACATTTTTTTATGTTATCTTACATTTAAAAAAATTAAAATAATTTTTTTTACTTTTTATACTATTTTCAGCTTCTCCTGTTCTTTCTGAACAAAATAAATCCATATATGACTATGTTTACTTCATAATTAGATTGTATACAATTTTTTTTCTAAATGTCTGCAAATTCGCAAAAAAAACCCGGGCTGGGGGGAAGTCCTGGCTATGCCAATACTTGGGATTCAAGAGGTTAAAATGTAGACCTATGGACATGGTCTTAACTTAATGCTGAGGAGCAGGGCTTTAAGAGAAAAATCTTTAATCTTGGGAAATGTATATATTTCCCGAATCCTCATGAACCGATTAAAGAAACGTTCCTACACTGGTAGTTTAAAAATTCATCGGTGGTTTAATAAGTCAGTTAGGCCTACCCTTGTTGGTTTATGCATTCATGGTACATCCATCCTAACCTCTTATTTAGGTTTAAAATATAGTATTTGGTAGCTAAGGTTAAAAAGTAGGCTAATACCAGAAAGGTAGCTAAAAAGAAAACAATGATTTAGTTAATTTCTGTGGTACCTAAGCCATGGTCCCGCAGGAAGCTGTAGTTCTTGTCTACGAGGTAGAGGTCTGACTCGGAGGGTGTAGGTTCCCTGACAATATCCTCAGGTAGAGTAATGTTGAGGGTACAGACAGGCATCTGACTAGGTTCCCCTCTTGCCACCTGCAACAACATACTGTATACTGTGTTGTCTGTAATGCCCATCAAAACCCAAATCACTTCCTGGCACATTCAAACGTTTTCATGGAAGTAGCTTTATTTACGTTTTTTTTCTATCAGTGAACTGGTATGTCTACTGCCATAATTATAACCAATTTTGATGGAGTCAAGATTTTAACTACAGTTTCATAAACTCTGTAAAAATTTGGTAAGATAAAAAAATATTTAAGGAGTCCTGCTTATGTAAGTTACTATCAGGATTTTTTACTAACCTTTGTAGCCAATTTACTAGTTTCAGGATCCGGCCAATCACTATGGTGCTCATTTGTGATTAAGTTGGGATTCACCAACTTTTTTACCTCTTTAACTGTTAACCTCTTTTTTTTTTGTTACATAATTGTTCATCATGGAATCTCTCACGTTCAACTTGATAGGCCTATTTATTAATAAAGAAATTTGATTCTTATAAAATACATCTATCATAGAATTAAATACTTTTGAAGTTTTCATACATAAGCTTTTGCTATCTCAATATTTATTAGTAAATTTCCACAATTTCTCACCTTAGGGTCGGACATAAAGAGGATACGAGCCATAGCCTTCTCGTCCGGATCTCTAACTCTCACAGTGAAAGGTAACCGGTTCTCTTTGAAGGCTTTGAAGCTGAGCTCTAGTTGATCTCCAGATTTTGTGACTGGAACGAGATTACCAGCAAACTCTACATATAGCAGTTTTCCTTCTAGAACCTGGAAAAAATTCACACACACTTTAAGGATCAGTATGATGAGAAAAATATAAAATGGAAAAATATACTGTCTTTTAGATGGTTGTAAAAAAAGAATTCACAAACCTCAACATCTCTGCTCTTAGCGACTTCCGTGAAGTGTTCTTGGTGTTCCAAAGTCTTGTCTTCTTTGTCATCTGTCATGCAGAACACCCTTAGTCTAGCCTCTAGAGGGTCTATCCTCTTAGCAAACACCACAAACCTGCAACAGAAAACTCATAAGTACAATATTGATTTCACACTAAATAATCATGTTATGATTAAATAACATTTATTATAAAAGTTAAGAATATCCTGGTAATCATTCCTATTAAGTTTTACAAACGTTAAATTGAGTTGTACTTCCTATGTTAAACAGTGAACCTTGAATACTGGTCTAAAGAAACAAGATTATGTCTTAGAAGCCAAGCGAAACCAATTAGTAAAAAATGTCCATTTAATCACAATAGGAAATTTTAAGTCTACAACAACTTCTTCTTTTACACATAACCCCTTCAGTCACCTACCTGACCATTATTAAAATGTGCTGACTAGGCAAAGGAACACTATACAATCAAATAGTCTCCCATATTGGATAGAACAGTATCGGATGCTGATAACTTATTGCACTTCGTACATCGTTATCTTAACCACTAACTAGTCACTAAATTTTTTAAATCGTAATCTACTAATTTGCGACTCAAAGTTTGTTGCCCTCCACCTCTCTCTGTTTGGCTGCATTGATAAATTAATCATTAAGTTATAAATAGGTTTTATTACAATAAGATTACCAGTTTCAACTAACTAAGCTGTTGTTACTTATACAAAAAAATTCATAAAATTTTAGGACCTAATCGGCAATATTCTTGGTTTTTTTACCAATATTTTATTGGTCAGTTACAAATATTTAAATAATGACCAGTAGTTAACAACTAAAATTGAGTGATAAAAACCATGACTTGAAAATGTAAAAGTCTACAAATGTTTCACATATGGTGTCATTAGTTGAAGCTCTTTCTTAAGAGGGTTCCCTACCCCCACCAAAAAACGTCAGAAAACCGCTTTAACTGTAAAGTTCACTAACTTTGACAAGTCGTTGCCCTTGATTACGTATGCATAGACATTTTTTAAAAAGCAAACTTAGTAGAACCACTCTTTATGTACAAAATGGTGTTTGGTTCACAATTTAAATGTTAAAACTAGAATCGCTATTAGATACCGCGCGAAGCAGTTTTCTGACGTTTTTTGGTGGGGGTAGGGAACCCTCTTAACCGTGCATGGCTGTTGGCTGTGTTCATTTTTGAGCTTGACCGCCTCGTAATATTAATATTAATGTTAATTAATATAAATTTTTAATAAATTAATTAATATTAATGATATTGTATTAATATTAATGTGGTGGGTTCTGCCTAGGAGGTGAAAAAGGGAATGACCAAGACACAATCTGTGCCTGGAGAGAAGATGCCAGGGAGATGAGGTGGTTTCATGGTGACAAGTAGGGTGATAGAAATGTATGGAAACTGGAGACAACTAGACAGCACAATCTGTAGAACACCAGAACGTTAGTATGAGTACAACAACCTACTTGGCCATGAAAGGAACGTGAGTGATTTCTCTGTATAGTTCAGACGCCATGTTGGAAGCATTGCTGACATGCCGACAGTCCATGAGCCAGAACCTGGCTGACACTGTGGTGGTGAAGGAGACACAGTCCTTGACAAACGTGAGAGGTGTCGAGCCAGTCACGTCCTCCCACTGCGCTCTTGAGTTTCCTCCTGCCCAATATACAAAGTTTGTCATTTTGACTATTAACAATTAAATTAATAACTCCAAAACTCAAAACTACCTCACTAAACAAGTATGGAAAAACATTAAGAACTTAAAAGCTTGTCTTGTCAAGTAATCAGTAAATTCTCTTCCCTAACAACAAATTAAAACTCAGAACTCTTTATTTCCCAAAACTTTATTTACCTAATAACATATTAATATTTCAGTAATTATATCATTTACGATTATTTAACTGTTCCATTTTCATGTAATTGACTTAAACTGAAAATTCCTTATTTCATTTTAACTGGTCTATAAGTTTACTTCAGACTCCAGATTAATTTTTTAACTAGACACAACTCTTGTCAGTTTTAGTAAATTGCACAACCAATGGTAACTTATCTAATGTTGTTCCTTACCTGTGATACTGCAGAGTAGCCTGAGGGTGGGAGCGTCTCCACTGTATTGGTTGATCATCCCCTTGTTGGCTGCCGTGGGACAGGGTATGGTCAGAGTGATGGGTTTGTGGAACTTCCGTCTCCTCGGTTCTACGGTAACAATAGGAGACACGGCCACTCGGTTACCCAACAACTTGGACACCACCTCTGGTGCTATGGGCTGTGCCTGGTAACAATATTATCATCTGAAGTGTTCGTGCTTTTGGTCTGTATAGAGTTCACATTATTTATTACCATATGTTACATACAAATAACAAGATTGTTTACTTTTTGTTGTCAGTTAGTTTTTACATGATTAAAGTCAAGTTTCGTTTTACTAAGTTGTACTTTTTAATTGTATAAGTGAATACACGTTATTGGCGACGAGGAATTAGAACTCACACAATGCCGACATCAGGTAGACATAGACGACATCAAGACGATCCAGGTACCGATCAAGTTCGTAATGAAAAAAGTATTTGTAATTTTAAATGTGACTTGTTCGACCCGGACACAGTAGAGATTGATGTGTGGCACATTAAGTTTACTACAGGTCTTAAACTCAATGGAATTAACGATGATGAAACCAAACGCTTGCTATTCATAAACGCTTTGGGTACAAATGTGTTAAGCACACTGGTTAACCTTTGTAGACCTAATGATTTAAATGACTTTAAGTATGAAGAACTTTTTAAACTATTGTTGGACAATTTTAAAACTAAAAAAATCGCCATTGCAGGAAGAGTCAAGTTTTTTTCACTGCGTCAGGGCTGCGAGAGTCTGACGGAGTTTGCCAATGTTTTGAGGAATAAAGTAAATGATTGTCAATTTCCCATTCAATTTTTCCAACAAGCACTTGTTACCGCTTTTGTAATGGGGATATGTGATAACAATATAAGATCCAAACTCATGGAGAAGGATTATGAAACGTTCTCAGAAGTCATTAACGTAGCTAATTCTCTTTTCTCAGTAAAAGATGCTTCATTAAATAGTTTTTCTCAGAGGGAAGATTGTAATGTTTTATCTCTAGGACCATGCTTTATATGTGGTGGTAAACATCTGAAAAGGAATTGTAACATTAAAAATCCAAGATGTTACAAATGCGGGAGTAGGAATCACATAACTAGAATATGTAAAACGGGACAGGTGGAGAAACGACACCTTAAAAGCAACATTGTTGAGAATGGTCCAAAGTCAAAGGAATCCGGTAGTAACGTTGTTGATAGGCCTAATGGTGTAACTAGCTATAATAATACGAACTCTTTGGGAGGAATACAGGACGTTCTTTCAATCGGAAAGCAGGCAACCTTTTACCCGATACTTATTCTTAATATCTTACTCAATAACCAGATCGTAAGGATGCAGTTTGATACAGGTAGCTGCGCTTCAATTATCTCAGATCATACTTGGAAACAGATAGGAAAACCCGACCTTTTGTTAAGTAAACAGAATTTTACTTCATTTACAGGTCATTGTGTTAAACTTCTTGGTGAGATGGATGTAGAAGTTGTTTTTGCAAACGTTAAAACCAAACTCAGAGCTTTTGTCGCATCGGGTGTCAAACAAAATATTTTGGGAAGAGATTGGATTACACCTTTATTTCTCCACAAAATATCACTTTCCGATTTGCAAAGGATATGTTCAGAACCGTATAAACAAACCTTACAAGTAGAAAATACGGATCAACAACTTGCCAAACTTGTGGATGAGTTTTCTGACGTCTTTCAACCCAATGAAAATAAATGTTCAAAGACAACTGCTCATTTGTACCTAAAAGAGGGTGCTACACCAGTGTTTAAAAAGGCAAGGCCTGTTCCTTTAGCTTTAAGGGACAAGGTTAAAGAAGAACTTGACCGGTTAAAAAGAAATGGTATCCTTGAAGAAATAGACCATTCAGAATGGGCTGCGCCATGCGTGATTGTAAGAAAACCGAATGGAGCTATTAGAATATGCGCAGATTTTTCAACGGGACTCAACCAAGCATTAAAGGTGCAGCAGTTTCCATTACCAACTCAAGATGATTTATTGACCAAGATAGGTTCTGGACAGAAATTTACTACCCTTGACCTCTCTGATGCTTACCTTTCTATTCCCATGGACACAGAATCTAAAAAACTCCTTGTCATTAATACTATTTTTGGTCTTATGCGATACAATAGACTGTGTTTTGGCTTAGCTCCTGCTACGGCAATTTTTCAAAAAAAGATGCATTCTATGCTTTCTGGATTAGATGGAGTCGCTTTCCTACTGGATGATGTCATTATAACAGGAATAAATGACACTGAACATCTAAACACGTTAAAAGAGGTTTTGAAATGCATTGAGGACAATGGTTTTTGTTTAAACAGAGCTAAGTGTCACTTCATGAAGGAAAAAGTCAACTATTTTGGTCTATGTATTTCCAAAGATGGAATTTCGACGAATCAAGACAAGATAAAGCCCATAGTAGATATGCCTGAACCCCAAAACATTAAACAGTTGGAATCATTTATAGGAATGGCAAACTTTTACTCAAAGTTCATCCCAAACTTTTCTGAGATCTGTGCACCATTAAACAAACTAAGGCAGAAAAATGTTCAATGGACATGGACAGAACAATGCTCTCAGTCAATTAACCGTATTAAAGATGCTTTAGTTTCCACTCCTATTCTAGTGCCATTTAATAGTGAATTACCTATAGTGGTTGCAGCCGATGCTTCATCAGTGGGGATTGGTTGCGCAATTTTTCATCGATATCCTAACGGAGAAGAGAAGCCGATCGCGTATCCTTCTAAAACACTGAACAAGGCAGAGCAAAATTATTCGCAAATTGAACGAGAAGCTTTAGATTTGATTTATGCTATTAAAAAGTTCCGCATCTACCTTTGGGGCACACATTTTCTGATCCAAACAGACCACAGACCTCTATTGTCTCTATTCGGATCCAGCAAAGGAGTGCCAGTAACCACGTCTTGCAGAATACAAAGGTGGGCTTTGTTTTTAACAAATTTCCGTTTTGACATAGAATACGTTTCTACTAAACTATTTGGGAAAGTTGACTGTTTAAGTCGTTTGCCTTTCGAGGAAGATGTCGATTTTGACCAAGCCGATGAGAGTTATAGCACCGTAGTTGGATTAATATTCTCAGGTAACATAGATTGTCTACCAGTTACGGCTAAAGAAATCAGTGAAGAAACGTCGAATGATGTCACTCTTAATCGGGTCAAAGAGTTTGTATTAAGTGGATGGCCAAACAAGACAAACAATCTGGAGTTAAAACCCTATGAGTCAAGGAAGAACGAAATATCCATACATGAGGGCTGCCTAATGTGGGGGGTTAGAGCAATTATCCCAGAAAAGTTCAAGCAGAAATTACTTATGACACTCATTTAGGAATGGTAAAGATGAAGGCGTTGGCCCGAGATCGTTTTTGGTGGCCATCGATGGACAGTGACATCGAACACGTGGCAAGAACTTGTGCACTATGCAACTTGTATGCTGCAAGAGAACCACAGAGAAAGTTCCTCAGTAATTGGCCGAGATGCACTGACCCTTGGACCTGTATACACTTGGACTTTGCTGGACCTTTCCTTAATAGTGTTTTTCTTTTGGTCGTAGATGCATACTCCGGTTGGCGAGAAATTATCAAGTTGAACTCTATGACTACTTCAGTAACAATCAAACAAATTAAGCTGTTAATATGCCGATATGGAATCCCTAAAACCATAGTGACAGACAACGGACCCTGTTTTACGTCCGTAGAATTTGCACAGTTTTGTAAAGCATTTGGAATCGACCACGTAACCACTCCACCTTACCATCCGTGTTCCAACGGACAAGTTGAAAAATACGTCGGTACCATGAAACAGGCGTTGAGAAAACTTTGCCAAGAACAATCCCCTAAAGGTTTGGAAGCTGACCTAAACAACTTTTTATTTAAGTACAGGTTAACACCACACATAACTTCTGGAATGTCACCTTCTGAGTTGTTTTTAGGACGTCAGCTAAGATGTATCTTAGATTTAGTTCAACCCCAAAAAGGAAGTCAGATTAAAACAGAAGAGGAAGAGAATAAAGAAGATAAAACAAAAGAGAAAGAGAATAAAGAAGGAGCCACTACTAGCCTAAAAAACTTCAAAATAAATGAACCTGTGTTTTGGGTAGAAACCAGAAACGGAAATGTTGTGTGGAAACCCGGCGTAATCTTGAAGAGACTAGGGCGAAACGTGTGGAAAGTTGAAGGTAACGATAGAAGAATCTTTAAAAAACACGCTGACCAACTAAAGCATAAAAACCTTCTTGAAGACAAGGACAGTAGTTCAATCTCGGCGAGAAGGTGAAGTGTTCGTGCTTTTGGTCTGTATAGAGTTCACATTATTTATTACCATATGTTACATACAAATAACAAGATTGTTTACTTTTTGTTGTCAGTTAGTTTTTACATGATTAAAGTCAAGTTTCGTTTTACTAAGTTGTACTTTTTAATTGTATAAGTGAATACACGTTATCATCTAATTTAGCTAGTGTGTATATTTATAGAATGGTCTGAAGTCTCATCCTCATACCTCCATCAATGGAGTAAAAAAGTTAACACTTGTATAATAATTTTATACTAAACCAATACACTTAATTAGTTTATTATATCTATTCTTTGTTTGAAGTTCATTTTTTTGTGATGGTAGGTATATTTTAACCAAGGGGTTATTGTAAACATGTTTTACACAGTTGGTAAAACAAAGGTTTAACGTTTCTGAATCCCAATAGTTGTATAAACTTGTTTTTTAATCTACCTCACAACAGTATCTAGGGGTACTAGCACGGGGAACTGTGAGGCCTAGCCATTGCCATTAGTTGGGTGGTTGGGAGGGGGGAGGTGGTTTAGCTATTAGTGAAGGAGAGAAATGTGTCCATCCCTCCTGTACAGCACACCTACCTGTAGGCCAACTCTGATCTTCTTGGTGAGGGCATTGGGAGGGAAGAGAGCCTGCACCTGAGGCACAGCTGTGGAGGAGACTACGCCACCCTCTGGTCCGATGGCGTGGAGCTCCTGTCTGATACGAGACACTACAGCCAAGTACTGGGGGAACTCCACCGTCACTATCCTGTACAATCACACACATGAAGAACAGTAAGTTCAACTTCAATAAATAATTGATTATTTTCCTATTAGTTGTGGAGACTATGACCTTCAGTGGTACTATAGTATCTTACCAATGTCTTCTTGTCTTTATGCTCTTCGATGCAAGTTTATCTTTAATTTTTTTAACATATCTTACCCATTACAACAGATAAAGATTCAGTGAAAAAAAAAACTGATGTGAAATAATAACTAATAAAATAGTACCTGAAATACAGTTGAAGTATCCAGACCTCTTTTTAAACATTTTGAAACATTATTAGATTTTGAGTTATTTGAGTTCTTAATTGAAAACAATTCTTAATCAAAGTCAGTAGTTATTTACCTGGTGATGCGGTTAGTTTGTAAATCCTCCAACTGCCTTAATTCTGCAAGAAATTACAAATGGATTACTTAATATAGTCGCTGATTTAGTGATTTGCGCAAAATCCTTCAGTACAGCGACAGGCTGTTGGAATGTCTTTAATTAACATTAACTACATAAAAACACATACAATTAAGTAAACAGAGTATTTTGTTTATGTTTAAAGGTAAACTGGGAGAAATTACTCTACTTTTGTAAGTTCAAACAAACTCTTCATACCAACTGTAAAACTTTACTATCAAGGTTTCAAAGCTGGATACCCCGTGGAGTAGTAAATATGAAGGAGTAGATCTAATGATTAGAGCCAGGAGTAGAAGAAGTGCTAAGATACACTAAGCTCATTCACATGATTGTGAACGTCAAAGACGGAACCAAATAAATTTATCTCTATTTCTCTAATCACTACATTTGATTTTTTTGACATCTTATAACAGCCTGAACTCATAATATTAAGAGGAAATTAGTATCAAACTGTGTTAAACACTCAAAACACCTAAAAAAAACTGTGTTGTAAGCCAAAAATAGTTTTACTGTGGGTAATTTATGATAGTTGTGCTCACCTTCTCCTTCGAAGCTCTCGTTAAGAACGTCCTGTACAGCCTCCTCACTAGCATCGAGTGTGTGTTCCCTCCAGTTGGTGCCGTTGTCACATCTCAGCACCACCAACTCTCGCTCTCTACCTCGTAGCGACGCAAAGTGTGGCACTTCGATTATCACAGGTCTACAGAGGCAAGAACAAACAGTCAAACATGTAACTAAATATACAGGAAAAATATATGAATGAGTAAGGAAAATATATAATCCTTTTTGATCCAGACCAAAATACTTAAATAATTGTAGGGCTAAAATTTACGACATAAAATATTTTTTTTTAAGTATGGATGGTTATTTATTTTATTTAGTTTGTATTTTTTAAGTTGAAGTACTAATAAATAGTAGTAATAAAGAAGAAGAATTGATCAAACCAATTTGTCAGGTTTTTAAATTTAAGAAAAGTTAAACCACGACTACATAGTCAACAAAACATAAGCTACAAGAAACATACCCAAGAAATTTAGCACCGGCCGGCCCAAGCTCCAGTATACGGCTGGCCAGGGCCTCGCCTTCACCCAGGGGTGGTGGGTGGGCGAGTTTGTCCCGCCTGAGGTAGCGGCAAGTCACCCGCATGGGACTGGGAGCCTTGCGAGGGGGAACAATCACCCGAACACCCGAGTGACGACACCCTCGCATCGCTCCACCTCGGGCATCCACCAAGAAACTCACCAGGAAACTGTGGCAAATCAACCAAACATGTGTAAATAATAATTTACAATACACATCAAAAGTAATTTGGTAACAAGGATTAGGAATCACACAAAATCCATCAGCTAATTATGATATTAGGAGTGTTATAGTATAGGTGGAACCCAATATTAAAACGCTAGCGAGGAGAAAATATTTAGCCTCTACATTTTTTTTTATACTCCATTTGTTTTTTTTTACTGGTTAGTGGTTAGGTTACCTGTGGTATTATTGTGACAAAAAACATTTTTGGATCTCAATAATATTGTATGCTGACTTGTATAAAATAATAAATGTTCAGGCAATTTTTTTAAACAGTTTTGACTTTTTGTTTCGTTTTCTAATTTAGTTTTTTAATTTCAATTCAACATCAAACGTAATACCATAATACTTATTTTTATAATAAATTTTAGTTGTCAAAGTTATTCAGTTGAATAAAATGCTGTGGCAATACCAAATTAATAAGATACCAAATTTCCATAACAAAGATTATCTTCTCTATCAATAATAAGCTAGATTGTTTAAAAGATCAGTTGAAATTCCTTTTGCTATTGAGTTGTTATAGTAATTTTCATCTAAAGAACTAACATTTATAGTTAGTGTGACAACTCATCTATATAATTAATAAGTAACTATTTTATTCTAAGCTTGAATCTATAAAATAAATTGCCATTTAGCTTATATACTGCTTAAAAATACAAGCAATGAAATTAAGTATGCAAGACAGACTTAATCATTTTTAAATTATTTATTGATAATGAGGTGACCATTCTTTCAACAAAAGTTTGAGTGAAATATCACATAATCTTTGGAAAAGTTAAATTCATTTTTAATTAACAGTGTACTGCTTTTATAGTTTTAAACTCTTTTTGCAAAAGTGTTAAAATTTAGGAAAAAACAAATAATCATAAATTTTTATGACAAGTTATTTCTAAAGAATAATTTGGAGTATGTTACTCCAGTTACGAAACGTAATAAAATGTGAGTGTTTCAGCGTTACTCTAATGGTACTGGATAGAGTAAACCTAAAGTTTGTGATCTACAAACTGAGTAATAGTTGTGTTCATTGTCCAAAACAACTAATTCAATATTATCTTGCTTGTACATAATAAAAAAGTTTGTTGCGCTGGAATTAAAATGTTAAAACAAATATATTTCCAAACATAAATGAAAAAGCATCATGAAGTGCTATCTGAGATAAATGATGAATGGTAAAATATGCTATTAGGATATGAATGTTTGAAGAAGTGTTATCCAAAGGCTGAATAGAAAATGAATGCTTGTAAACTGATAATGTGCTTTGCAATCCTACAAGAAGCACTACGTGGCACAAATCACACCAGAACCGAGACACAGAGACTTACTTCTTCCATTGGTGCTTGCTGACCATTCATCAACCGAAAAACAAAACAACTAATCAAACATCACAAATCAACTGAAAGACTAAAACAATGCATCTGTTAAGACTAACTACAACAGATTCACAAGTAAAATGTAAAAGAAATCTGAAATGGAGAGGCTCATACAGAGTGAAAAACGAACTAGTATCACAAGTGCATTTACAAGTCAAAGTACAACAGTAAATAGTAGGAAAAATAAAAAAATCTGTGATGATTTTTGTACGGTTTGGGACTGATTATAGAAACCGTTGTGTCATATACTATTTACATTTTCTATAATGCTGAGGGAGTTAACCTTTATCAGCCTTATTAAATACATTGGATACATATACATTATTGGGACTAACTAAAAAATAGTCTGTTTACACTAATTCCTAAGAATGTACAATTCCTGTTAGAAATGTGGAATATTGATTAGCACACTTTGTACTCCCATCACATATATAAAAATATATCTATCGTTGTGGCTCTTATTGCTGGGAAATATTAAGCTGGTGTTGGATAGGTTGGCTAAGTAGTTTAGCCAACATGGCCAAGATTTATTCAACGATTCAGAGATCACATTGTAACACTGATGTATTAACATTGAGATTTATTTTTACAGTAGTGTGACTAACGGGCAACAGCTAAGGGGATATTGAGGACCAGACAGTAAAAGTAGCCTACTAATGGAATTACTATGGTTAACTATGGTGATATCCTAACATCCACAACATGCTGTATAAATAGGTAGGCCTACTTTGACTAACCATTAAGTAACCCTAATGTAAGTATGAACAGTATAAAAACTAAATCTTAAGTCTACATACATTTTTAAAATAAGCAATAAATCATACACAAGAAAAAGATGGTCAGTTATGTATTTTTTTCTTTTGATAAAAAAAATATTGGTGAAGTAGAGTTTGTAGTTCCAATGTCACTTGCTTTTGTAACAATAACAATTATTTTCTGCTTTATCTTTGATTCAAGATTCAAGGCATTACCCCAAAAATTTAATTACCTAGAGTTGACAAGCAATTACAGCAATCTACGTGATAAACTCAATCTACCAAAAATGCACAAAACAAAATACATTTATCACAAAACTATCTTTTTAAAACCTTTTATTTACCAAAAACTTGTATAACTGTCCCTAATTGTTAGGAATTTAATGATTGTTTTTACTATTCACCATATTTATACACTCACTATACGTTGTCTTGTCAATGGCCTGGTCAAATGTAGGAATAACCAAGGTGATACCCACTTTCACAATAACTGACCACCTTAAATGTACACTAGTTAGATAAATGTTTATAAAGCACCGTCGCAGTCTATACCTGTCCCTCCACATCCCGCAACTGCTGCTGCAGTCTCCGAGACGACTCAGCGATCGTTCTAACCTCACCAGTCTGCCGCAACACACAACCAAACATGACAACTAACTGTCAACTGTGTGACACTGACACTAAACATTGCTGTTAGTCCACGCCAAACGCCACATGCTGCATGCCTCCTCGGACCAACTACAGTCGACAGCATATAAGGAAAGTACCTACTCCCAAACTGGCCTAACATGGCCTTCTCAACTGACAATGGTCGTTTCAATTTAGAGTAATATAGTAGAGTCTCACAATTCCAAACTAACTGGGCCCGAACCCATAAAGATTAGCAGAAATTTGGAATAAGCAGATTTCTTTATTAACTGATAGCAGTCCCGTAATCACAGATAATGTTCACGGTTTTGCCACGTGTGTCTGCAGCCATGGAAGATGATGATGACAATTTTTACATGATGTAATACCGTGCCAACCTTTATTTTCACTATCATCAAAGCATCTGAAGAGATGCGCGATCAAAGGTTTTTCCACGATCGCAAGTGTTGTTTACGGATTTATTGCAATCATGGGAGACGATTATAATGTATCTGCAACTAAGGAAGATGTTCTTGATTTTATCATGACCACAGAAGATGATCTTGATTCTGCCGTGACTGTAGAAGTTCTCAATTTAATGTTAGCTTCGTAGTGACGTCTTAAACAAATTTAAACAATTTCAGAACTTAAGTTTGGAATAGGCAGATTTCTTGAATACCCAAGTTTGGAATAGTGAGACTACTGTATTTTGTCTGTATCCATACACATATTCAACAGAAACAAAGTTATACTACTCATATTATATCTGTAAAATTTGGTTTAAAAGTTTCTTGGACTGCAAACTGTTAGTGAGTTACAAAACATACTATAAACAATTTATGAACAGTTAGTTGTCATGTCACAGTGAGAAATCATATTTAATTTTGTTAGGTAATTTTGACAAGAGTTCAGATAATAAAAATTTAACAAGCCTAAAAAATAATAAGGTTTAAAATTTTTTTTTATAATAGAGTTTTAGCTCTATTAAACACTTAGGTAAGTAGAAGATAGAACGTGTAAAATTTCTTACATGTTTTTTTTTTACTACAATTAATCGTTTATAACTCTCTTGTTTAGTATACCAAAATGTTTGTCTTTAATATGTTTCAAGTTTCAACAAATCAAAGCAGGACCTGTGATACATAATGCTTAAGATAGGAAGATAGGATGTCCATTTTTTTAAACTGATAAAGCTTTAAGTGAATTCCTAAACACATCAGAATCTACAGTTTTTGACGCCAAATGTAAAACAAACTGATATAAAATCCATCTCCTGACAGTGATGCTGTACCCATAATCCTCTGCCACTAAATACAGATCCTGAAGATATGACCTGGCGTAACATGGAGGTGCATTAGACATGCGACGGTGCAACTTTTATTACAGTTAAGGTTTAGTTTTAAACATGCTTAAACTACTGTAGTTACAATATTGAAACAATCAAGAGTTATATTACAATCAAGTTTGATTTTTTAAACGATGACACCAATAAAAAACAACAATATATTTACAGAGAAATGTTCATTTATTGTAAGTAAAATTAAGAGTAAACATACCTGTGCTTAGATATACTGGTAAGCAAGAAAATATGGATATGAATTAAATTGTGTACAACTACGAACCATAATGGATTTGTTCTTAGATGGAATTGAATACCTAAATGTGTTCCAAAAGCAAGAAAGGTTGTAAAAGAAGTTAATATTTTTTTGTATTTTTTATTATTAAGTCACATAGAGTAAAGAAATTGTAAGGAGTTAAATAGATTGTGCTGAATTTAGAAGTGGTATAATAATATCAGTGCAGATATATTTCAGTGTGCAGATGAGTCATTCTTTGAATAATACGGTAGTAGAGCAAATATTTTAATTCTTCAGACAATAGGATTTTACAGGAAAAGGCTTTCAAAATTTTAAACTAATTAAAATGAAACCAGTTGTTAATAATATAACACATATTGAATTCAAATAAGTTTAGGGTATAAAGTTTCATTTATGTGTAGATTTTACAAAGCAACTACAACTGCAACCAATAAAAGCAACAACTCAGTACCATTAACTACTTCAATTATAACTTGATCATACTAAGCAGTACAAAAATGTTATGAATTCATACTGTGTGTACATCTACTGCATTATGAGTTAGTAAAGTTGCCGATTTAAAACATAAATATTGCAATTCTTAGTCAGCAATATAAACATTAATATGAATATTTTTTTTCAGCAATATAAACATTAATATGAATATTTTTTTAACTTTGGGAGATCAGTTAAATGCAGTTAAATTGAAACACCAAAAACATAACACTTTTTAAGTTATTTTTTTACAGCAAATATAAAAATACTTCATATAATGTAATAACAAAAGTAATTAAAATAGTTCATGTAATTCAATGTACTTCATCTAGTTGGGTCACTTCTTAGACGTTGATAAACAATTTTTAATAAAAGTTTAAAATACTTTTGAAATGTGTTTTACTTGTATTACACTTGAAATAAAATAATATTTCCAAAGATAACTGTTAGCAATTGCTTAGCATTTATTAAATAAAAGATTCCCCAATTTTAATGCTAGCACGACAAAGAATTTAATCAGCATCTAACAATACCGTGATACATCTAACCAACACAAGTTTAAAGCGATATGACCATTTACTGTACAAGAGCTGAGATTACTAAGTGTACTGTTGGTGGTATACATACCCGACATGTATGGGCGTGCGAGCAATGTCAACATTGTCAGGAATGCTGGTAGTCGACTGATTTGCTTGGCTTGCTTGGTTCACCTGGTATTGCTCCTTCAAGTAGTGAGGACTGATAATCAGCTCATTTCCTGGGGCTAAACAAATTCAACAACTTAATCTTAATTTAGCCACGTGGAAATGGAATACATCAATAAGCTTAATTTGGTTCCCATTTGGTGTACAAGAAAAATTAGGTTTTATCTACTTTTAACTTTAACACCAACGATGTTTTAGTAAGCCTGCAGTTTAGCTTTTCTACAATAGATGTGGATCTCTTTTAATTTTAGAAAATAATATTTGAATGGCATGTGTTTCTAATGTAGTCTTACACTTTCCCTACTGAGAAATCCCTTGCTGAATTCCAAAATCTAGGGCAAAGCCCTACTCACTACTCAATCAATAATTTGGTTGGGGTTTTAAAAACCGATTATCAAATTTTGATGTTTTTCCCACATTTATCTGATAGTTGAAGTTAATTATAGACACTATTTTAAAAAATTATTACTTTTTTTAGTTTTATGACTATGACTGTTGCGGCGTATATATACATCGAAAGCTCGCTAAGGAATACATTGATGTATATATACGTCTAATGCTGGTAAATTTGGTATAAAAAAACATTTATTTTGAATAAACTGTGAAAAAGGTTAATAAAATACAAAAATCGTGATAAGAACAATATGACTTCTTTATTATTGCCAAAAGACAAAACATAGTTGTTAGAAAGCTGAACAGCGCCGTCTCTTTCAGAAATACTCAGATTCAGTAATTCTATTGGGTATGTCTGCTTCAAAATTAGGATCATTCAATCCAAACATAATTTTCAATAAACAACACAACACATTCTAATGCACTGAATATATTCCATTTAACTTATCTCACTAGATTTACTTCACTCAAGAACACGTAAACAGACTGCCCGTGCGAAACACTAACATGACGATGACTCAACATGCCGGTATTGTAAACGACAGATGTTATGAGATCAGTGATGCGAACCCAACAATCAGAAATTTACCTACTTACTTACTTACTTACTGCCGTGGCCCCACAAATCTCAGTTGATTCTTCGCCTCGTGTACCAGCCTCTTCCACCCTTCTCTGTCCTCTGCCAAGTTGACACTTGCACCCATTGTCCTGATGTCGTTCAATACTTGGTCAGTCCATCTCAATTTCGGCCTTCCCAATGGACGTTTACCTCCAGGTGTGGCTCTCCAAACTTCATACAGTCTTGTTCCTTTCTCTCTTCTTAGCACATGCCCTATCCAACTTAAACTTCTTCCTTTAACTATTGCAACAATATCTGGGTCGGTGTATAGTGATCTTAACTCTCTATTTTTCCTTATTCTCCACATTTGTCCCTCCTGTACTGGACCAAATATTCTTCTCAGTACTTTATTTTCAAAAACTATGAGTCGGTTTTCATTTTTCTTGGACAATACCCATGTTTCACTACCATATAACAGAATAGGTTGAATTATTGTTTTATATAACTGTATTTTGGTTCTGTGAGATAATACTTTAGATGAGATCAACTTCTTGCAGGCTCCCCAACACTTATTGGCATTTGATAACTTAGTTAGTATGTCTTCGTCTTCTGAGTTTCTACTATTTACAGTTACTCCTAAATATTTGAAACTTTCTGTACAATTTATAGTTAAGTTCTTTATCTGTATGTTTCTGTTTCTATTGTTTGCTTGTCTTCCAAAGTTAATGATTTTAGTTTTTTCTACATTTACTTGCAATCCTATTTTGTTAGCTTCTGTGATAAGTACTTCTGCCAAACTTACCAAGTTTTCAACTGTTTCTGACAAAATGACTACATCATCAGCAAATGCTAAAATGTTTAGGTCTACTCCAAGCTTAACACCCAATCCTAGTTCTTTTGTTTTCTGCAGGGCTTCTTCCAGTGCTAAGTTGAATAGTATGGGAGATATGCCATCTCCTTGTCTTACACCCGTGTTGATGGAAAACTCCTCAGATAGATCTCCTTCCACTCTCACTTTGGCTTTTGAGTCTTTCATACACATTTCTGTTAGTTTAATTAATTTGTCTGGCAAACCATGCTTTTTTAAACTTTTCCACAAGCTGATTCTGTCTATGCTGTCGTATGCTTTTTTGAAATCTATAAATATTGCGCTAACATTCTTGTTGAACTCCCAATATTTTGAAATTGCCTGCTTTAGAATAAAAATCTGCTCTATCGTGGACCTCCCTTTCATAAATCCAGTTTGTTGTTCTTCAATTAGCGTTTCTACATAGGGGTTTAGTCTTGCGACAAGGATTTTTGAAAGTATTTTATATGTATTATTTAATAAAGAAATTCCTCTGTAGTTCTTGCAGTTTTGTTTGTCCCCCTTCTTGTGTATAGGAATGATTGTTGCCGTTTTCCATTCAGTAGGTATCTTTTCTTTTTGCCATATAGTTGTGATTAGGTTGTGGATTTCATTTTCCAATATGCTTCCTCCGCTCTTGATTACTTCTGCTGTGATCCCATCTTCGCCTGGAGCTTTGTTGCATTTTAATTCTTTGATTGCCATTTTCACCTCTTCTAACGATGGTGGGTCTATATGAGGCTGTACATGATAGAATGTTGTATCTTCATCGGGAGTATTAACGACAGTATTCTCGCAGTTTAGCAGGTCATCAAAATAGTCTTTCCATATTCTTAGTGTTTTCTCCTTTTCTGTGGTAACTTTTCCTTCTTCATCCATTATGCCAAATGTTCTCGCTTTAAATCCTCCTTTGAAGAATCTTATAGTTCTATAAAAGTCTCTAGTATTATTGGCTGTTCTATCTTCTTCTGCTTTTCTGAGTTTTTCAATTAAGTAATCTCTTTTACATCTTCTAAGCGTTTGTTTGGTGATTCTGTTTGCTTCCTGATATTTTTGTCTTAGCTCTTCAAAATTCCTTACCCTTAGTTCGTCTTCTTCCCCATTTCTGGTTTGAAGCCAAAATTTTTTTAGTTTCTTCCTCTCGGTTATCATTTTCTGACACTCTTCTGTAAACCATGGATTTCTCACTTTCTTTACTCTTTTTCCACACACTTCTTTCACTACTTCTTTCACACTATCTTGAATCTTCTTCCATTTTGATTCTATTATTTCTTGTTCTTGTACCTGTTCTGCGACATCTTGTACTTTTCTTCTCTCTTCTTCTCTATCTAGAGCTTCAAATCTATTTTCTAGTTTAATTTTGAACTCTTCTTTAATTTCCTTCAGTTTTAGTTTTTCTGTTGCTAATATTTCTTTTCTTACAACTCCCCTTCTTTTAGTGTCTATTCTTTGCCTTACTTTTATAAGTACCATGTAATGGTCTGTTCCATATTCGGCTCCCCTGACACTTCTTATATTTGTAACACTGCTGATGTGTCTGCTGTCCACCAGGACATGATCGATCTGATTTTCGGTTTTTCCGTCTGGTGACATCCAGGTTGCTTTATGAATGTCCTTTCTTTGAAACATTGTGCTACAAACCTTCATGTCCACTGCGCTTGCAAACGTGACCAGTCTTAGTCCATTTTCATTTGTCTCTTCATGTAAACTATTACTTCCTGCAACTTCTTTCCAAATATCTTCTTTTCCCACTTTTGCATTTGCATCCCCAATAACTAACTTGACATCATAGTTTGGTAACTTATTGTATTCCTCTTCTAAATTTTCATAAAAGAAATCTTTCTCTTCATCATCAGAGTCTTCTGTTGGTGCATATATACTTAACAGTGAAATATTCTTGAATCTTCCTCTCAATCTAATATTGCATATTCTTTCATTCTTTGGTGTAAAGCTTATCACACTTTCAGCTATTCTTCTATTTACAGCAAAACCCACTCCTCCATAATGCCTTCCATCCTCAGTCCCACTATAGTATATTACAGTATATTTCTATAGTACACTATAGTATATTATTGTGGTAAATCAGAAATTTACCACAAAAAAAATGTATCAAAACAATAATATTGATTTATGGCCTAAGCTAAGTGTTGGCGGCCAAGAAACAACTTTAAAATACCTAAATGACGTTCACATGTTTTGACGTGTATATGCGTCGTACGTTTGTGACCTTCAGATTGAGTTGCGTTTGTTTGATATTACGCCAACACTCAGGAAGGGTTAATAATGCAGGAAGGATAAATACTTATTTTCTGTTAAGCTTTTTTAAATAATAAGACACTAAAACATCTCACGATTATCAGTAAAACTTGTAATTTGATTTGTGTAATTAGGTTTGCTGTAGAAAATAGTAGTTTCAATATTATTTCCTTTTCAATTATAGCCAAAAGCTTTGACACAACCACTTAACCACACTATTTACAACATAGGAGGAGTTTTAACCACTCGGAGATATCTGTGATGATGGAAACACTATAAAGTGACTCACCGATGGAGTCTCGTAAGTGGTCGCCTCTCTCGTCTCGGGTGACGTCGATCTTACAAGAGTCGTCTCCTAGAGACTTCATGTCATCTACAGTCATGTACCTGTACTGTTGCTGGTCACTCAACATGGGGTCTTCACCTGCACAACCACCAACAATACAACAACCCCTTCAACTAAGTATGGATAGAACCATTTAGCGTGAGTGATCATTCACATTCCGATTTAGAACCCTTCCCACCACCATAGCTTTGTAGCCATTAAATCTAATTTAATATTTTCAGAGTAGGAGGAGAGTGGTGGGGGAAATTACTGTCACTCTCACACTAACGGCCATCCTCATTGACATGATCATAAATAATTTTAAGACAATACAAAAATTAAAATGACCATTTTTACTGAGCTTTTTTACGATAGTTAACCAATCTTGAATATTAAATCTTCCATTCATGATTAATTAATAGGTTATCAAAATGTTGCTTCCTAAGATAGAAAAATAAACCCTGCAATTTTGTAAAGTGAAATTCTCAAAATTTAACTTTTGTCAAAGAACAGCTTTATGAAATAGATTTTCTAGGAATTTATTTTTATTCACACTTTGTAAATCTATGATCTAGAAATAAATATTTAAGCTTATATATTAGCTTTTATATCTAGCTTCAATTAAACAGTTTAGGTTATGAATATTTGAATATTTTCTATTATGCTTCTACTTGATTACAATTAGTGATAATAATACAAGCAAAACTTGATCATTTTTGTGGGAACCATTTGTTTTCAGCCTGATCTATTATTAGTCATGACACATCAATCAAACTTATCTTGTAAGCTGTCTGATATAACTACAATGAGATAATACTACCTTTAGATTTTGTAACTTTGTCATGTTGAATCTTCTTGTTCTTTTTACTTTTACGTTTTTTACCGCACAACATGACAGACCTACAATTCAGAAAACTCACGGAACTAACACTGACTGTCTGCCTTATCACTAACTGAGTTAAAGTTTTATGGATCTTGGCAAATCTCCTTCACACTGATAAAGAGTTCACCTCTTATCAAGAGATGACTCAAACGTCACTTGAGCTGATTGGACACAAACTGTCAATCGTCAATCGATGAAATAACCTTGAGTTTTTATAGTTAAATTTACTACCACATCTACTTCAGATTAAACTTTTACAACATAGATTGAATAATATATGTCATGAGATAAAATGATTGTTGTGGATTACATCATTGAGTGTGTATTGATAATTAAATATTAAACATTATGATTGCAAGTGTGTTAATTAAATTCCTTGCAAACCATAAAATTATGTTCTTAAGCTTATATGTCAAAGTGATGTTTATGTTAGGCTCTTTAAACTGCCTATTAGATTTTGAGGACGTTACCAAAAACATTTAAATTTAAAGGTAATTGTATCAATTCTATATTAAAATAATGTCAATTCGTGCAAAATGTTGGCTAATCTAATATTAGTACTTAGTTAACAAAATACAAAGCTAGCACGGTATATCACTCTAGTCTTGTGGCAAATAGCTTTACAACATTGCTGTGATACAAAACCAAACAAAAGGTTTAGTCTTAAAGCGTTTAAACAGCTCATGCATAAAAATAATGGATACGTTAAGTAAAATTAAATATTAGACTGGATGGTAAATTTCATCTAGCTCTAGAGAAATAATGAGTATAAAATAAACATTAATATCCATATTCCATACATTCAATAGTTGTATGAACTGGACTAGTGGTTGCACTACAATTATAAACATACTTTACAGCCCAGTAAACCTTGTAGTGCTTAAAATAAATATGTTAACTCATTAACTGTATTGAATGTAACTACGAGATATCAGGGCAGTATCCACAACATCAGATAAATACTGGATATTATTAATGTAAAGGAGGTAAATAAATACTTGTTGATGAGTTGTGTACGGCAATGTTAATTGATACACAACTATTTTTATTTTAAAAGTTGGGTGTGGTTTATTTGGTTGTGGAAAAAGTCTCAACAAATTAAACATTAACAAACCATGCACTGGCTATTAATTACTATATTCTAGTACAATAAATTGTCATGTTGATTGTGTTAGGCTATTCTTACATTTCTCTGTTTGGAGAGGCATATACCTTCATGGTGTACAGGTGCTAGCACAGTAGAATATTTTAAGAAAAAAGTTATATATAATACCTTAGACAGAAAGTTATTAAGTGAAGACAAGTACTAAAATTAAAATACATACCAGAATAAAGCAAAGATAAGAGTTAAGACTCCAGAAGCAGAAAAACAAACAAAGAGAAATATTGAGTGAAACAATTCAAGGAAACATCAGTAAGTAAATAATGGTACAAAGAAAATGATCTGTCCCATTTAACCTTGACTTATTTGATAACCTCCAAAAAATCAAAATCTAACTTGTACAATGTCATTGATATAACAGACTACACAAACAAACTACAGGACCTTGATACAATACTACTGATAACTGAGCAACATTCCGACATTAGTGGAGCAGGTGAAGTGACATTGACTGAGCAAGACAGACATGGGACCAACCTTGTGGATTTATGTAAAAGATTATACATAATACAACGTAAGCCTAGATAAGCATCATGGTAAGTCTATTATAATACTACTAGCGGAATAAAGCTCTTTTGTCTACCAGTTTATTCGAGGCAAGGATATTTTTCAATAAAAATTATAGCTAAGCTTTAGGTGAACAAAGCATGGCAAAGCAAGGTATCCGCAGCCAGTTTGTGAGAGGCTGTTTAGCACTACATGAACTAAAATTAAGCTTAGTGCTTCAGTGCCAACATATCGAATTCTGAAACTAAAGCATTTTTTCTAAAACCGAGATTAAATTAGTGTTTTGGGCATTGTTCACAGTCATCTTATTAGCAGCATTTATTAAAATTACATTTCTAAAGCTTAGATAAAGCAACTTTATACTGCAATAAAATCTTTCATTGAATAAGAAAACTCTCTGAAATACGCTTATGCTCAAACAATGTTTGTGAAATGTTAAATAGCAGTTAGTATTGAGATATTTAATAAAACAAAATTCTATAATCAGTCAAAATCAATGTTTATAATGTAGTCATTGCAACAATACTAAACAATTTCTTTATCAATGTTTAAAATAAATTTTAAGTGTGCTTCAAACTTATAATTAAACCTTATAGAAAACAACAAGGCTGAGATTAATCCAGACATAACTAGTAATGACTGTGATTAAAACAAACTTTACTCTTGATAGAAAGCTCTTGAAAAGGCATAACTCAAAGCACCTGTACAACCGGAAAAATAAATTGAAATGGGATTTTTCTATGCTAAATTTGACTGTGAACAATCCTATGAGTTCTCTGAAAAGCTGTGCGTAAGTGTGAGTGTAATATGAAGGGAGACTTACGAGTGTAGAGCATCTGGCCCTGGTAGTATGGCAGGTAGACATGTTGAGCATGGGTGGGCTTCCCATAGACATTCATCGCCATAGCCAACATTTCATCCCCACCTAGCAACATGCTCAGTTAGCCCCTCTACACCCCGCCGCGACCCACAACCCTCACCAATACATAGAGCAAGAAGAACAATGAGATGAAAGTTGAGAGAGAAATAAGAAAAGAAACAGCAGATAACAAAACAAGATATGAAGATGAACCAAATTGAAAGGAAACACTTGAGAAGAACAAGTTAAGAAGAAAAACGAACACAAAAAGGTATTATCATGACATAAAATGAAATAAGAACAATAAGAGTGGTAAAAACTAAGTGATATTGAATATAGTTAAATGTGCATGTTGTAAAAACTAATCAACATAAAATGAAAATACTAGGGATGGACGGGATTGAATTTTTAGTTCGGGACGGGACGGGACGGGATTTTTATTTCCTTCCCAATTTTTGGGACGGGACGGGACGGGATTTTTTTCTGTGCATAAAAAGAAAGTACTGTATTGCAGTTACCAAAAAAAGACATACGAAATCAATTTTTACCATTTGTGGCACTGATCTATAAAAACCAAAAAATGGGTAACAATTTACAGGTACCTATAGTAACTTGTGACTCGCGGGTCACGGGGTGATCGTCTGTATGACTCACGGTCACGGCGAGATCGTCGTCATGACTCGCGATCACGGCGCGATCGTCGGTATGACTCGCGGTCACGACGCGATCGTCGTCATGACTCGCGGTCACGGCGCGATCGTCGGTAGGACTCCGCGGTCACGGCGCGATCGTCGGTATGACTCCGCGGTCACGGGGTTATCGTCGGTATGACTCGCGGTCACGGCATGATCGTCGGTATGACTCGCGAACACGGCTCGATCGTCAGCATGACTCCGCGGTCACGGCGCTTTCGTCGCCATGACTCGCGGTCACGGCGCGATCGTCGGTATGACTCGCGGTCACAGCGCTATCGTCGGTATGACTCGCGGTCACGGCGCGAACGTCGGTACGACTCCGCGGTCACGGGGTTATCGTCGGTATGACTCGCGGTCACGGCGCGATCGTCGGTATGACTCGCGATCACGGCTCGATCGTCAGTATGACTCCGCGGTCACGGCGCGATCGTCGTCATGACTCGCGGTCACGGCATGATCGTCGGTATGACTTGCGGTCACGGCGCGATCGTCGGTATGACTCGCGATCACGGCTCGATCGTCAGCATGACTCCGCGGTCACGGCGTGATCTCATGACTCGCGGTCACGGCGCGATCGTCGGTATGACTCGCGGTCACGGCGCGATCGTCGGTAGGACTCCGCGGTCACGGCGCGATCGTCGGTATGACTTCGTCTCCTGCGTTCGCGGACCTATCGCTCGCAATAACGGCGTTATCGGCACTCGCGAAGCAAAAAATCGCCGACGATCGGACCAAATCCCGTCCCGAAAAATTCCCGAGTCAAATGTAATCCCGTCCCGATAATCGGGAATATTTTTTTCCCGAAAAATTCCCGAAATTTCGGGACCCGTCCATCCCTAGAAAATACCCATACTTTTGTTACTGAAATAAGACACAAACAATTTTACAATTAAGCTGCAGTCATTTTGCATTATCATTAATGTTATGGAAAAATGAATATAAGTTACGTAATATTGTAAACAAATTACTATCATATTTTCCAAAACAGCAAACTAATTTTAAATCCCAAAACATACAATCAATATTGTAAGTAGTAAAACCGGAAATCAGAGGTTAAACATACAACAAGTAAAAATATATTTCATGATCACCAAATTCTCTTTAAGCGTAAAACCTTCAAAATTCTAATGTAATGATTAACACTTTTTTATAGATAAGATGATAAGATAGATAATGAAACCCCAAAACAACATTCAGATACAACACATCACAATCAACGCACCTCCATCATCCTCAGAGTCAGACATGAATGTCTCCTGCATTGCCTCTGGAGCCACCACTCTGTACTTCTCCTCCACAGTGACTGTAGTAGTGGTGGTTATGGTGGTCTCTGTCACCACCTTGAGTGTCTCCACCACACTGATGTAGCCTAGTTTGTGAGCAATGGAGAGAGCTGTCTGTCCGTTCTACAACATCAAACACAACCACATGAATGTCTCCTGCATTGCCTCTGGAGCCACCACTCTGTACTTCTCCTCCACAGTGACTGTAGTAGTGGTGGTTATGGTGGTCTCTGTCACCACCTTGAGTGTCTCCACCACACTGATGTAGCCTAGTTTGTGAGCAATGGAGAGAGCTGTCTGTCCGTTCTACAACATCAAATACAACCACATGAATGTCTCCTGCATTGCCTCTGGAGCCACCACTCTGTACTTCTCCTCCACAGTGACTGTAGTAGTGGTGGTTATGGTGGTCTCTGTCACCACCTTGAGTGTCTCCACCACACTGATGTCTAGCCCAGCTTGTGAGCAATGGAGAGAGCTGTCTGTCCGTTTTACAACATCAAATACAACCACATGAATGTCTCCTGCATTGCCTCTGGAGCCACCACTCTGTACTTCTCCTCGACAGTGAAAGTAGTGGTGGTTATGGAGGTCTCTGTCACCAACTTGAGTGTCTCCACCACACTGATGTAGCCCAGTTTGTTGTCTATAGAGAGAGCCGTCTAGAAAAATATTAAATATTTTCCACTTCTTATTGTTACTTTTGAAAAACATGACATTACAAACATCCATGGTGTGAAAATAAATGGATATCATTTACAATAATGTACGTATTTCAATAGTAGGGTCACAACAGAACCAAAATTAATTGACCAAATTTGGAACAACCAAATGTCTTACATTAGTATTTCAAATATGTAGCATATCTCTGTATTCCTCTCCCATCATGTTTGAATGTAACAAAAAACTTGTAATATGGTGGGTGTAACATATTGGTTACCAAACATGGTAACTCAGTGGCAATGCCTTGGGCTGACACGCCAGACACTGCTTGATTGAGACCGGTGGTCACCACTTGTTAAGGTAGTGGGTGGTATAGGTTTAACATTAAAGTATGGTGTACTGACGTTGGTAACAGCGTCGGGGTTGGCCCGGTGTTTCAACAGCAGCGTGATGATGAGGGAGTGGCCCTGCTGCGCCGCCTGGTGTAGTGGTGTGTAACCCAGGCTAGTGCCGGCGTCTACACTGGCGCCATTCTCCAACAGGAACCTCACCATGTTCACTTGGCCAAAGTGACTGGCTACGTGTAGAGGGGTGTAGCCCGCCTGTAATACAGTGTCAAACTTGTAACCTTTCCTTCTACTGTGGTAACAAACATTCAAATTCATTGGTTTATATTTTTTTTACTAAGCTTTTCACTTACAATTTGTTTTCTTACCTTCATATGCTATATTATCAAAACATAGGGATAAGCTTACCTTTGTGGTAGAATTGACGTTTGCACCATTTTTGACTAGAATTGCTGCAACATTGACTTTATCTTCCTGTGCGCAAAGATGTAGTGGTGTTAGACCGTTCTGAAATCATAAAAATGAAAAGATATTGTATAATATTTGTGTATTCTTGATAGAGAAAACTTTTATAACAAGTTCATTAAACTTAGTGTTTTACGTTAACAAATTGATAAATACGCATAGCATTTAATTTTATGAAGTGTGTATGAAAGCACTGAAGAACCCCCAACATAAATAACAATTACATTTGACTGCTCCTCCTATATTTGCTTGTGAAGCTATATGTAATCAACTTTGAGTTTATTTATTTCACTCAGTAAGCTTTCAGACTTATTTCATGTAAGAAATTGTATTTAACCGTTATAGTGTTACAAAAATGAACACATGGCTTTTGCTTGTGTGTAAAAAAAATATAGATTGAATATTTCAAACATAAAATTTTCAATTACTCATAGGTTTACTCTCAGGTTGACTGGTTATTGTTTTTCTATTTGGTTACACTCAAACAAAAGTAGAATAGGTAAAAGCCTAACATTTGTATCTTGTGTCTAGTTTAAAAATACATTACAATGTACCGTAGATGTTTTGTTTTCCAATGGTGGTGTACCTTGGCCTGATGGTCTACATTGGCTTGGAAGTCAATGAGGAGGCTGGACATGTCAGTGTGTCCCTCCTGTGCTGCCAGGTGTAGTGGGGTGAAGCCAGCCTTGGACTCTGCATTGGCCTTGGCTCCATACTCCAGCAGGGTTGTGGCTATGTCCATCTGAGACAAGCATTAGATCAACATCAGGTCTATCGGATTTTATAAACACACCAGAGCAATGTGCAAAGAAAAAATTTGGATTGAGAGGATTTAAAAAAAAACTAGTTGTTTTATCCACAAGATCAGTTGTGCAGAGGTAACTTACTTCTTAAGGCAAACCTGAACTTTGTTTAAATTAGGGATGGACGGGATTGAATTTTTAGTTTGGGACGGGACGGGACGGGATTTTTTTCTGTGCATAAAAAGAAAGTCTTGAGTATTGCAGTTACCAAAAAGACAAACAAAATCAATTTTTACCGTTTGTAGCACTGAACTAAAAAATGGGTATCAATTTACAGGTACCTATAAAAACTTGTGACTCGGGGTCACGGCGCTATCGTCAAAATGACTTCGTCTACTACGTTTGCGGACCTATCATGAACATCTCTCGCAATAGGGGGTCATCGTCACTCACAAAGCGGCAAAATCGCCGACGATTGGACCAAATCCCGTCCCGAAAAATTCCCGAATCAAATGTAATCCCGTCCCGATAATCGGGAATATTTTCATCCCAAAAAATTCTCGAAATTTCGGGACCCGTCCATCCCTAGTTTAAATTACAATAACATATTTATAGATTCACGGAGGACTAACCTGATTCTTGCGAGCAGCGATGTGCAGAGGTGTGTGTCCGTTCTTGGCAGTGGCATGAGGCGAGGCTCCTTTGTCCAGCAACAGCAATGCTACATTCTGGTGGTCATAGTGAGAAGCTACATGCAGCGGAGTCACTCCGTTCTGTCAAATAAAATGTCAAGGTTAGTGAACAATTACTGTAGTAAAACTAAGAAATAGGAATAGAACTGTCCACGATAGGAAATTGTAATGGAGTGAAAAACATCTTGAGATAAATTCCAATAGTGATTCCTTTAACAAAAATCATAAACTCGCACATTAAATAAACTTCATTTAAAGAATTTTAAACACAATTATTTTCTTATTCGATTCCCAACTTGTATTTAAAAAAATTATTAGTCTTGGCTATTGAATGTGATAGGACTGTTTAAGAAAGCGGGGACTATTTAAATCATCAAATTAATAGGATGATATTAGATTATTGATCCCTTTGTAGTGATAAGTTAGGATTGAACCTAAAGCTTTTGAATGTTGCTTTTGTTGTAGAAAAAGTTAAAACATAGGGAGTTCAAGGGTAGGTTAACATTTAAACAGAAATAACTCATGGGATCTGAGCTGGGGACGTTTGCCTCCACAGTTGTGTGACACAGCTGTGGGATATGTGTCGAGTCATTAAAGATATGCCTGGGATTATTTGCAGGATTTTTGTAGGCACATATCCCGGAATTGTTGCCTGCGATGTGTTTCAATTTAAATATACTTTTAGTGTAATGTTTCAGTCTACCTTCCCCTGAGCATCTACAGGAGCGTCTCTCTGCAGCAGCTGCCTGGCCACCTTCATGTTGCCATACTTGGCCGCCAGGTGGAGGGGGGTGAACCCTTTCTTTGTTGTAGCCGACAGTGAAGCACCATTCTCCAGCAACACGGATGCTACCTGCAATAAAAATCTTCTAAATCAACCATCCTTGTAGAATCTGTGATAGTACTTGTATCTTTCAATCTGCAATATTTCCGATGTTTTTAAATTAGGTTTCTATGCCGGTAGTATTTTGTTTTTGTGAATCACAAACACTTTTTAAGGGAATGCCGTTAAAACCCTCACATCTTTCTAGATATGCCAGTGATTGGACCCGCTCTTAACGGAAAGCTAACCACTAGGCAAGCAACACACTCTATTCAGATTTTATGAGCCTGTGATACGTATGGGTACGTTATGTTTTGAAAACAAAAGTACTTTAACGTATTTACTTTTATTTCTTCTGGTACAAACAGTTTATATTATTTTCATCTACGTAAATAACAAGTACTATTGTTCAACCCTTCAAAACTTACAAAGCATTTTTGTTAACCATTGCATTAACTTTTTGCAGATTTTTAGTATAAGTAAAATTATGATTTTATTTTATTTAAAACAACAGAAATACATGTGTCTTTTTCTTGGAAGTTAGTGTTGAATCAATTATAAATATATATAGTTTGAAGTCAAGTGAAAAAGATTAAATTAGTTGGCTGGCCTAGAATTTAAAAAGCATATTACAGCAGCAAATCAAAAGAGTAGGAGAATAGAAGAGGAAAATACATTTGGATATTACGACAAGATAATAAAGTAGATTTAAATGAATCATTCCTGACAAAAGACACAACAAAATCAGTAAAATATATTTCAAAACTTAAGTGTTACTGCTGCATAGAGGAAAGGAATGAACGAAACATTGGATAACATGACAAAACTAAATGTAGGTAACAATACACATTATAATATAGAGAGAGTGACCAATTGAGTTAAAAATGAATTAAGTTCAAACTAATAAACAATGATCTCAGGCAGTCCATTAGCAACTGACCTGTTTCTTTGAAGTTACTGTTCCATAAACAGCTGACTGTTTGGCAGAATGTAAACTAGTCAGTACATACAACTATTGCCTAAACAATCTTGCACAGACAGATACATTTGCTATTCAACTCTACTGATGTATGCATTCCAGTTTTAACCAAATAAAATTATTTTTGTCCACCTCCAACGAGCAAATAAGTTACCACTTCTAATAACTTACACAGAGAATTTTTAATGATTAAAAAGCTGTGTATAAAATATGTAGCTGTAAAAGCTATGAAACGTTAAAACAAAGTTTCATGATGTTTAAGTAGAAAATACATATTTTAAAAATCTAGAGGAGGGGATGGTTGGGAAAAGTCCTCCTTATTCGTCACCAAGGGGTACAAAAAGTGTTTTTTAAGATTTATTTTTTAAACCATTCAAATTTTGTATTAAATAATATTGTGATTGCAGAAAGTGTCAACATAGATTGACAAAAATACGATCATGACTTCTTAGTCGCTGGAAATGATCACAATATGCTGCCGAAATCACAAGTGATGATCATGATAAATCCTGATTTTACATGCCTATGTTTTTCTCGCCATTCTGATTCCGGTAAGCTTAACCCATTGGATACTTTGAGACTTGGTTTTGAGCTCAATAGCATAGCCTTTAGAATCCAATAAAAAATGGCTAATTTGTAGTGTTTCAGTAAAAAAAATCATTAAATTTGGCGTTTTTACTTAAATAGATAAAAGTTGTATGTATATTAATCTAAATTAAATTCCCTATTGTAATAAACGTATTTCAAGAAGAAAAAAAAAATAATAATTATAAAAATATCTTTTAAAAAGAAAATAATAAAATTAATATATTTTTAAAAGCAATGTCAAAAAATGTCGTATGAGTCATTTTTTTTAACTATTTCTTGCTTTTATTACCTTACTTTATTCAAATCCCTACATAAAAATTTGTAATTTATAATTATATCCACAATTGTCTATGTTTTACAGCTAAAACACTGTCTAACCTCTGATCACCACTGTCGTTGTCTGATAGACCTAAGCCGCCCAATTCGACGTTACTTTCACTGTCATTTTTGCACAACAGTCTGTCAATCTCACTCGATAACATGCGATAAATAGTAAATATCATGAAATGTATACTTTTTTTAAACATTAGTGCACCTGTATAAATTTATCTCATTGCCTCACCCTATATTTTACAACCATTCGTTACGAGTAGATAACTTTGTTAGTTAATAGCCTGATAACAAATGGCATTTGGGTGCAGAATCGGTCTCCCTATCCTATTCAAAGGCGAGCAATATAACCAATGGCTACCCAAACAATTATAATCAACTCCTGAATAGATGTTAACATGTTGTAATATATTTTTGACTTGTTAAGAAAATACCCTACTGGATATAAGCTCTGGAGTGTGTTACCTCATCCTGGCCCTCCTTGGCCGCTATGTGCAGGGGTGTGTAGAGGTCCTTGGTGGTGGCGTCTACTGAAGCTCCATGTTGAAGCAGCAGCAGCACAATGTCGCTGTTGCCGAGCCTTGACGCTACGTGGAGAGGTGTTTGGTCCTCCCTGGCCCGAGCGTCCACACTCGCGTTGTTACGCAGTAGTATGCGCACAATGTCCGCCTGACTGGCACGTGCCGCCAAGTGAAGGGGTGTCTCTCCTCGCACAGTCGCCACATCTGGACTTGCGTCGTGTTGCAGCAGGTAGATGGCAATGTTCATGCAGCCCATGAAACTGGCAACGTGGAGTGGAGTCAAGCCGCTCTGTAAAATTATTAATGAATTACCTACTTTTATTTATACTTAAACATAGTTTGACGTTTCATCAGTTTATAGATATGTCATTTGAAGCACTCGTATATTTATATCACAACTTAATACAAAAGTCTAACCATAAATATTGAAGAAAGGATTAATGTTAAGATCTGCATTTTTTTTGTTTCATCTGCATGAATGAAACATTACAACAAAGCTGTTTTATTAGAGAGTATATTTTAATTTCCTGTTGAGTTGAAATTGAATTGGAGCTAATTTAAAATCCACCCAAAGTGTAGGATGTTTATGTAGGAGGGTTTTTTATGCACTCATGTTAAAAATTACAGGTGTGTTGGAGGTATAAACTGATAATAAGTTTATATATTCAAATATTTTAATCAACCTTTAAACTTAAATTTGTATTTTGACAAACTTGTATTTATAGACCTACACATAATGGGGTACATAGCTATGCTTATTTATTTACTTACTTTATTAAAAACATCAAAATTACAACCTTAAGTAATAGATACCTCAGTAGTGGCTTCAATGGAAGCTCCATATTTGAGTAACAGTTCAACTACTTTTATGCGATTCTTCTTGCAAGCAATGTGGAGTGGAGTGAAGCCGTTGAGTGCTCTAGCATTAGGGTCCGCCTTGCGGTCAAGCAGTAGCTTAGCGACCCTGGCATGGCCGCAGTGCGCTGCTACGTGGAGAGCTGTCAGGTAGTCTACTGTCACCTCGTCCACCGGGGCGCCATGGTACAGCAAGATACGAGCTGCATCCACGTGGTCACCTTGCGAGGCCATGTGCAGGGGCGACAACCCATTCTGTGACACACGGCAACTAGTCTTTAGTCATTATGGAGTAACAGATTTAACAATTAAGTACATTGATATTCTTAATGTTTTGTACTTTGGCCTCTAACTGGTGGTCTATTAATGTTGTTTTAGGTTATGTTTTAAGCAGGACAAAACTTTGTTGTGAGACAGCTTGAATCATTAACTGTTGATAAGAATAAATAATTATAATCAAACATTTAGCAAAGGTCTTGAATAAACATATTCCACTAAGACATGTTTGGTAATCACTAAGTGTAATGTAATGTCTTACAATTTCAGAATACAAAAATGCATTGGTTTACAAATTACAACCATAGTTAGATGATACAATGTGAGATTAATAAGCAAGTATTTTTTAACTACTGGTCGTAAATTAATGTTCGAGAGCAAGCTTGTCTCCTTCCTAATCGCTAAAATAGTGAAGAGCGCAGGACTTTGGTCCTCGAGGTCCGGGGTTTTATATTCTGCCAATCACCAATGGATTTAGGGCCTTGCCCACTAGAATGTGGAGGTAAGACATAAATAACAACCAAAAATAGTTCTGATGTTACCTTGGTTTTGGAGCAGAGGGGAGCCTTGTTCTCCACCAGCAGGTCCACCACCTGGTCGTGTCCAGAACGTGCAGCACAGTGTAGGGGTGTGAGGCCGTCCCTAGTCTTGCTCTCAATCGCTGCTCCCTTCTCTAACAGGAACTGAACCATCGGCTGTTTGCCCCACTTGGACGCAACATGTAGTGGAGTGATGTTGTGCTGTAAACATCAGGGTTGAGTCAAGTATGCATTTTATATAGTGTGATGATGTTAAAGGAAGGAGCCTCACTTTGTGGCATGAGTATTGTAGCATAAAATAGCTAGATTATTTTATTTGTCTTTTACCAATAGGTGTGACTAGAGCCACATACCAGGAAATCTGAGGGTAACAGGTGAGTGTGGGGTCCAAGGACAACCTGAAGGTAAATGTGTACATCTCTTTGTAGAGATGTTAGTTTTCTTTCAGATTTCTCCCATTTCCCTCTATTGCTAGGGAGAGTTTAAAACCTCAAACTCCCCCCCCCCCTGTTTACGCGTGCTGTTTTATCTAATTTACTGTGATTATGTCATTCTAACCATACGTCACCTGAGTAAGGGGAGAAAGTAAACGGCTCCTTTTGCCGTATTGCCATAAAGTGTGTTGAATATTAACTTATCTGAAAGACATTTTGTGAACCCAATAAAATTTTAAAATTCAAGTAACTTATTCCTTATTAGATGGATTATGTTTTTTATTAATGGATTTTTATTAGATGGATTATTTCAATTACTGGTCACGTTACTTTAATTTTAAGATTGAATGCAAAGTTCTATTAAAACAGTTTTGTTTGAGGAATAATATACCTGCTGTCTTACACCTCAAACTTCAAGCATATTGTAATCTTGTTTGGAACTCTAATGAACTTTTAAACAATAGAAACTTAATCTCATTAGTGGTTTCAGGCACATTCACATTATCAAACAGGTTCCCAAAGAGTGTATTATAGTTTTATCCAATGTGGGATAACTTTACCTTTGCTGCATAGTTGATGTTGGCTCCCTTCTGATGAAGAAGGCTGGCTATGTTGACGTTGCCATAATGAGCAGCAATGTGAAGAGGCGTAAACCCACTCTTAGATGTTACATCAGGATTGTGCTCATTCTGCAATCAGTTCCTATTAATGAAACTCCAGGAGGATAGTGACTTGGTTAGGACCATACATGCTACTAATAGTACTAATCAATATTTGACAATGCTTTGAAATGCACCTATTTTTCACTAAAGAGCTTATGACAATGAATAAATAACCTAAAAGAAGCACAATGTCTTTGATAAAAATTCAGCCTGGGAGTATTTGAATTTCAGATAGTTTCCGTGGCGGCCGCTGGGTAGACTATCGCGAGCGTGCTTCAAAGTCAGCTGATTGAGTGAGAGAGAGTTAGACAAAGTATTGATTTAAAAGAGAGAGAGAGTGTAGCAGCCGCACAAGCGATCCTAGGGGCAGCCGTACGAAGCTCATTTCGGCGGCAAAACTCCAGTCTGACTATTCTCCATAAGCATTTTGCTTCTTATTGGGTTAGTATTCATGCTTATGATGAGCTTTCATATGATAAAAAAATATTTATTTATTTTACCTTACAGAATATTCTACATGTTTGTACCTTTCCACCAACGTAATGTTTGATGAAAGTGTTTGTTAAATTATGTTTTATTTCAGCATGTTTATGCTATTTAGATTACCAAGAAACAGATATCAATGTGTAATATATATACAAATATTTCCTGTCCAATGAAAAATTCAGACTATGTCTAAAACTCTTTATACTCTCCTCGTGATTAACTATCCTATATTTGTGGAAACAAAGTGATCATTCTGACCATTGTTCTATTGGGTAGTCACAATGCCTACCTGTAGAAGGAGAGCAGCAGCTTTGCAGTCGTCTTTCTTGGCAGCAATGTGTAGAGCAGGCAGTCGTACCTTCCCTCTGGTGTCATTCTCCAGCAGCACGGCCACCACCTTGTCATGGCCCTGCTGCATGGCCACAGCCAGCGGAGTGAAGCCATCCTGTAACATGGCCATAGCTTCCTCAACATTTCAAAATGACAGACATCTTAAACGCCCATACACTCTTTTTCTACAAGCCCTAGCAATCCATTTTTTCTCTTTTAGCGAATTTACTATATAGGGAATAAGCTATTACCAAAGGTCTCATGGTAAGACCTAGACCCGGGACCGATTTTCTTTTTTGTTTTGAGGCCTTCAGAGGGCAAAAACACCCTCCGATCACATTCATATATATATCTCGATTTCAAATATCTCAAATAGCTTAGTAGTTAAAAGGGGTGCAAACTAATTTTCAGCCACCCTCATTGTTATTTGGATTTGAAACCTTTTAGGGCGCCATTTTTTTATTAGTGGTCCGATTTTAGTTTTCTTTATGTCAATTATTTAGTTTTGTCAAGACCTGTAAAATTATACCAAATTCAACTATACTTGCCATTTAAAAACTTTTAGCTACCCCCTACCCCCGCTACCCCTAAGGGCAAAATTTTCAAAATTAGCCATCATTATTGTAGCCCCTCATAACTAAGAAGGTTGTCACAAACCGTTTTCAAATATCTCAAATAGGGGCCAAAAGTTACTTTTCAGGCAACCTGTATATTGTACCTGCCTTGTAAATCTTCATGCGATAATCCATTTCTTAACCGTTGGAAAGATTTTTGGTAATATGACACAACCGTGACTGAGGCATTAGTTTCTTGTTGAAATTGTAATAAATTGGACACAAAATGACTCAAATTGACATTATCTCTGACACATCCAATGGGAGAGCATATTATGAGGTGTTTCAAGCCTGTTTTTTGTTTTTTTTTGTTTTGTGTTTTTTTTTGTAACGTATTGAAAAGCAGCATCGTAATCTTGTTGAGTTATTTTGCCAAAGTATCTTTCCTTGGTGATCAAACTGTATACTGAAGCACCATTTTCCTTGTTCTGTATTGCCAGGTGGTTCGGTGGTTGGTAATGCGTTGTGAAACTATAGGTTTACCAAACTATGATTAAAATACCGTTAAATATTATCATCTTTTAAAAAATATAAATCTTATACAGTCTTTTTGATTGTATCATTTTTTTACCAGTTAAAATAACGATTTTAGTCATTTGTGTGGTAAAACAATGGGCACACTCTCATGTATTAACATGATCATATTTCAAATTTTTAGCTTTTAACCGACTTCCCCACTACCAACAAAAGGAGGAGGTTCTCAATTTGTTTGTGGCGATGTTTTTTTTTTCTATGTATGTTCACCAATTTCTCTGTGATTCTTTTACCGATCAGTGTGGTTCCACCACCAAAATAACCAGGAGAGTTTCTATTTGGTACCTTATATATTATGTTTAAGTATAATATTTGTTTCGGTGAAAAATTCTGAAAACCTTAAATATTCAACATTTATTTTGTTTACATTTGTGCAGATTGTTTACATTTGTGCAGAGAAGGCAATAAATAATAATAACATTCCTACAGCTGTTAGTTGAAACCATTTAAATGAAGCTACAGACAATTCTTCATGAAACAGTTGTTTCATATTGATCAATAAACTATTTCTTGCCATGGAGCCTAAATGAATTACATTGAGAAAAATGAATTTTGTTTTGGTTACTATAAAAAATGTATTTTAACGTTTGACCTGATTTGTGTATACAGTAATTCTGTTTTTATTAGTATTGAATATTCTGACTTACAAAAACATATATGTTTTAGTGAATAGCTGTATGATATTGACAAATAAAGATGTATTGTGAAAACCAAAGCATTCGTAAAACAGGTCTAAATATAAATTAAATGAAATTATTCCTTACACGACCTAAGAAGTGTGACAGTGCATAATCGTCAATTGTCTTAAAAGTGTTAAATATTTTAATTACTAAACAAGCATTTGCAGATATGGAATGTTTATTGATATTATCTACCCAGTTACTATATCATATCAATGCCTGCTTCGGAAAGTCCTAGAGGAAGATGATTTGCAATTTCAACTAGGCTATATCTTGATCAAACAAAACTACATGGCTTGCACCACTTTTAGCTGAACCAATCTTTCATATACATATTTCATTTGCAGATGTGGAATGTTTATTAATATTCTCTACCCAGTTACTATAACATATCAATACTATTATGCCTGCTTCGGAAAGTCCTAGAGGAAGATGATTTGCAATTTCGACTAGGCTATATCTTGAGCAAACAAAACCCCCTACATGACTTACACCACTTTTAGCTGAACCAAATCTTTCATATAATATTTTTCAAAGGTACTATACGTGTTAACAACCAATTTTCCACTTTTGAGAGATTTTTTAGTGCTGGTGGTTGAGGAATAACTTTCATATTGTTCCAAAAGGCTTGAGACGTTACTGTATTTCTTTTTATAATGTAGAAGTACACCGATTGCAGGAAACGATGATGTCTGACATTTCAATGTATCTAGAAAAGACAATTAGTTTTTCATTAGGCCTAATGTAATGGACAACTCCTTCTTTCTTAAGGAATATCTAAAAATGTTTATTTTCATACCCATTGATTATGTAACCTGAACAGGTGACTCAAGCAGTTTTAAAATAATGATTGTTCTGTGGAACTTTTGATTGTTTCAAACAGTTTTGCTTATCAAAAAACCTCAAATAATTAATACATAAAAAATTATACAGTCACTAAAAATCATGAAATAATTTATTTTTGTAAAAAAATACAACCGACTCCAAACGCTCTAAAAAGAATGAAATAATTTCAATAAAGTAAACTTTTGTATTAGGCAAGCTCACGTATTTCAAGTTGGCGCGGCTCAAACTGCAAATATGATTGAAATTAAATATTGTGTGTGTATTTTGAAAATCAATAAATTGTAGCTGGATAACATAAATATATAAAAAAAACATACTGAACTGTTTTGTTTATATATTAAAAGAAATATTTTCTTGTATTTTATGTTTACTTCAGAATAAATGCATTATGAAAATAACACACACAAATGTTCTATATGAATAGGAAAATAATTTAGTTTGATATTATGACAGGGAAAAGAAGCTAGTTTAGTATTAAAACATTACTTTTCCAAGTTAGAAACATTTAAATGCGTTATAATCTTTTTAAAGATACTCGTTAATACCACTATAATGCCGATCTCTGATTACGGTAATAAAATAACACTTAATGCATAACTATGAAAAAGACATGCAGATTAACACCTTTAGTTATAGATAGTCACCTGCAATATGGACACCCTCTTTCAATTTTGTATCAAAAATCATCATAGAGCCGCGCCGACTTAAAATACGTGAGCTTGCCTAATACAAAAGTTTACTTTATTGAAATTATTTCATTCTTTTTAGAGCGTTTGGAGTCGGTTGTATTTTTTTACAAAAATAAATTATTAATTAATTTTTTTAAAATGTTAGCCCTACTTTGTAACTAACCTCTTTAATTTACGTATAGTTATTTTTTAGCTTTAGATAACTGCAATTAGCTTGTTATTAAACCTGGTCAAAGTTTTATTGTATAAAGCTTTATACTGTAGTTGCAAGGAAACTACTTCTGAACTTTCAGCGCAAAGGATTACTTTTGCTATTGTCTTTGTCTGACAAACAACAAATGAATGTTTTATGTCCCAACTCTGGGAAAGGATGGGGTGAGCAAAGGTAACGATTTTTGAGCGAATTAACTTTCAGTTTTACCAACAAGTAAGTTATAGAGGTTACACTTGTAACAAAAATATAAGTTTTAAAATATGTTTAAAAAAAAAATTGCAAGCTAAACTGTGCATAGACTAACTAAACTAAGACATTAAATTGTTATCAACCCCTACTTAATTGGCTAGATTATTGTTAACACTCCCACAAAGTGTGTTATTACTATTGCCACTTGTCAGCACTTATGTTTCCAAACAACATTAACCAGATAGACAACAAGTAATTAAGAAACATTAGGCGGATGAGTAACCAAGCGCTCAGTGAGGTGTGACTCTTCTACAACAGCTGACAATTGCGCTTGGTAATGCAAATTACTGCCTGTTAGAGTTACGACTGTGGGAGGCAATTGACTCAAGGCCTTATCACAACAGCAGTGACATCATGACTCGGTCTATATCTGTACCTTTTAACCATACAAATATGTTTTATTCATGACAATTTATTTTGCATCCTTCATACAAAGTTGCCTAGTGGGTTTCAAATGTGTTTGTTTACATTAGTTTGGACTTGTAAGTACGATTTTGGTGTAATATAAAACTGGATTTCATTTTTTTAGTTTAATTTAATGGTAACTCCAAGATACTGTATAAGTACCAGTACTTTACATAGTTGTTACTATGTTGTAAAGACAATAAATTACTTCTTTAGTGACTATTGTAGTTCTTAAAGCCATAGCATAGCTAAGTTTCAAGATAATGTCAAGTATTATTATTTGTTTCTCATTCTATTTCAACAGTTCGGTAACTTGATTCCCATGTGAAGTGAAGCAGGAAACAGAGGCCTCAATAGGACAACAATGGCTTCAGTCGTATCAAAGTGAATTGAGTGACAACATAGCTATTTGAATCATATCTCAGAGACACCTTACCACAAAGAGGGTCTGACTGTGTTTCACATTCATCATTCAATATAGTTATCAAAAGTAAATATTGTAAATGGTACGAGTAAATACACCGAGAAACACTATAGTAGATCTCTTCTTGCTTTTGGCTGACCAAACTTGTTTAATTGTTGTAGTGCTCAATTGCATTAGGAAGACCCTCCCGTGAACTATAATCATTGACTTTATATCCCTACACTCTTTCTTGTGTAGAGATATAAAGTCAATGATTATAGTTCACGGGAGGGTCTTCCTAATGCATATGGTGGAAAGCACAACTCACCTCAGTGGCCAGAGCCTGGTTGGCTCCTTTGCCGAGGAGGAACTTGACCACTCCATCATGGTTCTCTTGCGCTGCCATGTAGAGAGGGGTGAAGCCGTTGAGGCTCTGCACGTTGACTTGTGCGCCATTCTGCACCAACACTCGAGCAACCTCCTCCTGCCCAGCTATGGACAGTAGAGTACAACATGGTGAGAAACAAATAGAGTGGATGTGTTAACAAAGTAAGCAAATAAATAACTATGGATAAAAATGTCATGGAGTTACTTTAGGTCTTGCAGGGTAAGAAACCATAGTAGTGTCAAAGTGTAGAAATTCTACATTTTTATAACATGTAAGAGTGAGGAACCATAGAATGACACTATGATTTACCTTAAACCAAGATACAGTTATCAGTATATCAATTTCATGAAATTAAATGCGCTAGTGTATAGACATTTTTTACGAGGAATTTCTCTCCTGAGGCTCATCTACAGACGGAAATGATACACCCAATATTTTGAGTTCCCCAAATACAACCTTCCTCTCTTTTTCATGTGAGATCCCATATAAATAAAAGCTAATCATCTCAATTTTATTATAATGTTATAGTGTAGTAATTAATTGCTGTTTTAATATAAAACTAAAATACTGTACTTTTAACTTTTGTATTTTAATGGAATTTGAGCAAAAAATATTTTTATAACAAGAAAAAATATCCCCGAGAGTTTCAAATTAATCTTGGTAGAAGAGTAATGGCAGATGTGTATACCCAAAGCAGCGATGTGCAGTGCAGTGTTTCCCTTCTTGGTAGCAGCATCTACATGACACCCTTGCTTCAGCAACTCTGTAACTATGTTGACATGACCGTCCTTCGCAGCTAGGTGAAGGGCATTCAGTCCATTCTGTCAACACACAGAAAGGTTGCTAAAACTATATGAAATCAGCAAACCCATATTGATGAACAACTTTCAAAATATAATAGATTTATTTCAGTGGATGCCATACTACTACTGCCTTAGGCAAAAAAATAAATAAAATAAAATAAAAATAGGTTTTTATCCTAGTATTTGAAGCAATGGCAGAAACTGTAAAATAATCATCTAGCTAGAAGCAAAGACCTTTTGCCTTACAAAGTAAGTTTAGAAAACCAAGACTGATTGTCTAAGTGATCCGTGTAAGAATAGTACACTGACTTATTTTGATTTTGTATGATCGAGTTAATGATAAAAAATATTTCAAAAACCATTTCTAAACTCTACCTTGATGTCCAAAAAAGCAATTTCTTGGAAAAGGAGACCAGAATAACTTACTAGGCCCTATGTATTTTGTATATAATTGCACACTCAATACAACTTCTTATGGATTAAGAAATAAATTGGCCCAAAGAAAACTGTTAAAAAATATTCTCAAGCATGAGTGTGATACCAGAACTGGGTTACATATGTTGCAAATTTAATTAAATCAAGATTTAGAATTCTCTAAAAGGAGAATTAATTAGCATTGAAAGGAGATTGACATGAATTAGATTCTTAAGGAGAAACTCGGACAATAAACTAGAGTCTGGTTGTGACCCCGTTGAAAGGTTTGCCATACAGTATTAGTACAAGATGTCATAGTTATGTATAAGGCTTCTTGGCTTACATAACTCCAAGGTATTTGCTCTTTGATACAATCACTTTCTCCGTCTTTCCAGGCAGGTTGCTATTCGACTACACCCAATGTTACAAACAAACATGACTTCATGTATTGTATCTCTTTTAAACCAACATTAAATTAATAATTTAAAATGTTTTTAAAAATACCCCTGCCACAGCAAACCTGCAGATATAATATATTCCGATCAAAACAGGTAAAATATTTTCCCTTTCCCCTATTTAAATAACATTGGATTTAACAAGCAACTAGGTTTGCTGCTACAGGGAATAGAAAAAGTGTTTTTTGATCAAATGTTAATAGTATAGGACGAGAGCTCGCCCTGTTGTGGAAAACTTGACCAAAAGTATGTATTCTGCCGTACTAAGCACAAAGGGGGTATCTGCACCTGAGCTGATTTTGAGAAAAAGAGGTTCCAAGTCTAAACCTCTTAATTTCGGTAACCATGGGCCTAGGATCAATATTGCCATATTTACTGAATTTGTAATTTTTTCCTTTGTCTAAAAATACTAAATTTATTTCAAAATGCCTATTTAACACATTTTTATGGCAGATACGGCTAACTGGAACAACTAACTAATCCTAAAATACTAAGTTATATAGCCGTAATGTACAACTTACTAAGCTGATTAAGTAGTATCTGCGGCAGTTACGGCTAAATTACATTAGTAGCACACACTTACAACTAGGAATGCTTAGTAATGTATGTAGAACTATCTACTCATAAAATTATAATTTGCCAAGTCCTGATCATAATACTAAAATTAAAATGTTTTTTGAACCCAGTGACAAGACCTGTATTTACCTATTTTGCCTGAAGGTCTTGTAGTTAACACTCGATTAACACTCGATGCGCATTTCGCCGCTCAGTGCGGCATCTTCATGGAGTATCTTCTTAAACACTACTGTTACTATGTAACATAGTACATAGTACATAGTAACATAGTAACAGTAGTGTTTAAGAAGATACTCCATGAAGATGCCGCACTGAGCGGCGAAATGCGCATCGAGTGTTAATCGAGTGTTAACTACAAGACCTTCAGGCAAAATAGGTAAATAATTACTGTAAAATTAAAAGTGTCTAGATAATTTGACCAAATCATTAGAATTATTTCGGGAACAATTAATAGCCTAGGAAAAGTAAAACAGCTGATAAAAACCAGAATTTATTTACAGATAATAGTAAACATTTTTGCACAAAAAACTTCTATTAGGCTAAATTATTCTGCAAACAAGGAAAGTTCCCTCTTAAAAACACTTATTTATTATAAAGCTTAGAAGTAAAAAACAGTCATAAATCAAATCAACTTATTAACAAATTGATGACCGGCTTAAAAATGAAACAAATGTAATTAATACCGGTAATTGTCATGGTTTTTCATTGCACTAAAAAAAACCTCAAAAGCAAATATTGTCTGTATTAATTATCAGATTTATCTGAGATCACTGGGATATTTTCCCAAAATGAGAAACGGCTTTGCGGAACAATATCCTCAATTTATTTACAGATAATAGTAAACATTTTTGCACAAAAAACTTCTATTAGGCTAAATTATTCTGCAAACAAGGAAAGTTTCCTCTTAAAAACACTTATTATAAAGCTTTGAAGTAAAAAACAGTCATAAATCAAATCAACTTATTAACAAATTGATGACCGGCTGAAAAATGAAACAAATGTAATTAATACCGGTAATTGTCATGGTTTTTAAAAAACCTCAAAAGCAAATATTGTCTGTATTAATTATCAGATTTATCTGAGATCACTGGGATATTTTCCCAAAATGAGAAACGGCTTAGCGGAACAATACCCTTTTTGGAATGTAATAGATTCTTCAATACCGTATTGCATTTTTTCACTTTTTAGTCATATAGTTATGTACTTAAAACTTATATTTAAGAGACTGATCGTAACCTGTGTTAGCTTTATTGTTGGATAAAGACTAACTAATGTGTTTAAATTTTATCATATTTGCTTATTGTTCTATTTTTGTTGAAAAAAAAACTAACAACAACAAAGTTTTTAGGTTAATCAGTAACTTAAAGATGTAGCGTATTCAAAAGGTTTTTTTATAAAATAATAAAAGTGGACTGTATATAGGTTATTAATTTAATTTTGACAACAGAAAATAATTATGGACTTTTGGTTTAATTTTTAACACTGAATTACCACTTTGACGTTATTAAGGTCTTGAAAGAAGATCTGGTCGAATGTTGTCTAGTCCAGAAGATATGTTTAATGAATGTCCAAATGTTCTCACAGTACACAGAATTTAGAGTCAAATTAAAAAGGGTTTATTAAATGCACACAAAAGGAAAAGGTAAATGAAACAAGTCAAAATAAAAGGAGAGAGAAATGAACGATGTTACACAAAGAAACGATATTACAAGAAAGAAAAATTGCACTTTTTTAACCAGAATGTTTACATTTTCAAATTTTTATTATTGTATTGTTGTTGACATGTGGGGATCATTTTAATATGCTCTCTCTCTCTCACACATATGGTCAGCTGGCCTTTTAAATACTGAACAAAAGCTACCTAACTAACAAACAATTCTTGCAAACATGTGAGAATGTTGCCAACATACTAAAGCAAAAAGGTGGCAACTGCTACTTTACTAAGATATAAAAGTGGTATGTACGTATTAATAAGGGAATAAGTCGTATCTACAGCAGATGCGACTTTTATTGCTTAGTGAATGTCACTTACAGCTAAAATAACCTAGTAAAACATGTCATTCGTGCAGATACGACTAACTAAAAAGTACTTTTTTAAAGGAAATTATTTGTTGTTACGGCTAAAATACCTTAGTAACTGATAGGTAAAATCAAGCTATTTTAGTAGGTATCAATATCTCAATATAGCCAAAAATTGCAGATACCCCGTTTGTGCTTAGCACGGCAGTATTGTGCAAATTTCTCTATTTTCACCCCACGCTGTAAATTAAACATGTGATTGGAGTTTCTTCCATTTGTTTTGATTTTCTGTTTAAATTTTATTTTTGTGTTGTTACCAACGTGGCAACCCATAAGACCCATATTAATTATTTTTTAATTTTAAAATCATTTTTTGTGTATATTTTTAAGCTTATTTTAATTTATAAAGGGATTCTGCACATCTACAAGAAAATATCTTTCAATTTGGTACCAACCGCGTGTAATTCGGTCCAGTATAGTATGGTCAGGCTAGCTGTCATAAGTTTTGCAAAAGATTTTTAGTATATAAGATAGAATAAATGAATAATGAATTACTGTAGCCACATTTCATTAAACAAAATAATTTTAAATTAACAGTTTTTTTGAATTTCTCTGCAACCTTTGATTGTACAACAATATGCTTCAAAACACAAAATTGTTTGTTTTAGCCCCTACACATGCACTGTAATAAAAGTTGGGCAGTTCGGTGTTTTAAGGTTAAACATTTTTTTAAACTTATTTAAAAAAATTCAAATCTCCATAACATCTTTGCCTACAATGGTATAGTAGTAACTTTTCGAGTGTGGATACACTTGTCAATATAGGCCTGATATTTAAGCAATGTGGTTTAAGCAATGGTTGTTTATTAATTAGATTTTAACTGATATTTATTCATTTATTAGTTCTATACCTCCTTATGTCCTGTTTTAAAGCACAATCATGAAAGAATATGCAGTTGATTAATGCAAATTAACAGTAGTACTCCTGGGATATTAAATTTTAGAGCTGCATTTTTCTTTCATTAAGATTGTAAGTTCTTAAGAGTAATCCGATTTCAAACCAGGTAAGTTTTAACTGGTGTGTTGCTCATACTTTAGTTTAATAACAACAGAAACACTTTATTGTTTTCTTTTACTTTTTTAACATTTATGATACTTCTAATGGAAGTTTCAACATGGCAGAGTTCTCGGAATTTATGAAACATTATAGAGTAGTTGAAAGCGGAGCAGAGTGAGGCAGTTAGGCAAAGTTTGGCCATGTAGGGGTTGCTAATTGGATAACAGCAGCACAGCAACAGCCTGGCTTAACATCTGGGTCATCACTGCGACTTTACATCTTCCTGTGGCCAATTCATGCAGGATACTGTTTCAAACCGATTACGTTAATTTAAAATACGTGAACGCTTTAATAATGAGCTCTGGTACATCGTAACAGAAACAAAACAACACATTTTAACAATAAGCCATCAGCTGTTGCAAAATAAATATCAAAATTAAATAAGAAATATACTGCTGCTAAAGTCAAAAATGCTGTCATTGACAGTGAAATATTCTAATGTTTTGTGTACACATAGTGTTGTGTCTTTGTGACAGTTTGAACTCTTATACTTTCAACTAAGCCTACTATCCTAACCGAAATCCTAAAACTACAACCTTGTGATTTATGTTACATACTTAACTTAGTGTTTTATTAAATTGTATGATTGCAATGAAAGAGCTTGATGATTAAACAATGCTAGACATGTAGGTTTTCAGTTTCCTGAGGGAATTCCCTGACAATGCACAATGTTGGGATGTAGAACAACTCTCCATGCTAACTAAACCTTGATATTTACCACCAACTAATGACCTAGCCACAACAATGTACAGTATAGCTATGTTCTCAGGCATTAGTGTACTTGCACTTTAACTTTCTAATCATGCCATGCTAAATGGTTGACTATAATATGTTTACTAGTTTCTAGATTACTTATACTTTAATCTACAGCTTAATCATTCTTATTCATTTTACATGGTACCAACAGTTTATTTGTATGCTTATAATTCATCTCATACTATAAATAATGTATTTATTGCCACACTTCACTGTTTTAATAGACTTTCCACACATGAAATTAGTTTGGAAAACAGCTGTTTGCGGCTGGCTTAATCAAATATGGTTTAATTACGTACTGCCATTTACCCACCAGATACCAGCTGATTATAATTGGCAATAAGTCAACGAATCAATAAACAATAGTATATTACGTTACTAGTCCTGAAAATAGGTGTTTACCGGACGAGAGTGGGTAACATTCGAGTCCGGTAAACACATTTTGGCCGATTGACGTACGATATTTTACGCCATACTAATAAATCTGTACAAAACCTTATATATTACCACCGACTAAAGGACTAACAATCACTATAACCTCATAATAATAACCTCTAAGAGAGGTTATGTTTTTGTTTAGTAACACTCATTGCCAAATGGAATGGGCACACGGAAGGGACTAAGGCTAAAGGTGTAGTGACGTCATATCTCTAGTGGGTAATGTCTTCTCTTGAGGCGACACGATTACCGTTACGAAACGATGTGATTTCAGCGGCGTTCGTGGCATAGTTGGTAGCGTTTCGGATTGGTGTTCAGGAAGTTCCGGGTTCGAATCCCGCTGGTAGCACTGACTTTTTGTCAACAAATTTTTCATATCAGCAAGTTTGGTTGTTTAGGTTAGGTTATGACAGTTTAATTTTATAATACTACATTTTAAAATTAATTAAAAATTATAAGTAATTATTAATTAGATTTTTATCTTATATAGTTTTTATATTATCAGCAAGTCTGGTTGGTTAGGTTATGTTATGACAGTTTAATTTTAAAAATTAAAAATTTATTTTATAATTTTAAAACAATATTTTATAATTAAAAAGTTAATTTTATAACTAAAAAAAAATTAATTTAAATTATTTCAACTTAGCAGTTCTAGCGGCGAACGCTGACACTACAAGATATGTTAGCCTTAGTCCCTCCCGTGTGCCCCACCGATTGCCAAATGCAGTATAATCAACAGTTTAGTGTCTGGTAAAACTCATTACAGTTACGCAATGAAACCCCATTTGATTAGGCTGGCGGCAAACAGCTGTTTTCTGGACTAAATCTTTGCATGGGAAGCTCGTCAAAATAGTGTAGTGTGGCGTAAAAACATAACCCCATAGAAGTTATCCCTAGTCGGTGATACTTTTTACAGATTTGGAACTTTTTTTTATTGTTAGGTTAGTGTTTAGATGTTGAAAAATGTTGTATGTCACTTGTCCAAAATGTGTATACCGTATCTTACTTTTAGGGTAATCCACTCGTCCAGTAAACAACTATTTTCCGAACTAGTAAATGCAATACTATTTCATGTTTATTTCATGCGAGCATAATTAATATATTATGCTTAAAAGTTACAAGTCAAATTAGTACCGGTAATCTACTGCACTTGTTGAACTGTCCAGCTCTGTTTTTAATTTTATTTTTAAAAGCGACCATGAGGCCTAAAGGAATAAAAGAAGTTTGAGTTTTGTTAGGAGTTTCCAAAAGCTTAGGAAAAACTGAGGATATTACCGATGGACTGATGGACTACTCGAAGGGCGTTACTAAAGGCCCAAAGGTATAACCCTAAAACAGTTAGATAACGTCTTTCATTTTGGAGGAACAGGTAATGGTGAATCAATATGTTTGACACACAAGTAATGTAAGTTTAGCTTACAGCGTTGCAGGAGTTGATGTCAACGCCGGAGTCCAGTAGCTCGAGGACCTTGTCCAGGTGACCAGCACGGGCAGCACGCAGGAACGCTGTGCTGGGGTCAGTCTGGAACAGAAAAACTTCATGTAAGAGCGATCTGGTACAACTATAAAACTAAAATGTACGACGGCAAAACTAAAAGAATGATAAGTCTCAGAAATGCATGTGCGTAGTTGCCTATACAACTGTTCCCTAATGTGGAGACCTGAATCAGCATTGAGTAATCAGAGTAAGCAGAACTGCACATGTGTTATGGCTCAGCAGTTGGCGTCAGCATATGTCATGCCCGCACGCACTCACACTCTGTATACAGATTGTAGACCAAATGTGTGGTGAATGGCCTCACGCATCGTTTTACCCTAACCCCCGCTAAAATTAGAATGTTTGTACATCTAGTAGTAGCTGTTAGTGTTCTTTTGTTTGGAGTTACAGAAGTTTGCTGAGTCAGTAGACTGATTAGGAAGGTCATAGAAGATCGTATTTTGAAACGTGAAATAAATGCAAACACACGCAAAGTCGTTAACATTTATACAGGTATAAATACAGGTATAACCAACCTTGTATACACCTCTCACCAAACTACATAGTATTTCAAGTTAAATGTTACTTTGGCATCGTCACGTTCCAGATTCCAATGGTAAGTAAGCAAGCATAAAGGATGTTGTAACTAACCATGTGACAACATACAATTTTTTATTTAAAATCTATCTAAACCTGAAAATATATATAAACGTGCAAGAAAGGGACATTTAACGTGCAACAGTTGGCATCGGTCGCGTGACAAAGAGACATTACTTGACGGGTCTCTGGCAGACATGCGTGCCACGAGCTAGGCGTCGGGCGTCACTGTCCAGCGGGAAAAGACGCCCCAAACAAACCAGATAGGCTGGGTTGGGTATAAGCCATCAGAGGAATATAAGAAGGGGAGATGGAAAATAAATTGTTTAATTTTAACACTTCAGAAGGGTGGTGTTAAATATTCTTTTATACGTTTATATTTATAGAAAAAATGGAAAGGTCACTTAGGTTTTTTTTGGAAGATCGTGCGGTTACACACGTATCTGTGAATCGACCTGTCTTTTTTTAGCGAATTTCCCATATACCGTAGTACACCACCGTTTCACATTTACCGTAGTACTCATGATAAGACCTGGACGCGGGACCAATTTTTTTTTCATTTTGAGGTCCCTAGAGGCCAAAAACACCATCCGTTCAAATTCATATATATATATATATATTTATTTATTTATATATATATTTATATATATATATATATATATATATGTGTTTGTGTCCGTCAGCGCGATAACTCGAGCAAAAATGGTCCGATTTTGATGAAATTTGGTACAAACGTGTAAACCTACGTTTATTCGAACGAGTTCGCGATCCAGCATAATCGGACCATGGGAACAGGGGTTTATGGGGTAAAAATGTGGTTTTTCCCATTTTTTACCCTAAAAACAAAAAAATTTGCAATTTCTTTCCAAACCGTTTTGTAGAGCTTAAAAAAAGAAATAATTTAGTATATTGAAGCGCTGTTTTATGCCTAACGGTCACGGAGAAAATTCAAAAATAGTTTACTTTAAAATTCCCAAGTTATTCTTATGGAGAAAATAAAAATTGTTGTAGTTTACTTGTTAATGGATATATATATTGATAAAATTTGGCAAATTTATTTATTTCATCCCATACTATTCACGTATGGTCAAAAAACACTTTTTACCTTCCCCGTAGCAGCAAACCTAAGCACTTGTTAAATCTAATGTTATTTAAATAGGGAATAAATATGTCTTATTTATGGAAATATTTGAGTAAAAATGTAATCAGACAAGTTGAAATTCGCTTAGTCTGCAGGTTTGCTGCGGCGGGGGTATTTCTAACATCTGACCCTATCCTGATGAAAGAAATCTACAACTAAAAACACATAACGACAACCCTAATGAAGTAAACTATAGCTGTCTCACTCGGTCAGTAAACTACCATAGATTAAGCACACTCCCTATACTTAATCTATGAAAAACTACTCATCGATGCAATATTGATAACTTTAAAACCCTAAAAACCTAACTCGCTGCCCTTAACAGAATTAAAGGATGAGCCCCTCATGAGGTAAGTGTTAGTTCGCCATGCTGATTCATTCTACGGCCACATTTACTGTAGGTCTCATCGTAGAACCTAGACCCAGGACCGATTTTCTTTTTGCTTTTTGATGTCTCCAAAGGCCTCAAAAAGCAACGTATATATATGTATTCGTTTTTTAAGTACCTATTGATATTTTTTTATATATTGTATATATAGTTTTATTTTATATAAGTTTGTGACGTAATCTATCGGATTAGATCTGGCAAAGATGTAGAATTCCAGTAGGCCTATACAAGTATTCAGTATACAGGTAACCTGTAAAACGTCAAATTTTAGATTTTGGGCTAATTATCTCACATCTAAATATGATGACATCTTCACAGTAAGGGAATGTTACGCAAAATAATTACATTCTAGAGAGAAGATAATGGAATGTAATTTTCTCTAGCATTACAGCATATCTTTGTTTGTTTATATTACTTAGATGACTTTAAAGCTGGGTTTTCCTAGGCGCGGAGTCGGCGAGCGGAGAGAGGAACGCGGAGAGCGGAATTGAAATTAACATGGCATTCCGCTCTGCTTCTAGGAAAACAGTAACATTAAATTGCCTAACGCAAGTGGAGTCCGCTCTCCGCGTTCCTCTCTCCGCTGGCCGACTCCGCGCCTAGGAAACCCCGGCTTAATTCAGAAATGTATTTACCAAATAACAACAACGTTAGATTTGTTTTTGTGGTGTGATATCTATTTGTTGAGGCAGTTTCTATTAATCTGCGATAGAAAATACCTATTGCAAATAAATAAATACTGCATATTTAAATCCCCCTAAGGTAACTAAAATAATTTAATTGCTAATGAATAACGCCCCTTGAGCGTTCGGTATTTTTTTCTCACATATACAGGGTGGGGCAATGAAAGCGCCCCAATTTATAAGCAGTACAAACTCAATAATATTCACCCTATGGATATAAATAGCACATCAAAACATAGCTTATCTTTTGCCATTTTAACTTAAAAAAGTAATTTTTCCATTTCTTGAGAACGAAATCCTGGAAGTGACGTCCTTATCCTACTTGACATTAGGCACTTGAAAACTCCATCAAATACTCCTTCAGCATTTCTTCAGGAATCAGTTTAGTTTTTGGACAATTCTTAGCTTCGGTTTAAGCAAATCTGTGGAGTGACTTTGAAAAACCTCGAACTTCAAGTAACTTATTAGAAACCACCCCCCCTTCCAAAAAAAGGAGCCAACGTAATGCTTTCAACAACAACAGCTTCCTGGGAAATCTCTTTGGACTTTGAGTTACTGCGACTTCAACATTTGCTGGTGTACAAAGAGTTTTGCGGCACCCACCGATTATTTTTAAGGTTTAAGCGTTTTTCCTAAATAATTTTACCCAGTTCACCATTGTTTTCCAATCTGGAACAGCGCCATGTTGACCAAGGATGGAATGTGGTCCAAACAATCTCTGGGGTTTTGCACAGGAACCACTATTTTAAAAATAGGTTTGCACATCAAAATCTTAGTGTTAATAGCCTCGGGCATAATATTTACTAAAATTGCATAGTTTAATTGATGTTTTAAGCACAGCTGGTCATTCGTTGTTGCAACAATCAACATGTGACAGCTAAAACAAATTGTGGCGTTCTCATTGCCCCACCCTGTATTTGCCATCATCTTGACTTGAGCCGACAAACAATCGTAGAAGCCATTGTCCAGAGTAGAAGTGGCAGTAACCAGTGAGCAGGTGGCATTGTTGTGGATATAAGGTACACGCATGTTTTATATCTAAGACAAACAATCGTAGATGCCATTGTCCAGAGTAGAAGTGACAGTAACCAGTGAGCAGGTGGCATTGTTATGGATATAAGGTACACGCATGTTTTATATCTAAGACAAACAATCGTAGATGCCATTGTCCAGAGTAGAAGTGACAGTAACCAGTGAGCAGGTGGCATTGTTATGGATATAAGATACACGCATGTTTTATATCTAAGACAAACAATCGTAGATGCCATTGTCCAGAGTAGAAGTGGCAGTAACCAGTGAGCAGGTGGCATTGTTGTGGATATAAGGTACACGCATGTTTTATATCTAAGACAAACAATCGTAGATGCCATTGTCCAGAGTAGAAGTGACAGTAACCAGTGAGCAGGTGGCATTGTTATGGATATAAGATACACGCATGTTTTATATCTACATGACAAAGACAAACGTTTCTGCTACTACCAGTGTAGTCTATTAACCGCTTGTAGGTCGGTGAAGAGAGTTACTGTAGTCAGGAAGAAAGTGATTTTGTCTCGGAAGAACGAACCCACAACCGTCTCCCTAGCCCTACCAACTAAAAATTGCCTACTTTACAACATTGTTTAGGTGACAGCAAATTTCGTTTATCTCCTCAGGAACACATGATAAAAAGTATATCAGAGTATGCATATTATATGCGGCGAAAAAAATGAGTGTAAAGCAAAAAGTCTATTTTGGTTCAGCCAAAGAGTCACTTCCCACCCTGTAGTGGATTGCCTTTGACATCTTTGAGTGTATTCGATGTTAAAATAATCACCCTGTGATTCTAAAGCAAGGAGGAGGCGTTGACATTTGCATGTTATAACTAGATTTTAAACCAACCACAAAGTCTATAGAAAGGCGCAGCTAACGAAGTAATTCTGTTTTTATATTTTACATTTCACGTCAAATTTAAACCTCGCCGGAGATCAGATTAGTAAGCAATCATAGCAAGGACTTTACAATTTAAACATTTTCCCCCTGAATAGATTTTGTTACCCTATGACAAACAATTAATGGGTATGATAAACTTAATCATTTTAAAACGTACAACAGCAAAGCAGCATATTTATCGTGTTGACAAATAACAGGGTATGAGACGAGGCATGCCTTCACATGCAAACATTTGTCGCGGCTTGCAGTTAATTAAAACACAATTTATAGAGCAATTACTCGACTAAGAGCTTTGTCCGGAGGGTTT